ACTTTCGAATACAGCGTGGGGTCTTGGGTACTCTTATGAAACGAGATTGTAACCCTGCGTGGATGGAAACATGCACATCGTCGAGTCCGGCTTAGTGAACCAACCCAATTGATCAAAGAGAAACCAGTCTGGATTCAACCAGGCTGTGATTTACAGCGCATTTTTCCACTTCGAGGCTGGTAAACGGTCTTGGCTCCATCGCTGACTCGCTAGAGCATCAACCCTGGTCAGGAGATGCCGCGCTGTAGCTGCGCCGCAATTTCTCGACCCAGCAATTCCCAACGCCATGACCTTTTCCGCCAAGGGTATTTTTGTCCCAATATCTCCAGGGGAGTAGGGTCGCGAAAAAACCTCGATCGTGGCCAGTGTTTTTCTTCTGGTTGACGATGGACGAGAAGGAAGTTGTGGCAATCCATAAACCCTGGGACGATGACTGGAGACCGGACATCGTAGTTGGGGTTGATTTTGGGATGACCTGCACAGGTACAGATGTTCAAAAAAAAAAAAAAATTGGATCTGTCAGACGCTCACGAGTAATAGGAGTCGCCTATTCAATCGGTCCAGAATGGCTTCCCCCGAGGACCATCCAGCGGTGGCCGGGAAAGCTCATCAGCGAGCTGGCCAACAAAGTGCCCACTGCAATTGAATATGAATCTCCTTCGCACTGCGTCAAGTCATGGGGGTTTCTCTGCAACACCGAGGACCCGGCCTCGGACATCAAGGAGTATTTCAAGCTGCACCTGGCTCCTGGCAGTCACCCAGACGGAAAGATCACACGGGTAGAGGCTCAGCGATGGCTCCAGGACTATATCCGTTGCATATGCCAGCATGTCACCGCGCATTTCAGAGACACTCTTCCCTCCTTTGCTGTTTGCAAGGTCGAATGGGTATTCAGCGTGCCCACAACATGGAAGGATGTCCGTATGGTCGAAGAGACGCGTCACCTACTGCAGCGAGCGATCAACATGGGCAGTCCGGGGATGTCCCCGGAAAATAATCGCGCCGTAATTGGGCTCACTGAGGCAGAGGCTGCAGCTGTGTATGCTTGCAAGGAACATTATCAGGTGAGACTATCCAACGGAACCTGCGATCAATATATTAACTGCTGCAGATGAATGATATCGTCCTCGTTTGTGATGCAGGAGGTGGAACCACAGTAGGTAGAGCGCGATCCCGTAATCGATTATCAGCAGCTGCTAACTAATTGTGGAGGATGTCAACATTCTCCAACTCAAGTCCGCCCGCGGCGAGCCAACGAAACTCGATCAGTTTGGCAGCGTTGAGGGTATGTCTTCTCAGAGGCGTTCAAAGTCTACAGCTAAACCTAGTTATTAGGGCGGCCTATTGGCTCTGTCTTTATTGACCGCGGGATGCATAGTCTTATTTGCGAGCGGCTATCCAAGCTTCGCGACAGACTGGATATGTCTCCATCGCATACAGCATGGAGGATGATCCTCGGCCGATTCCAAAGACTCAAATGCGCGTTTGGTACCTCTGCAGCAGCAAATACCCCAAGCCTCAAATTAGACGTCCCCGGCCTCAAGCCGGGTCCTGACCTCTCCGAGGCAGAGGTCTACGACGGCCAGATGAGCATATCTTGGTATGTGGCGGGTCACGTTCGCAAACAGTGTACAAGGTGATAGCTAATCTGCCAGGGACGATTTGCAACAATGCTTCGACGCAAAAATAGCCGAGATGTTCGACCTGCTCGATGGCCAAATCCGACACATGCATGATCGATTCGCAACTAAACACATTGTATGTCAACCGCCAGGCTAATCTTAGACCTTGGAACTGACGCATCCAGTCATACCTCATTCTGTCTGGGGGTTTTGGCAGCTCACCGTATGTTCGCAAACGACTGATGGAAAGGTACGGCAGTGGGATTGGAAATGGACCCGGCAATACCACAGCCATGCGGATCTTAATGGCCGAGGAACCGTGAGTCTTGTGTCAACAACTAATTGCCGGTGCTGATAACACATAGACAGCTTGCCGTTGTCCACGGTCTAGTCCTTGATCGCATCCAGCTACTTAAGCAAGGTGTCCTCACTTTTGGATCCCGATGCTCTCCGGTCAGCTATGGGATCATCTGCGACCAGCTTTACATCCCAGAGAAACACGCGGGGGAGCTTATCCGCCAGGATCCGCACGATCAGCTCAGTTATGCAATTGACCAGGTAGATTGGCTGGTTGTCCAGGTACGCAGGGCAATACAGTCTAAAAAAAGTAACATATGTATTAACAGCAGCAGGGCTCACCGGTACCTCCAACCGGATTCGCAAAAGAGTTCCAGCTCAAACTGGAGCCCGGCCGGGAAGCTGAGACCTTCCAGGTCCACATTGTCATGTCAATGTATCCGCCCGCGCTACTCCCGAAAAGTATGTCTCATAAGGGGGTTGAGCGGGTATGCACCCTGCACATTTCGACCGAGGGAGTAGACAAGAGGCTGAAGAACCGCCACTGGTACAATCGAAAGCCGGTCTTCTGGAAGGGCACGTTTAGCGTCAGAGTGGTGGTCGGACCTGCAGACCTGGCTTTTCAATTGTGGTCCAAGGATCAGAGAATCAGGAGCAGCAGCCATCCGCCGATTGCTGTGAAGTGGATGTCTGCCGGGGTTTAGCTGTAGCAGATTGTGAGCATGGGCAAGAAGAGAAAGAGATATGACCTTTGGAAGTAATGTCTCTTCTGTGAGATGGATTCCACTGCTCGCATTTACGTTTACTCTATTGAAAGTTACCTGATTTGCTCCAGGGGCATTTGCCCAAACTGATCGTAGTTTGTATCTATCCGTTCAGATGATTGTCTAGCAAAAGGCCACATCAGCTTCATCTTTCTTGACCCACGCACCACTCGTCCCCAACACACTAGACAAATCCAACAGTTTACCATACGAGGGATAGGTCGACTTGTCATCTACAATAATAACCACCTTGCCCTCATCACGGCTGAATTGCAGAACCCAAGCACTGGTTTCGAGGAATGGCTTCAGCCCTGGGGCAGGAAATAGAAGATGAACCTTGAAGCATGGCGTGAATTAAGGTCGAGCAGAGAATTTGATCCTTCAGACACGGAAGATTTTTGAAAAGTGTTCACGTACTAGGTAACTTACCTTTTCTAGGAACTAGAGCTAGTTACTGAAGCCTTTTCATTTCATCACAGTATAGGAAAACCAATGAGGGATAAATGCTATCCCGATTATACATTAACCCCACATTGCTTGTTTCTGGAGGTGGAATGTATCGCACCAACTTTCTCAATATTAGGTCTAGTTCAAGAGAGGCCTCCAGATAGCTTCGATCGAGAGGTTTTCTACTATTGTATACGCTGGCAATATATATTCAGTATCTTAAAGGTCCTCAAAACAGTGGTATGAAGAGCCACTGGGAGCTTAGGAACGAGCCTAGTAGGTCTTATCAAATAGTCGAAAGAAAGAGGGAAAGCGTTACTCATATGCAACAGACCAGTATACCTCGACCAAGTTCAGTCAGGTGCGAAGAACAGGCTGGTCCACCTCCGATATATTGCCCTCATGAATACCAGTAGTGGCTATGGGATTCGGTAGGTTGTAGGAGAAAGCAACAATTTATCCAGCCAGGGAAAAGCGAGTACGTCTAACCCTTTGGGGCCGCACTTTATTTTCTAGTAATCAATATTGGATGTATACTATCGAACGATTTACGCTCCTAATCAATATTCAGAAACATGAATCCTGTCTACTCCAGGGAATGGCTCTTGTCCCTCCGTTGTCACGGAAGCATTCCAAACTTCCTCTAGAGTCGTCCTGAAGTTTTCTTCTTCTAGAGGACCTTCAGTCTCCGCGCTAAAGTATCAGACGCAGAGAATTAGCCTGATGTGTATTCAAGCTAGACAAATACTGGGTTAACATACCGAAAGAAGAATGGAGGGGGGAAGATCCGTGGAGATGGTATATTCTCAACAAGCTTGGCAACGGCACCAGCTTTTGAGATAGCTTGTTTGATCGCTTCCACTCCATCGCCCTCACTAGCTTATAAAAATGATTAACTCTAGAATTTTCATGATATCAAGGGAGAAAACAATAAAAAAACATGGGGTTCATCAAGAAACTCACGATGTGCCGATAGGTCCACCAACATATGGACCAGGTTTGGCCCAAACTTCAATTTGCTTAGAGAATCAGTCAGCTTAGAGGTATTCCTCTCCATCTTTGATTTGCAAAAATAGCCACACATACATATTCGACCTGGAATGAAGAAAGATTTAGCCATGGCAAGATAATACGATATCTTGAGAATCTGGACTCACCATGATGTTATTAAGAAGAACGGAATAGCTGTGAAGGCTGTCAGGGTAGTAGTCAATGTCCGAAAAGGTTGGAAATCAGGCGGGCTTATATATTGCTTGATCATAGAGTAGTCAAAGTCTTGGCGGGATTATTGAGTTCAGCTCAGCCATGCTCAATCTGCATATTTCGTATACGTAGGTTGAGTTCATCCACATCTGCATGCACATACAACTCGGCATCTCGTTTTGGTTAGTACAATGCTGATCATTGAAATTTTCTGTAATAGATTAAAATGCGAATGACCAAATCTCTTATTTTGGTTGCTCTAGACACCGTTCCAACCGCTCTTAAAGATGGACGTATGAAACTATGCCACTAGCCAACGCATCTGATAGAAAAATATATGCTGGAATTAGACTGTAGTGAGGAGACTTGAATTATGTCTACATGCACCAAAGATGAAGATGATCTCTGAGAAGCGTTGTACGTATACTACACAGTTCTAGGGACAGGGCGATGCATGTAAACTTCGTGGATACCTGCAGCCAGGTTTACACGTCACAAAGCTATTTGGTGCTAGGGACAGCGTAACCAATGAATATACATAGTATTTCACTAATTGACTCGCTGACTGAGGGCACTGTGCATACTTGAGAACTTATTTCTCCGCCAGCATACATGCATCATGTTAGATTTTAGTACAATTTACAGTGTAGTTCTAGGGGCTGTGGCGAGCTGAGCATCTGCATCGAATTCACACTCCCAAGATTACCCCTCATTTGTGAGGGTTGAGGAGTTCTGCACTCTGTAGGTTCTGCACAGCAAATACAATAGGGAACCATTCAGCTGGTGAATATGTTTCATTGCAAGGGAAGACCAAGTCCACTTTAACCGCGCGCGCAGTGGTGACATGGCGCCCAGTAATCTGAGCCACCTTGCTTGGGAAAAGTGCATAGCTGAGGGGTTTGATGGGGGGCAGGGATTGAATTTCACAGTGAGTTTGATTAAGTGGAAGGCTGATGTTGGAAATGAGAAAGAAAAGAGTTCTCATTCCACTCTGAGAACAGTGAGGATCTAGCAAGCACCCAGATGATTAGGCAGGCAAGGCGAATGAGAATATTTATAAGGAACATGTGTTGGCAGAGGAAATAAAATACGGGCACCAGGCTGGTAATCTCCTAATCCCTGGTGCTGAGGCTGCTCGATGGGTCATTGGGAACTGACCTTTTCTGCGACAGGATGGGTGAAGAGAGTCATGCACCACCTACTAATAGTACTTTAGGTACTGCAGGCTAGGCTGAATCCCCGCATTCCTCCAGTTAAAACACTGAAATGGTGAGATTTCGCGCCAAGAATGGGGCCAAGGTGCTAAGACAACTTTAACAAAGAATGGAGTGGTGGATGGTCTTATTTTTTGAGTCTTTTAACCACCAAGGCTAGGTGCTGCGGGCAGAGGGTACACTATAGCATTACATTCATTAAGTCATTAACCCTGTATGGACTTTATAAGCTTGACTCCTTAAGGTCTGTCAGCCAATTCTCATGGAATGGTTCCTGACTTGTATATCTTGCTCCTCTGGGAACTAGCCTTAAGGGGGAGTAGTTGGGGCATATGATGCTTTAAGTATTGGTAAGTATTATAAGGTCTATGTGATTAATGCATATTTCCTACTTTAGGATATTGGGTCCACTAACAGGCGTTCCATCTACACCCACTATACCCACTTTTCAGGCTAGTTATCTACACTCCATGAATATAGGACAAGTATTATAATATTAAGTCTGACATTCTAGAGCTTCAGCTACTGCAAAGCTAGTAGTGAGTAAAATGAACCATAAGGTGTGGGTGTGTAGGTATACTTAAGTCAGGCCAGAGGCCAGCAGAAACCCTGATGCCTTTGAGAGAGCTATATAAACCAGAATATCATCCCAGTAGGTTGTTGATCATTCCCTCGTTCTCTCACAGTCCTTCCTCCGTAGGCGATTATTAATTGCTTATACACTAGCCCCTCGCTGACACCCATACTTCCCCTACAGACTCAAGGTCCATATTCAAGAGAATGCAGCTCACACACCTCACTGCCGCTGGGTTCATCCCAGGCCTAGCATATATGCTCTCCCACCACACTGTTGAGTGCTCCTTCACCACTAGTGCTGCCAAGGATAATACCTGCCAGAGCTTTACCAGCACTTAGGGACTGTCTATTAATGGTCTCCAGCTACTAAATCCTAGTATCACCTGCCCGGGACTTGATACAAGCAAGCTATACTACATGATTGGCACCATTACTGACAATGGCCTGGGCACCACGCTCACAACAACAATATCCACCACCACCACCAGGACTACTACCACCACCTTGTCTGCTCTGACCCACTCCCTTACCATGCCAGGCATTATAGATAATTACAATAGCTTCTACAAGATCTCCTCCGGCAACCAGTGTGACACAATTGCTAAGGCGCACAGTATCAGCATAGCTCAGCTCAGGAGCTGGAATAGTGAGATTAATAATAGTATAATCTAGCCAGGCTTTCTATCTCCTTCTACCAAGTCACTAGGAAACAGAATTTCTATATGACTGATGTGCACTCTTTGCATCTAGGCTGCTCAAACCTCTGGCTGGACTACTATATCTATGTCTACATCCTAGTGCTACCACCACTGCCCCTGGAACCCCTAAGCTAACTAAAGACCTAGGCTCTAGTCCATCTCCCTAACTACCCAGCATCATCAACAACTGTGATGGGTTCTATAAGGTCTTGTCTAGTGATATATGTGATAGCATTACTAAAGCCTATAATATTTCTACAATATAGTTTAAGAGCTGAAATACTAAGATTAATGATAGTACTTCTCCACCCTTCCATTCTCCCTTGACCTTTGTTTACACCATAATCTAACACCCGCCTCCCTAAAAAAAAGACTGCTCAAACCTCTGGCTAGACTACTATATCTGCATTCACGTCCCTAGCATAATAACCATGTTACTGGGAGCGCTCACGCCCACTAGTAACCCCTCAGGCCCAACGCCCTAGTTGCCTGGGATTATCCCTAACTGTAAGTCCTTCCACCTAGTTAAGAGTGGGGATAGCTGCTGGTCTATCTATACTAAGGTAGGGGTTATACTTACACAGCTATGTGAGTGGAACATAGGGCTTAATGCTGCATGCAGTAACTTATAGTTGGGCTATCTATATTAGAGTCTGATAAGGTCCAGGTGGAAGTAAGTTATAGATGGCTTTGTATACTTACTTACCATTTAGTTTAGTATAGTATAGGTAATATAATAACTTGTAAGGCTTACACAAATATTCATTCTACTATGACTACCTTGAAGCCTTGTGCATCCTGGCTCTAGGATAAGTTGCTGCTATTGTTCTGCATTAATCTTTCAATAATTAACATGAGAGTGCAAAAGTTAGAGCAGAACAGGATGGTGAGTGGATTCACATCTAGGAGATTCTTTTAGTCTAGAATGGGAACATCCAGATGATTATTCAACCAAAATCTAAATAGAGAAGGGGACGTCCTTCCTGGTAGCTGACATGGCTACTTAATTAGAAGCTAGGGTAGGGCAAAGCAGCTCCTTTGTCTGTATATACAAGATACCTTATATAATATCTGCATGGTATATAGTCATTTTGGCGGAGTAAGGCTAAAAGTAGAAGATATTTATATTGCATATATAGTCCATGTGTAACATACCTTAATATTCTGTGTATATGTGTTTAGCATACAGATGTTATCATCTTGGATTAGTTGAATAGCACCTTATAAATAATGATCCCTGCAGATGCGATCACTTAACCTGCAAGCTAACTATGATTGTATTTCCTAATAGTAAGAAAACAACTCTAAGTGACTAGTAGTCTGTCCATTACTGCCCTCTCATTCTCAGAGCACCTACTAAATTATAGCTGGCGGCTTGCAGCATTTTTATAATTTAAGTAAAGGAATAATATAGCTAATAGATTGGAAAGCATGTTATCTAATAGGTGGGAGCTTCCTACTAAGGCCTATTAAAGTAGATAATTCTTTGCTTCCCCAGTCTATAAGTGACAGCCAGCTTAATAGACACTGTAAACTGCAAGGAAACCTAAAGACTCTAATTAGACTTTGCTTAAACATCACTCTAAGCAATCCATTCATGAACTAAACCACATAATGGGAAAAGCAACATATCTATAAAAGTCTAGAAACATTATTTTCCCTACTACAAAAATAACCATACCCATCATAAACACCCTTGCTTATACTGTCTAAAAGCAGGCATGGGAGTCTCTATGAAAGGTCTTCCAGGCTTCTAAAATCCTAAGTGGAGTATTGTCTCTTACCTTAGGGTCTAAAGGTATGATAGGCTTGTTATTGGCAGGCAGCATTGAGGCCACCATGTGAATAAAAGCTGCCTGGACTGGAAGAGAAATTAGAGCTTCTATAAATTTGGGAAATATGCAAATAATGCTAGTCTTAAGTCTGAGCTGTGCTTCCTCTTTAAGATGGATTCTGTCCGCCTCAATCAGGTCTTGATTGATATCTCTATTTCCAGCGGCTTTGACGAGCTCCACTTGGAGTGCCTCCAGGGACGAGGAGTACAAGCGGATAGTTAAGTATTTGGTTAAGCCTGTTGTGGTCACCTTCCTTACCTTATTGAATGATAAGCACAAGGCTGTCGCCTCAGTTATTGGGGAGCTGGGCACTGAGTACATAACCATTAAGTTCTACTAAGTTAACATAAGAAAGTATGCTATGTCATCTAGGACCCTTGCCAATACAGAATTACCTATTGTTGTCTTTGTCAGAAACGGCAGAGACTTTTTGATCCTGACCTTAGATGTTTCCCTTCTAAGTATTTAGGAAGGCCTCCAAGCGGTCCAGGTGGCATCTATGTAAAAGTGTGTACTTGGTTGTTCAAACTGCACTATATTTAAATCATACCGCAATAGTCACTTTTTTATTATCAAACACTGTGGGGAGCTGGTTCCTGGTTCACAGCCTACACATATAGAGGGACAGTGGAGGATGGAGCTAAGAATGTGTGATTAGCATCTTAGAGATGAAGAGACAGCAATACTTACCTATAATAGATGGCAGGTACATTATAGGGCACCCCTTTAGGGTGCAGCACATGCTATTACTAGTAGTATAAAACTTAATATAAAGGTCTTGGCCTTACTTATTCCATGCATAGCATCTTAATTTAATTTCATAAACACCAAGTGCAGCATAAGCACTCTTAATTCCCTATTTCTGATGGAGAGTAATTTCTTCACCTACCTAGGACAACACAGCACACTTCAGGAAAATAGACCCTGAAAACTAAAACTTCAGAAAAGATGTGCAAGATCCGCCCTGTTACCTTAGAAGTACATTAAACAGATCAGAGGATGCTTCTTGGTTCCTGCCTAGCTTTCAGTATCAATATTAAAGGTAGGAGTGACAGATAGCCTCACAAGACATTTTGCCTGGCCGGAAGATGACATTAATTTGGACAATCGTATTCTTCAATTTGAGAGGAATTCATTTAAAGCCCAGGATTGATCCATAACCAATGGCAAGTAAAGTCAGGTGTATTATAACAATCTGTGCTCCTATTAAGAGCAAAATAGCTTTGGTGGAAATAATCTCACGATGAACTGTTGAAGGATAGCTGATCTTTATTAGGATACCAGGTTTTAAATTTGCATGTTACAGATATATCCAGCTGCTCCTGACCTTGGAGAGGTCGTGAAAGCTTAAAACTGTGGGATATATATGTATTGGAGATATTCTGTGCAAAATTGATGTTGTCGAAGGTGGTGAACACTATTTTGCCTTGGCAGTCGCTTTCAGTCCAAGCTCTGAGTTCTAGTCAGGCATAATGATCCTATAAGTGCGTGAGTGTGAATCACATAGTTGAACCACATGACCTACCGGACAAGTGTCTCTTCGTTGATTTTGATGGGGCATCGCCGAAATGCAAGCTCCAACTGTTGCAATCAACATTGGTAACCTCATTTTCGGCTTGGCTAACCAAACTAGCGAGCATGCGCCTTCATATTGTAGTGCGCAATGTGGTCGTATATATATAATATGAGAGAGAGAAGATATAATTTCCCTATCAATGGATCCTTATGCACGCTGCTTCTGGCACGGCCACATGCTAGTTGGTATCTTTTGGCAGCTATCTGCCAAGGGAGAGCGGCTATCATAGGCCCTACATCTAACGCCAACGCCAACCCTATCGTAAGGATAATAATTTTCAATGAGTGCTAGAGACTAAGGCGTTGTCCTGGCTGATTGTTCTGACTGCTGTTCACAGTTGGCGCGGCACTACTTAGGAACATTGGGGTATATAAAGGATATTCGTTTTTTGATTGCTTTGCGATGGCCTCATTTCACAATGCTATGAAATACTTTGAAGCTAGTCCCCTTAGTGTTATCCATGGTATCCTTGATATGTTTAGCTGTCGTCTGTGAGGGGTGTAGATCTATTTCATCATCTGGTAATCTATATTTCCTGCAGGTATGGAAGTGCACAAAATTCATATAGCTAATTGCTAACCAATTGCAACCTTAGATAGATTGGACAAGCTTGATGCACCAGAGAATCATTCAATCCTTCAGCCTGTCTGACCAAGAGTCTAATCTTGCAGACTTAACTCATGATGTATTAACCCATGCCAGCAGAAGTCTATCAGATATATTGAGCAATATCTAGTTTTCCCTATCTGGCTATTATGCAGTGGGTCTCTGGGGATATTATAGCAGTGAGGAAGATATATCTAAGTATATAAGTTACTCTATATCTATATTATTATTTTTATTTAACTTAGTGGCAATATTAGAGTCCACTACACTAGGTGTAGCTTTACTACTACTAGAGGTAAGTAAACCTATGCTTTCTGAACTCTCTAAACCTTCTAGATTAGCTGTTACAGCATATGTCATTAGAATAGGCGCAACCATCCTGTCAATCATGGTGGAGCTCTTTATACTTATATTTAAATAGGGGCTAGTCCTAACACTTATATACTCCCTTGTAAGCTCATTATCTACTTGATGAGAAGTACACAACTAACCTACTGCTAGGTTGCTTCAATATCCACTATCACTGCATCTATTACGGTGGCAATCTATACAGCTTGATATCTAGAGGGATCTAAACATTTCTAGGTGACATTAGTGTTTATTCTCGCCTTGGGCTGCATATATTGGTCACAACATGGCTAGGGAGTACTTTTTCTTTAGGAGCATCTGTTCTTTCTGTGTTAGGTGCCTGGCTGCCTGTGTTTTTAACAGGTGGTACTATGCCTGTGAACTACCTGTGTCTTCTAGTTCTATGGATTATGTAGGAGCAGAATACTGTATTACTAAAGAGAGTAAAAGGGTGATTATATGAAATTAATCACCTAGTCTTCTTAGGGAAGGTTTTTGATCTGGTAGGAGGGACCTCTGATAGTACTAGCAACCAGTCCCTCTAACTATGCCTATCTAACCCGCGACTTACAACCTCCTAGTTAGTAATTTTACAGTCATCTTTGTAAAATCTGGATGATAGCTAGATGATAGTGTCTGAGCATGACTCTATAGTATTGCTGCCTGAGATTTTCCTATACAGCTGTACCCTTATTATTTAACTACATGCCTGTAAATTCTTGGAGTGCTTTTATCTTACTGTTAAAAGATGAATTTATCACCTGGATTAAATGTAAATGACTATTAGGTGTGACCTAGTGGTAATAGTTTTAGGACCAGGAGTCCAACCTGTAATAACATCATAATGAACTAGGCCTATGCTGGAAGAGATGAATTATACTAGTTATTTTATATTATTATAACTCACAAGGGCTGTAGAATAATCATCATAGCTTATATATGGCCATATTTTTAAGGGTGAACAGCCATTCCCCACTCTAGGCATTCCTTATGTAAATGAGACACTGGTCCGATTGTTATACCCTTCAAAGCCATGCAATGAAGACCATGGATGAGATAACACATATAATTAATCTTACAGAATTCAAATACTGCTTTTGCAACTAGGGTGTATTCCACTATTATCTAAGAGGTAACCCTCTCACAAACTAACACAGTTTTAGAACTAATCTTGGCTGCATTAGATGTATATTAAAATAAGAAACACGGTGGAGATGAGGCTCACTAGATTTACCACATAGATTATAATGGATCCTTTTAATAGATATGCTACTCATAGCATTGCAGTTCCTAAGAGCTAGAGCTAGTAGTCCCAACATCTCATTAGTATGAACAGATTTTGGTGTGGAAGCCTGTAAGATATATTAGGATATCTTCCTAACAGTGGATTAGTACCTACCATATTTTGTAAACCCTCTGGTGGTCTGATCATGTGGTCACAACCATGGCTACTGAAAGAAGCTTGTATACGGCAACTAGAGGGGGTCCATGCTGCACTTTAGGCTGGTGGAGAGATATTTTATTGGTCAGTTCCTGCTGCTCATTAAATCCCGTGAGGTGTTCCCTAGCTGCGATCCAATCCTAACCACTACCGCCGTTGCCTCTTCGAAATGCGCGGACGTACTCCAGACCTATAAATAACCTTAAATTCTCAAAAGCAGACCAGTCTGTCTCGCCAACAGTTGTGTCGCCGAACAATAAAACTATCGATTCTATGTACCTATCCTTGCTGAAGAATTTACTATTATCTTGAAAAATTAACACGCATCATCCATGGATGGCCTGAGGGAACGAATCGATATATACTTCGAGACTCGCACCTAGGAGAAGGGTGGTGTCATCAGGGATTACATCGCTACTCTGAATATGCAACATTCCATATTCCTCTGCGACAACGACTATCTCAACCTCATCAACCACAAGGACGTCATACAGCGCCAGGTAGACGACCTGGAAAGCTCCGTTGGCAGAGGAGTAGCGAAATCTTCTTTTTTTCTGTCAGATGGAGACCCTCACTCTTGCCTCGAAAAGGACATGGGTGATTGGTTCGGAAAGGAATGCTATCTTGCTCAGTCCGGCTACGCTGCCAACGTTGGCCTTATGCATGCCATCTGCAGGCCGGGCGTTAACGCCTACGTTGATCAATTTCTTCATATGTCATTTTACGACGGTCTTGCCGCGCGGCACGTCAATGTCCATTCCAACAAGCATAAGAATTTCGCTCAACTTGAGGCCAATATTCGGATGCATGGTCCAGGCGTCACCATGGTTGAGTCAGTTTACAGTATTAGCGGGGCCTTAGCCCCGCTTGAGCAGATTGTTCGTATTAAGAAACAGTATTCCTGCGTTCTTGTCGTTGACGAATCACACTCTTTTGGTGTTTCGGGAAGCAAGGGATATGCTCATATGATGGGCCTCCAAGATCGTGTCGTCTTTGCGACTGCTAGCCTGGCCAAGGCCTATGCCATTCGCGCCGGAATAATATTTACCTCTAACGCCCTCCATGTCAAAGAAAATTCTTTTACCTACATCTTCAGCTCCGGACTCATGCGGAATGATATTGTTTGGATTTGTGCAATATGGGAAGTTGTCAAGGCTGCTAACGACCGTCGGCGGAAGCTATTGGACGCTTCTCACCTATTGCGGACTGAAGTGTCCAAGGTGGCTGATGTCATTAAATCCAAACTGCTTTTCCTTCTCCTATCATTAGCCTTCGTGCCAAAGACGAAGAGGAGATGGCTCGCCTTCATCGACATCTCTCCTCTGATGGTATTCTAGCTGCGCCTTTATTTGCTCCTGCCACCACTCTAAAATTTTCCGTCGTACGCTTCACAGTTCACTGCGACATTAGAACTGACGATATTGCAAAAATCACAAGGTCTGTAGCAGGCTTCTTCGCTATAGCACCTAAGCTCTAGTTATTGTTGTGGATCGAAGCTCCATCGAGTGGACAACTTTTGAACTTTTGTCCCTCATTCCTTGCAATCTTCAGACCTCGTCTGGATCATGACTCTGCATGAGCCTCAAATCAGCCATTGAGTTCTAAGGAGCCAGGATCTCCTACTAAGCTACACCGTTCTATGACATTCACGGGTTAATCCCATTCTTTGATACTAAGAGCTTCTGCATTATCTGAATTGATTTGTTAAATATTAGAAAATCTGGCTGAGAGCCTTCGGACTTAACGAATTGACAGATTTCTAGAGCTCAGTTCAAGTACACGTCTGCTCTTTGGCTTTTTTGAGCCTGAATTGGTGGGGGCATATGACTCACAATAGTCCCAGGTGGTATAATATGATCCGCCATGGAGTTGTAACTTCAGGGCATGTGGGGAAATACATCAGATAGCTGCATGTATGCTTGGAAGCCAGGGCCCAGGGGTATTTTCACAAGTCATGTGATTTCACATACATGGTAAGTCACAAGCCTGCTAGAATGTGCTAGTCTCAAACAGTAGCTTCAACACTATATTAACACCCTTCATGCCGCCATGGCAGTGAAGTTCACGAATGATCACGCTATTTACTGCTGTTATTTTTAGCTGCAAAGGGCCGATCCACGAAGAGTGGATCTCTCTGATGCTGGGGAGCTTGGTGGGAACCACTGCGGTGCTCTACTCTGTAATTTTAGCTACTGCCTAATCTATTTAGACGGCGCCTGCCCCCCAAACCGGCCCACTTCTTTAGTATAGTTAAATTCACCCAGACTCACTTCCATAGCGTCACACCAATTCCAAGAGCCTCGATATGTCCCCGCATACTGTGCAGCCGAGACCACCTTCAACATGCGCTGAAGGGCCTTGGATGCCCTTACAAAGTAAGTTGGATATAACTTCGGTAATCATATAGCTGCACCTGATAAGCCCAGAATCTGAGAACTAATGGAGCTTTCCAACCTTAACATCATTTATAACAGGACCAGGTTCCTAGTACATAAAGCAGTTGTCTACTCACAGTCACCAGTCATACACGCTGCCTGTACCGGGGATTTCAAGGCAAGTAATTTGACTAGAATAAACTTGTAAACACTCTAAATCATAGCAGGAAGCACGATCAGGGATGTATGCATGAGATGATGGATGACTTGAGGCATAATATCAACAAATTTTTTGATACTTATACACTGGAGATTATACGGGGATATCCAAAGAGAACGAGAACGATAGCGCGTACTCAGATAGACCTGCGCTGCAACTTCATGCAAGAGTCTTTGCAGTAGCCGAAAAGTACGATGCGAAAGACTTATGTAATCTATCAGCAAAGAAATACTTCTCTAGGCTTGAGAAAGACTTCAACGTCGTTGATTTTTTTACAGTCTATCCCGGATGTCTATCATTTAACTGCCCCACAAGTTCAGACACTTAAGGAACTTTGTTCTACATTTTGCCCGAAAGAGCCTTGCTAACGCTGTGCGTGACAGCCCGCATTCCAAGCTCTATGATGATATTTCATCAGAAGTACCATTGAGGAAAGACTGTGGCTATGCGCTGATGGCGGAACCACACAGTGTTTCGTGTGTCATTCCTTCCTCCAAGAAAGACAAGCGAAACCAGAGGACAAGGAATTCTCAGGATTTTTGCACGAGGGCAAAGAAGTTGCTGGCAGACGGCAAGATCTAAGTGCATCGTCCCAATGTGCGGTCCAGGGGGGTTGATGGGGGTCCTTGAGGGACTGGAGCCGCTCAGGACCGACAAGGTCGACAAGGTCGACAAGGTCAGAGGGGAGAAGTTGGTCTACGATATTTCTGAGACGCCTTAGCTGTTTCTCATACTAACTTATGTTGATACTGCTACGTAATATCAGGTATGATGTCACGAAAGCCACTGACAGCAAGTCGACTTTGATTGGTCAATGCGGATCTATATGTGGCTTACAGTGATGTCATAGGCGTTTGTTCCTGATCTACAGAAAGAGCCGCGTACAAATCAGAGCGCTTTATTAGCTAGCCTGCGCCCTTTCCTATTTGATCTTTACCTGTGATGTCTATAAGTGTCCATCATGGATATAGCTAGGGTTGTCGCGCCCCAGTCACACTATAGATTAGCCCAAGAACGAGAATTCTACAAGCACGAGACCCGACACGATTGCTTGCACAAGGTGCTAATTTGAGCCTTTAGATATGTCCCTTGTCATCACTCCACTTCGCATTACGCTCCTTTCGACCCTGCCAGTCACGATTCCTTCGTTCCGGAAGCGTCGCGAGATTCGGCCCTGACCTCTTTCGCGCAACTCGGCGCCATCCGTTTAGGGACCGAGCGAGCCTTGATCTCTTTGTTTGATCGCACCCACCAGCACGTTATCGCAGAGGCGACGCCGTCGCTGGATCTACTCGGTGGCGGATTCCAAGATGTCAAAGAACGCCTGCTATTGGGGTGCTGTCTTTTCCCTAAGGAAAAGGGCATCTGCCACCACGTCGAGCGCCTACAATCTGGGGAAACCGCGGAACAAGATGAATTTCTAGGGCAAGACGCCTGCGTGGTCCTGGATGCACGCGAGAACGAGCAAGTCAGCGCCAAGGACTTGATTGAACCCTTGGCTGACATGCGCTTCTTTGCGGCGGTGCCAATTATCAGCCCGCGTGGCTTGACCATAGGGGCTTACTGTGTGCTCGACAGAGAGCCGCGGACGACGAGCCTCGACCGGAATGAGTTGAAGTTTATGAAGGATATAGCTGCAACTGTGATGGTACACTTGGCCCAGGGGCACGCCGCCTCAAGAAACCGTCAGGCTGAGCGGATGATTGTAGGATTGGGCAGCTTCGTCGAAGGCCGAGCTACCCTTCGTGATTCATGGCACGAGGCAAACGCACAGTATTCCGCGTCAGAGCAGACAGGGGAAGCCGAAGAGGGCCAGTTGAACATTCAGCAGCAGCATCTACAGCGGTCTGCAGAGCAGAAAGTCGACAAAGGCCTCGCGTTCTGTGAGCGGTCTACCAACGATCAAAAAGACTCGGAGCCCAAGGGGAGTAACAAGGTTCAGGGAGGCGATAAAGACACCGAGGCTGTCCGAAACGTGGTCGCAGGGGAGAATTTACACGACAATACCCTCGCCAACAGTGTCAAGCTCGTCTTCTCTCGCGCGGCCAATCTCATTAGAGAATCCATTGGCGCAGAAGGGGTCATGTTTCTGGATGCCCACAGTGAGCGTTTCGGGCATCTTGTCAGACATAACAGTCGCAAAGTTTCCGGTCCGACACCCAACGATCCTAACTCCAGCGAGGACAGTACCGATTCAGCAGGGTCGACGACGCGGAGCGTCTCGGATGGCGAATCAGAAAGTACCCTTGTATCTCAGTGTTTGGGCTTTTCCAACTCGAGCGTGTCGAGCATCAATGAAGCTACTAGCACTGGCCAAGCTGTTGCTGTGCCAGAGCCCCTGTTCAGTTCACTCATTCGACGATATCCTCGTGGGAAAATCTTCTCCTATAACGCCGATGGCTCTGTTTCAGAAGACAGTGACAGCCCGGGGGATCACGGCGAGCCTGACACCCCAACCGCTAAGCACCGTACATTGAGCAAGCGACGCCGCAGACCGATCTTCCAGCAGGATGCTGACAGCTTGATCAAGATCTTCGCTGGGGCAAGAAATATCCTCCTGCTTCCTATCTGGGACTCCGACAAATCTCGGTGGTATGCCGGGACGATCGTCTGGACCAACAATCCGGAACATGTCTTTACCCCTGATAACGAGTTGGTCTACATCTCTGCGTTCGCGAATAGTATCATGGCCGAGATTCGCCGAGTCGACGTGGAATTGGCGGAGAGGGCCAAAACGAACCTTGTCAGCAGCATCACCCATGAGCTTCGCAATCCATTGCATGGAATCCTAGGCACGGCAGATATCCTGAGCGATACAGCTATGAATGCTCTCCAGCACGGCATGGTTCACACGATCGAGTCGTGCGGCCGCACCCTGCTAGATACCATCAACAACTTGCTGGATCTTACCTTCATCGACAAGTACAAGAAGAAAGTTCTACGCAGAAAGAAGCGAGGGAGTAGCCAGAGGACCTCATCAGCGAACTCTGGCGACTCGCCCCAGCTGCAAAGCAAACGCCGAGGTGAGAATTTCTCATCCACGCATGTTGAGCTAGACGCAGTGCTCGAGGAAGTCGCGGAGTGTGTCTTTGCTGGGTATAGTTTCTATACCAATCCCCAGGCATCGCCACCAGCCATGACCGATTCGTCTTCACGCTGGGCTGACCCAGTAAAAGATCATGAGCCGGTTGGCCCTCGTTCAAGTCAAGTTACCATTATCTTCGACATCCAACCCGGGACAGAATGGAGCTTTCATACACACGGCGGCGCCTGGCGACGAATTCTAATGAATGTTTTTGGAAACGCGCTCAAGTACACTCCTTCAGGGTATATTTATCTTGGATTGAGCTCGGTACAGCGTCACAGCAAGTCTACTAAAGACGGACATGAGCAGCAGGACAACCAGTGCGAGGTTACTTTGACTGTGAAGGACACCGGAAAAGGAATTTCATCAAAGTACCTCCAGGACGGCTTGTTTACTGCGTTCTCGCAAGAAGACCCACTTGCGCCTGGAAGCGGACTTGGCTTAAGCATTGTGAGACAAGCCGTTGGATTCCTCGGTGGTTCCATCGAAGTTGAATCTACGCAGGGGGTGGGTACTACGCTCTCGATATGCACGCCACTCACACTCTCCACGGATGCGTCGGGCACCGCGTCATCGAGCTCTATGTTCCGGTCTTTGCGGAGACACACCCAAGATAAGAGGATCGGTTTCCTAGGATTTGGTGCCTTCCTCCAATCCCAACGCGACATCTCTTTATATTCGTCTCTGGAGCGCTTATGTCGCGACTGGTTTGGCCTCACTGCTTCAAACGTATCCCCGGTGCAGGGTGAGCATCAGGAATATGATTTCTACCTGGCCGTCCAGACAGAGCTCGACTCTGAAGATCCGCAGGGTAGAGACTTGTTCGGTCTGAGTCAGCGGCTTGTCACCAAGGACGGCCGCTGCGCTCCCGTTGTAGTCATTTGCCAGTGTCCTGAGGAAGCTCACCGGATGTTCGTCGCCGCGAAGAACAGAAACGAGACGTTCTACTTTGAGTTCATCAGCCAACCTTGTGGTCCGCGGAAACTGGCCCGGGCGTTGGATATTTGTATCAGACGGCAGGCAGAGGAGCATTCTGGTCGTCCCACTCCTGACGAGCCGACTCATTGGGTCGAGATGCCGGAGTCCTCCCACCTGCCCGTGGACATTGGCGCCAGCGACCCCCTAAGGATCGAATGAGGATCAGCAAACGGCCGACGGTTGATACAATGGGTAGTCCAGAGGAGGGTGGTCGATCTGTGTCGTATGCCAGAAGCAAACCACAAAGCCCTGAGGAGGTCATCCATCCAGTGTCACCCAAGGAGGTAGATGGCGTGTCAGAGCCTTCTATGCTATCCGTTCTGCTAGTGGATGACAATGACCTCAACCTTCAGCTCCTGTGTGCTTACGCAAAGAAGGATAACTACGATTACCTGACGGCTCGAAATGGGGCAGAGGCGGTGGAGACATACAAAGCCCATCCTGGCCGGTTCCGGGTTGTGGTCATCGGTACGCCTCTTTATTTATCTGCACAATATTTTTCCAGGGTGTTGCTAACCTGATGACTAGACATCTCAATGCCCGTCATGAATGGCTTCGAGGCGGCACGTCAAATCCGTCGCTTGGAGAAGGAGCATAAGGATCGAATGGCCCAAGCTGGACGGGAAGCACCTCCACCGACTTATATCGCTGCACTGACTGGACTTGGCAGTACCGAAGCGCAGAAGGAAGCCTATGGTTCTGGTATCGATACGTTTTTGATTAAACCGCTGAGACGGCCGCAGTTACAGTCCATCTTACAGCAGATGAAAGAGTAGATAGACCTGTACTTTAGCATACTTATACTTCACGTGGGATCATCCTCTGATGCAAGCAGTCAAAACCAGGAGATGTTCCTAAGTTATATGAGTGCAGGAGACCTGGCTTCAAAGTTCTGCAGCCCTGGCCTTTTGAATAGCATCCTAGCAGTGACAAGTGTAAGAACGTCTTTCTGTACGTACCCTTATTTAAGCCATCCTGTCCATAACAGTATTCATGCGGATTACCCTGAAACACATGTCGTTCCTGGTAATGCAATATCCCGTGGCCAGAATTTCTTCATGGAAGCGGAGGCTTTGGGGGGGCTGAAGAGGGGCAGCCTTCGTTGGTCAATATCCAGGCCCTAATCTTGATGAGCCACAAGTGAGTTGTCTGTGAAGGAATTCCACATAAACTTGCGTCAAACACACTACGCTAACCACTTGCAGCTTGAAAGATAATTACCTCCGACAAGCCGTAGGGCAAGACATCGGTATATTCAAATTTCCGCGGTCAAGACACTGTGAATGGGACCAAATGCCTGAACACGTCAGACGCGCCAGCGCACTGACTGCCAGGCCATCTTTATCTTGAACTCGTATGGTTCGGATACTGAAAATTACCTAGATTGTTAGTTAACGTGTTCTACAGGGGGATGTGCCTCCTGGAGTTATGGCACGTGGCAAACATTGCAAGTTCCGAGACTATCGCTTGACGAATTGATGTTGAACAAGATACCCTTTGGATCCCATTCTGTCTGCGCTCAAACCACATAGGCTTCCCTAGCGAAAGCCGGCTTTTCTGCTGTTATGTTGCGGCTGGATTGGCAGACTTGAGCAAGATGGCTGTGATAACCATAATGGTTATTGTTCACGGGTCGCACTCGTTTCCTACACCCTGCACAGGCTGGTTCAAGTGCTGTAAGTCTGATTTTATTGCAATTAAATACATACCGATATTTCTTTCACAAAATAGCACTTAAGAACTACTGTGATACTTGAGCAGCATGTGCATCTCTTACCTGTTGGTCGGCTCATGAATTAGTTCGCGGTTCTACTACATAACCAAGTTCACATTGTGCTCGCATGTGCTAACAGCTTCCCATGGGAAAAAGCCCGCCGCCATGAAGACACAGACGTTCGTGCTAAGTATCGAGCTCCATTTGAGGCCCAAGAGCCTTTGGGGTATCTGAAGGCAATAGCTCAGACCTCCTATAGCATTCAGCGCAGAGTACTTGACACAGTCATGTGCGATAGGTAGTTTGGATGCGGACGGCCTCATAATTGCGTTCATGAATAGCCGGAACATGTCGGCGCGAAGTATCTCTTCGACCGAATCCTGCGGACTCGATCTCAAGGCTAACACCGTTGTCCATTGGGGTACATGCCTGGGCTGCAGCGATTATCCTGTCCGCCGAATCTTTCATTGTGGCTAGCGCTGACTCCACCTTGACTTATGTCCTTGCTTTGGTGGGGAGTCTCTGCTATTCGCCGCTGGCGATCTGCTGGCCCTGGTGGTTGCGGCCATACAGTCATGACTACCGGCGGTTGACCGCTGCGCGGCTCGTCATCTACGCACTCCATGTTTTATGGTTCTTCTAAAGGATCATGTCTATTCTCGGAGAAGGATTAGGGTACGATTAATGCAGAATGATACTCTGAAAGGGTGGTTCCTATAATTAATGGCTATCTTCACATCCTTAAGCGGCAAGGTGTGTGGCTTCAGTTTTTGCATGATGGTACACCTGGCCACTCTAGTTAAGTAACTCTTAATGAGCCTCATGAGTGTGGAATTTATCTAATTACATGGCCAGCTTACTCCCAGCTTACTCCCCCGATCCCAATACAATTGAGAAGGTATCTAATTGGATGAAAGACTGGATTCAAGGAATATATCCAGAGGATCACCAACTATCTTATGATGCTCTTCGAGGGGTCATTTGAGCTGCCTGGGATGCAATCCCTGAGGGGTTCCTTAAGGGGCATAATTGAATTCATACAGGCAAGGTACCAGGCAGTAATTAGGGTGCCATACAGAATACTAGATAATCACTAGATAGCGGCAGAATCAAAATGATTGTTTCCTTTCAAGGCCCCACTGTACTAACAAAATCACCGGGGTCAACCACAACAACATCCATCCTTGAAGAAATTGTCGGGAACCCAGCCGAGCTAGTGGAAGAAAGTCTGGTCAACTCTCGACCGGTCGATCCAGGTCAAACTCGATCTAGTCTGCGGATGGAAGTGAATGGGCAAGTGTAAGTGGATGCCTTGAACGGGCAGATGGAGATAAGCCTGTGCCTGGATTTTGATTGGCGGGACGAGATGCCAAACAAAGGGGACAAAAACAAGGCGGTGGACTTGGGTCGGTAGCGTAATCGTATGCGCTGCAAGGCAGGCTTCAGAAAAGCAGGATTGCTCGGTAAGAAGCATGACGGTCGTCATATGCAGGTAATATCTCGAGCTGTGGAGCAATTTGGGCTACGAATAGAAGATGGTTTGATGCAGGTGAAGAAGGATAAGATAGCGTGTTGGAACTACTGCCAGGTGCGAGGCAGAAGCCTAATTGATAAGTCGATATACATGAAGGAAGGAAGCATTCGTCGCTGCGAAAGGCACAGAATGCTGTGGCTGTGTTGTAGCATACAGAGAGTGCTTTTGAAACCACCAGTCTCAATTATCGAACCGTTTGCTTACATCTCTTAAGAGATTAAGGCATCGAGGAACATCGTGGAACTGTCTGAGGGCTTGAACAAGTGCTTCTCACCCCAAAACAACACTCGAGTCATCTTTATATAGAGGATGTAAGTGAACCCCGAGCAGAAGGAAGTCTATTTCAGTGGTTAGACTAATGAGAAGGCACTAACTATCATCCCTCGGCAGTTAGCCACAATATTTCTTGACGCCTATGTGGTTGTGCCTCGTCTTCAGCTCTATCGAAAGATATTCGTACCATACCCGAACCATGGGAATGCGATGCTCGGACGAATGCTGTTGCTTCTGTCTGGACTCCCCCGCCATAGTCTTCGGCTTGATTAGGTAACTTGGCAGTTTTCTTCCACCAGCACTTTCATTTACTTGATGTATATCTTCCACAAGACAGTGAATCAGCCCCAAACCAGCTAAGGTAGTTTATCAGAAATCCTTTTTTTTTTTTTTTTTTATTTTTTATTTATTACAATGGCCGCAAAGGAATAGTGATGATAAGCAAGGCAATATCATATATTTTGTGTTGAGACTGGAGAACATCTCTCACAAAGCACAATTCCTGAAAACGGGCTGCTGATTTGACTCCGCTAATCCAACGCTAGTGCCATTCCGCTTGTTGCACCCGCCCATTCACGGCTATGTGGCGTTATCACTCCCATCATGTAATTAGCTTTCTGTGGGGGAGCAGCTGTCGGTGCACTTCCGTACCACCCCTCAATATTTCAAATATTTTCATGTCTATGGTAGTTGGCGGTTCACTTGAGAAAGGGGTTGCTGACTGTGTTGAAGCTGTTCCCATTAGATCTGACTCTTGACTGCTTCAACGTCTGATTTGATAGGTTAACCCCAGGTTAATCGGGCTATTCCGAGGACGCTAATCTCCATCCGGCATTCAACCTGGGGTCTAGACTTTCGATATATCCGTACTATGCAACTGTAAAATTCCCGGAAGAGGGCGTTGATAAGTTACTATTGTTTTCTTATTGTAATGGCGACTTACAAAGTTGTTGTGGATGGCCATTCTTGTCAATGCCGATGATCACACAGGCAGGTGCACTTACGACCAAAACAAACACATGGGCCGGGATAATTATGAGACTATTTTTCTGCCTTCATAGCCCTCTATCCTACAATACAAGACAGGCATCGAGCGCGGAAGCTAACGATTTCGGGAAGCAAATGCTCATAAAGTGAGGGACGTCCCTCACGTCGTGCCTACAGTTGCTTATTTATTTCTTCCGCTAGCTGACACGGCACAAGATTGTGGCTGGGGACCAGCCAATTTTCCTGCATATGACTGGCTAAGGACCATTGTTGCCACTCTGGGGCGGTGTTTTCACCATCACCAGTTATCCCAGCCATTCCCCCCTCTGTTTTGCTACAATGATACACTCACTCAATTCCAGCGTTTCTCTTAACATCGTCATGGAGAATGCCCTTCCAGCGGGGCCTGTGACTGATGAGGATATCTCTTTCTTGAATCGAGTTCTTCGAGAAGATCACGGCGAATCAGTCATATCAACGGAAACTCTTATGAGGTTATTTCAAGCAGCCCTGCTTCAGCGCGGCTTAAGAGAGGAAGTTACCAACCTAAGAGAGGAATCTGCTCAACTACAACGCGAACTTCAGAAACACATCCGGACGAATTCAGCGTTTCAGGAGGAGCTGCGGCAGATAGGGAGAATTATTACCTGCGTCGCGAATGGAGATCTTTCAAAGAGAGCGTCTATTCAGGAGTCGGAGACCAACACCGACATCCGTCTATTTAAGGACACGATAAATACTATGATGGATCAGCTACAGCTTTTTGGCAACGAGGTATCCAAGGTCGCGAGAGAAGTAGGAACTGAAGGTATTCTGGGTGGTCAGGCTCAAATCCCTGGCGTCCAAGGCATCTGGAGGGAAATAACCGAGAATGTCAACGTCATGGCATCGAATTTGACTCTTCAGGTACGCGAAATCGCCACTGTCACGACCGCTGTTGCGCATGGAGATCTCAGTCAGAAAATCGAGAGACGGGCGAAAGGGGAGATTTTCCAGCTTCAGCAGACAATCAATACTATGGTGGAGCAGCTTCGAGCGTTCGCAACTGAAGTGAATCGGGTGGCCCATGATGTCGGCGCTGAAGGTATCCTTGGCGGCCAGGCAAAGATCATCGGCGTGGAGGGCATTTGGAACGAATTAACAATTAACGTGAATGCGATGGCCAACAATTTGACTGCTCAAGTGAGGGATATAACCACTGTTACAACAGCTGTCGCAACAGGAGACCTTACGCGGAAGGTGCAAGCGGAGTGCAAAGGCGAGATCCTACTTCTAAAGAATATCATCAATTCGATGGTTGACCAGTTGAGGACATTCGCGCAGGAAGTCACTAAGATCGCAAAGGAGGTAGGGACGGATGGTGTTCTTGGCGGCCAAGCTGTCGTCCACGGCGTGGAAGGAACGTGGAAACACCTAACAGACAATGTTAATGGCATGGCCATGAACCTTACTACCCAAGTTAGGGAGATCGCTGATGTCACCACTGCCGTTGCGAGAGGCGATCTCACGAGGAAAGTGACGGCGGATGTACAGGGAGAGATACTGGATCTTAAAGACACGATCAACGGAATGGTTGATCGACTCAACAGATTTGCTTCGGAAGTGAGCCGGGTAGCGCGCGAAGTGGGAACCGATGGTACCCTAGGGGCCAGGCACGTGTCGAAAATGTGGAAGGGCTATGGAGAGACGTTACGGACAATGTCAATACGATGGCACATAACTTGACTTCGCAAGTTCGAGCAATATCGAACGTTACCCAAGCAATTGCGCGAGGCGACCTAAGCACTAAAATCGAAGTACACGCCCAGGGTGAGATTCTCACGTTGAAGGAAACGATAAATGACATGGTTGATGGCTTGGATCAATTCGCGAAGGAACTCAAGCGAGTCGCTCGCGATGTGGGGGTTGAAGGGAAGATGGGAGGCCAAGCAAACGTGAACGGAATACGTGGGCTATGGAAGGAAATCACAGAAGACGTCAACATCATGGCGGAAAATCTGACATCACAAGTTCGTGCCTTTGGTGAGATCACGGAAGCTGCTACAAGCGGGGATTTCACTCAATTAATTACGGTCAACGCGTCTGGCGAGATGGATGAGTTGAAGCAGAAAATTAACAAGATGGTTTCGAACCTACGAGACAGCATTCAACGAAATACAGCTGCTAAGGAGGCTGCAGAGTTAGCAAATCGCAGCAAATCAGAGTTTCTCGCCAACATGAGCCATGAGATTCGCACACCTATGAACGGAATAATTGGATTGACTCAACTCGCACTCGAAGCGGATGATCTTCAGCCATCTATTCGCGAAACTCTCAACATCGTACACACTCTTGGGAATAGTCTCTTAAGCATCATCGATGACGTCCTCGATATATCCAAGATCGAAGCGAATCACATGGTCATCGAAAACGTTCCATTTAGCATAGGAAATACCGTTTTTAGCGCACTGCGGACATTGGCTGTCGAAGCAAGCGAGAAAATAATCAAATTGGTATATGAAGTGGAAGAAGGGGTTCCGGATTTCATTGTTGGGGATGCTTTCCGTCTCCGCCAAGTGATACTCAATCTACTCGGCAACGCCATCAAATTCACCGAGCACGGTGAGATTCGGGTTGCAGTTAGAAAGGCGGTCGGGAAGATATGCAGTGCTGATGAGTACGCTTTTGAAGTATCAGTTTCCGATACGGGTATCGGTATTGCAGCCGATAAGCTAGGTGTCATTTTTGAGAAATTCCAGCAGGCGGACGGCTCGACAACAAGGCGATTCGGTGGCACCGGGCTGGGTCTTGCCATTTCAAAAAGAATCATCAATCTGATGGGCGGAGATATGGCTGTCACGTCTGAGGTTGATGTTGGAAGTACTTTCTCCTTCACTTTCATCTCGAAGTTGGTCGATGCATCGTTCGTTGCCTCGGAGCAGGACACTCCACATAAGGGTCGCCGTATTCTTTACATCGATAAAGGAAGCAACACAGATCAGCCTATCCAACATATGCTGGCCGACCTCGGTTTCGTACCGGATGTAGTAACCGACGAGAGGTATTTCGCAGAGACTTCAGCTGAGCTCCGTGGGCCAGGGTTTTATGATGCCGTCCTGATTGATGCGTTGGAGGTCGCGATGACTTTGAACGCTCTTGGCACTTTCCCATTCATCCCACTTGTCTTGGTTCGCCCAAGCGTATCAATTGTCCTTAAGTCTGCCCTGGATTTAGGTATAGCATCATGTGTGACAACTCCTTGTCGTTCAATTGACCTCTGGAACGGTATTCTGTCGGCCCTTGGCAATCGACCAACGCGCATAGCCAGCGGATTCACCCGTCCATTAACTGTCTTGCTCGCGGAAGATAACGAGATTAATCGAAAAGTGGCTCTGAAGATACTAGGAAAGTTCAATCACAGTGTAACTGTGGTGGAAAATGGCCAGGAAGCTTTGGAAGCATTCAAGAAGCAACGGTACGACGTTGTTCTTATGGATATTCAAATGCCTGTCATGGGAGGATTTGAGTCTACCGTGAAGATCCGGGAGTATGAGAAAGACAACAGCTTGCCACGTACTCCCATCGTGGCACTGACTGCTCATGCTATGTTTGGTGATCGTGAAAAATGTCTCGATGCAGATATGGATGACTATCTCTCGAAACCAATTGATCAAAACCGACTGATACAGGTTATCCAGAAGTACGACAGCTTCGGCCTGCATAGTCAGCGGCAAAATCCGGAAGACTAACAGCGACACCAATCGGCCAGCCAAGCTGATTGCCGTCACTTCAATAGTGGCACACTGGTATTATAAATCCGTCGACTCTTGGACACATCAGAAGAACTACCGCGATTTTCAACGCGCATTGCATATGTCTTCACGCTATCGATATCATTTTCAAGGCTCCGTTGCAAGGCGTAAATGCCCGATCATGACCCTAGAGAGTTTGTGTCGATGTAATTTAAGGAGGAGAATATCTCCCAAGTCCGACAATACAGTGCAGCCACAGCCAGGCCGCGGTAGAGAAGAAGGCCGTGCTATAGCGCTCTCTGAGGTATAACCATTTGCCACGCATGATAGCCCAACGAATCCATTGCATAGCGTGCGGAAAGCTTCCGTCAAGAACTGGTCATCGACTCCAGGTCGCAAAGGATGAACGGCTGGGGAATTGGTGCTTGATCCTGGAGACTTCCTGGCGAGAAACGGGGATGGAAGACGACAAGACAACGACGGCTGCAGATATCTTTGGTAGAGCAGCAAGTTCAGGGTAGGGGCACTCGAGCTCTCGTTTCTTACACGAGCAGGGTAGCTTAGATATTGCTCACAGCGCTGATCGACCTGGCGGCTGACTAGGGGATTAACTGGGGTGAAAAATGTTGATGATGAAGACCTCCATAAGAGGGAGTGTAAACTTTGACGAGTAGGAAACTATTGCACCTCCTGGGTTTGAGGGTATCCCAGCTATGCATGAAATTTACAACGAAATGCGCACGCCTGACAGCCCACATGAGTGTTAATTTCTGGTACAGGCCAGATACTACGTCATATATTAATCGGCTTTACGAAGCTTCCCAGTAGATGTCGTTTGGCCCTGTCATATGCCAAGCCCTTGTCGCCTAGATTTAGAAGCACCTTACCGCCAGCTTGGAAACCGTTCTCTAAGACAATCTATTCCAAAGTACGCGACGTTTTCCTCTCCAATGTTTTTTGGATGAACAACCATCGGGGTCAACGTCGGCCCCAGGCACTGTATACGCCGACGAGGTAACATTTATGACGTTGTGGCTCTGGCTCATCCAACGGAAGCTTCGAGCATCAGAGTCCTTTTGCATAATTGAATGGCCCTCTAAATGTAGCCTTTTTCCCCATCCATCACCTTCATCAGTGACCCTAGGGCAGATGATAGTATTCGCGAAGCTTGTCGCCATCACGAGAAACAGAAGCGGTCGGAAACCACCTTACATGATTATAGCCTAATCGTAATACGAAAAATATCCGAGGAGTACTCCGTATCTTCCAGGTGGGTCGCATGGCTAAGGAAGTGTAGACATTGCCTATAAGCCCTCCTCCCACAGCTCAAGCTACGGACTTAGCCACAGGCGACAAAGAGCCACCTGGTTCGGACTGATGCTGCTCTCCTGATGGGCTCTAAACTGCCATCACAGCTACATCCACTTATTGAAAGCCATCACCTGCAAGCAATACTAGTTATTGCGGACTTCACCCGCTCTATGATCTCTGGCAAGGCTGTGGAGATTCTACACCTATCCTCTATATATATGTACAATTCGGAACCTTTGACGGAAAGATATGCCAAGGCTATGCGATACTTATGTCATACACTCAACCATGGAGAAGCAACGTTCTAAACTCTCCTCCGAGATGGAACCCTGCTCCTCCACAGACTCAATAGCGATCGCTGGGACCTCCCGCTGCCTATACCGAGACTTATACAATGCGATCATAACCCTGCCCGCCACAAAGCCAACTAGACAGGCGAACAACCCCGCCGCAACCCCCAAGCAGTGTAGGCAGAATCACCGGCTGAACAAGTCCCATGAGGTCGCGGTCCCACTTGTTCCACGGTATGGTATTGTGGTAGTGGTAGGTCCGGGACTTGCAGTATTCATCTCCGCGAGAAGGACAAATCCAAGAGACAGAATCCTTCGTACCAGTTAACGCATCCAAGCGGGGCCTGACATGCGTCTGGAATAGCTGCCAGGCGCCGTTTGCATATCCATGGCGGTAGAACGGACTTCGCTCAACCTTGATGATGCGTAGGCTGCCGTTCTGCCTTGTGAACCCTACCGCGATCAAGTCAGGTGTGATTGGTCGGCCGTGCAGGTCGAACAGTCGCAATTTGAGTAGGAGCGTGTTGCCGAGTACTTCACCCGGGTACGACGGAAGCGGGCGTACATCGACCCCATACGCGATAACCACGGACTGCTTCGCCGGAGGGCCAGTACTTGATTGCCGGAAACTGCTGGGGAAGGATGGAAGGGAAGATGGGCTCGTGGTTGGCGTATAGCGTGCCATTGTCGGTGAAGAACTCCAGTGTCTATGCCGTCAGTATGGGTTTATTCTATTAGTATGTTGATATACGGTAACTTACTACATGTGATCTCGAATGGGGGTTTTGCAAAGCATCGGGCATCTGAGGACGCACATTGGGAGCAGGAAACGTCGAGTCTGTAAAGATGGCGAGAATGTGGGGTATCTGAGATTTGTGAGGGTTGATAGTCTGGAAGGGAGGCAGTGACCCTGCTTAAACAAACAACTGCCAGTGAGAGGAACCGCAGCAACATGACAGCTGTTATTCACAGTCGAACGAATGAGGCTGTGTTGGTGAAAAGATGGAAATGCGCATCGATTGCGAAATTGATCTTCATACCTCAGAGGATTGAACTCCAGCAATAGGAGGGGACCGGAAATATCTGGATTAGTGAATGGAAGTCCAATCAAAGGGAACGCGGCATTCATGCGAAGTTTAGCAGTGTTTGCAGGGAAAATGCTTGATTCTGCAATTGGACCAAAGCCCTGAGGATGAAGGTGAGCTATGAGCTAAAGATATACTCATAGAACTCGTCATTGTTGTCGAAAAGCCCTACGACACAACGAGAAACCCCTGGACTTCGTAGGCAGCTCCCGATGGCTGTGTAAAAAAAGGTTGGACTAGGAGGTCACTATCAGCACATAGAGTATAAAAAATTTCCTTAATACATAAAGCACGGCTCCTTGGTTTTGTAGTGTCAGTCTAGTCCACGGGTCTATAATATTGTGTTCATCACGAGTAGACTTTTGTCCACCCGTTATATGGCACACCATACCATATTCAATGAAATTTTATTACAAGAAACTCCCTCCGCAGCTTATGGTTCTGAAAATGACCTTGTACACAACATGGAGGGCAGCTACTAACCGACCCTTCCAGCTAGGTATAACGGAACTAGGGGAAAAGAGGTTATATGTTTGGTGGTAAGCGCTGAACCTAAACAGGTAGCTTAGGTGCCTGAGGCAATGAACACTGAGGAATGCTAAGCATGGAGGCTGAGGCAGAAACAAAGAATGGATGCCAGTAATTCACCATAACCACACATCTGACTGCAGGTAGTAATCTATACTCCAAAGTGGACGTACGGGACCCAGTACAGAGCCATATCCCTCTTCCGAAGTCTCCTGCGGACTGCGTCTCTCTCGCTTTTAACTATGCTAACAGCCGCAAATGTGCTGGAGACACCACCTGCACATAAGTCAGGGTCCAACCCTCCATAGTCGTCTTCAGTATTACAGTCATCCAGCGACCTGCTCGTCACGGTTTCTCTGTCCATGTCCCGTAGTTTTCTCATGGCCAGGTGCAGCCCAAGGGCTACAGCACCATCCAATAAACCCTGATCGCGAATAAATTCGTAGAAGCTTCTGGCAATCTCGACGCAGTGAAAGTCAGAGACTTCCCAGAGAGTGCCAATAACATGACGAAACCCTGCAAGCTGGCACGAGTTGATGAGATGGATTCCTTCATCCTGGAGTCTTCTGGCGGTATTCGCTCCCGTTGAGCACGCGGATAAGTAGGCCAGAAATGGTGCGTTTTCTTGTAGCTTGAGGTCGCGGAGGCTCCCCACAGTGAGCCGATTGTTGGCCCAGTCCTCGAGTAGGAGACAGCTTTCGGACGGCTCTCCATTGTCGGAAAGCCCGTGACCGGCAAAATGAAAAATCTGGCAGCCCTTCAGATGGGTCAGGAGTTGGGCTTTGGTGGGCTGGACTAATTCGATCTGCTGTAAACGCAGCGAGGGACACAGCTCACGGAGCATGTCGACCTCTTTCGAAGCGAACGGGAGGGCCGACTGACCAGGTGTCTCAGGCATTGCGGCCAAAAGTGCGTACTCGGCTTTGGTGTCACTGCAGCGTCGGATCTGGTGTCGTTGGCCATAGGCCAGAGCCCTGAGGGAGGTAGAGTACGAGGAGACAACTCTATCGAGGGCAGTTTCCTTTGAGCCGTTGGCATGGTTGCCGGCTGCGTGGATAGGAAACCTGGCGAGGAATCCTCCAGGAATCCACCATATGTGAGGCCAGTCCCCATCTGACGGGGGTTGATTGTACCCTAGATAGCTCAAGACAGGCTCTACAATGGCAGCCCATAGCCATTCAAGAACGCAGGTTGTATTTGACGTCAAAGCTTCAGCCATGCGATGCGCATCCTCTATGTTCAGACCCGGCAGGTTCAATGCAGCGATACTGTCAGTTTTGATGACGAAGGCATCGCAGCGGTGGGCGCTGACGCTGAGAACCACCACCGGCCCCTGGCTCGCGGTGGCCATCATGTCCTCGGGAGTCAGTGGCAGCAGGAATCTCTCGAATCCAGCGAGTTCCCTTATTTGCTGGATGACGTCGCTGAGTGATTCGTCCAGCTGATATCGTGTGTTCAGACTCGACAAGGACCTGTTTTGATCACGAAGGTCTAATGATAGAGCTGTCACCGTTGGGTCTGAGTCCAGTTGGTCTCGCAACTGTATGAACCTTTCTGCTAGTTGTGGGTGCTTCCTCTCGAGCTCGTCAGTGCTCGACCGCATCTCCGTGAGCAACCCAGTGATGACTCCAGAAGCGAGCTCAAGCGCCTGCAGTGCTTGACCAGGGCTCTTGCCCGCATTTAAGGCCACGGCGGCGGCAATGGAAGCCACGCCGGTGAACTGTCCCAGCCCACGCTCCTTGTCCGTGTTGCTAAAGATTCTGGGGCTCAGCAGAGGAACAAGCTGGATGGCCTCCTCCAAGACGGTGTTGGCGGACACCCACTCAGCATTGGCTGCCATGTAGAAAGATGCAGTAAGGCCTAGATGAATGCGAGTCGATGGCTCGGCTTTCTTACTACAATACCAGCCAGCCTTCACCACGCCAAAAATAGCCGCATGCGCCTCGTGGGCTGGCGACATGCACCCTGGATATCTCTCGGCAAGCAAGTTTGCCAGGTTCTTGAGAAAAAGAGCTCGGATGTGGTCATCCACTCCCGACATGCTCACCGATTCTCTCGCCGTTTCAATGGCCTTGTCCAGATCCGCCCATTTGGTCGACAAAACTGCCCGAGTTCGAAGGATATTTGCAAGGCTGTAAAGTCTCCAGGCCTTCTCGTTGCCATCTGAAGGCGCGGTGGCCACTGCCACATTTGCAAAGACTTCGGCCTCGTCGAGGTCGTCAATCGTTCGATCCCTTACACAGCGGGAGTGAATCATTTCTGCAAGAATGCCGGCTCGCATAAAAAACCACCTGTGTCCATCAGGGGTGGCGTCGAATGCGGCTCGTGCAGCCTCTATAGCACGGTCAAGGTGGTCCTCGTTTCCAGTGCCCGGGCGATGAGAAAGCTGCCATGAAAGATTGGTGAGGCAGCTCGTATGCTCCTCACTACCTGTGGGGTACTCGTGCATGGCCATGGTAGTCAACTCCATTGCACGGTCAAGATCCTCCACGGCGCCTATCCTTACGTATCGTCTGCACAGAAGCTCACCGATGGCGCCAAGTATAGTAGTGCGGTACTGATCAACGGAAGGCAAGTGTTCTAAGGCTCTTGAGAGTATGTCTATTGAATCGTGAAGGTCTTGAAGTGATCCGCGGGCAGTATATCTCGTGCCCAGTCTCAAAATTAGGGAGAACAAGCAGATGTAGTAGCCATGGTCAGTAAAAGAGACGGAGCTGACAGCGCCCTTCAGCGCTTCAACAGCAGCGTCAACATCTTCATACGACTCCGTCGCTCGAGCTCGCAGATTCGTCCAGATTCCGATATTGCAAGCGGCCTGTCGTCTCTCAACATGATCATGGGGTGCGCTTTCGCTTGCCTTTTTGGCATATCGGACTGCTTGGTCGATGTCATCCAGTAATCCAAGGTGCTCAAATCGCTCGCTCAGTAGCTGACCGAGACTGTTCAAACATGCAGCTTGACAGGTGTTATCAGAGGAAGAGATTGCTAAGGCCTCCTCTACTGTAGAAAGAGCAAGAGTGAAATCGTCTGTCTCCCTGTCCAGGTGTTTTCTGCCGTACCAAAGACCAAGTACTAGCAGGAACCATGGCTGCAGGGCGTGCCCAGTTGGCGAGTTCTCGAAGGCTTGCTGTAGAATGTCGATGGCTTGTCTTGCTAAATCTGAACCCCCGCTGTGTTGAGACGAAGACCCCGAAGAACCTCCAAAAGTAAATAGTTGGCTAAGCCGCTCGGTCTCTTCGTCTCTTGGCTGTCTGAGAGTTGCTCTGATATTGTCAATAGCTTCATGAAAGTCGCCAATTGTTCTTGTGCATCGAAAGCGTTCGGCAAGGCAGAGACTCAACTGGCCGGAGAGCTCTGGGGATTGAGTTCCATCCAAAGCCACCTTAGCCAGTTCTATGGCTCTATCCAGATTATCCAAGGTCTGGGTCATTGCAAATCGCTTGTAAAGACACTTCGTGTAAACGTCAATGAACTCTAGTTGGTCCGTATGTCCGGCTACCATGTCATCCAATGCCGGGCTCATGGCTTCGATGGCTTCGTCCACATCCGCTACAGCCCCAGTCTCATTACATCGAGCAAGAAGATACGTTCCGAGAGATATCAAGTAAGTATTGCGATCAGGATCATCCAAGGTGATGGCCGCCAATGCCTCGTAGGTACCTTGGATGCCACTATCCATGGCCTGAAGCCGGAACTCTAAAGGAGCAGATGCCATAAGTCGGTTTGTCATATCCACAGCACGGTGGAAATCTTCAGACCGTCGCTCCCCGTGAAAGAAATATCGTTCCCCATTCCATTTGGTAAGCTGGATCAGCCACGCGTGCTGCCATGTCGGATCATCCGAGGGTAATTCAAGCAGCTCTTCTCCAAGTTGGATGAGTTGTTCCAGGTCAGACAGCGTCCGAGTCCCGTTATAGCGGCTCTCGAGAAGCATATAGTATTGCATCACCAAGTCACGGCGGTTCGCATCTCCTTGAGGTGCAGCTTCTGCCTGGGCTTTAGCATGCTCGATGAGAAGATCCAGCTGCTTCGGTACAGGCTCATTCGCGACAACGTCGACATCCAGACCCATGGAGACGGCCAGGTCAGCTACCTGGTTTTGTTCTTCTTCCAGTTCACTTAGCCCCGCCGTCATCGCGGACAGGATCTGGTTGCGTCTATCCCAAAACGGACTGTCGTCGGCCGTCATAGCTAATAGCTGTTCCGAGCGAGCACGGGCACGAACGAGGTATTCGCTGTTGCCCGACCTTTTGAAGGCATGGAACAAAGCAAATACTGAAAGCTTAATGGTTGTCTCATCCTCACCATCCTCGTGTAGTTCGGCAAAAGCAAGGAGTTCATCGTCACTGGCGGATTCAAGTAGACTGGCAACCTCAGGGTCGATACCAGGGGAAGCCATACGGTGTTAATAGATTTGAGGACAGGCTCTCTGAGGCAGGCAGTTTTGGAGGGCGTCACCGTTTGTTGGAGGGAGGAGAACGGCTGTGGAGAAAGACGGGCGCTTAAACACCTCGCGAGATTCCCTTTTCGTCTCTCAACATCGTTTCGGAGGTAGCTGCCTAGTCTAAAAGGCATTTGCCTTATAGGCCAGTATCAAAGATAGCTTTACCCCAGCCTCGTTGCTTTGCATCTGTTGGGGCCGTGTCCAATGGGATGCGAACACAAAGCCCCCTCAGCCTCTCCCCTCGGCGCCCGGACAGCGAGGCTGAGGGTGGCCAGAAAGCCGCTAACCAACGCTCACTTGCTAACGCTTGCAGCTACCTAGTACAGCCGCTGGAATTAGCACTACACAAAGGACTCTGAATCTGTGCGCAATGCCTGATCGCTGGGCAATTCTGATCGGCATCAACGGGTACGCCACGAAGCCATTGAGGGGCTGCGTAAACGATGTCAACTTGATGAAGGCGTATCTCGAAGCCAACTCAAGCCCAGTCAAGGTGACAGCGCTTACAGCGACTCCGGCCACAGACCCAGGAAGCTCACCACTGCAAGAGGAACGCGATCTATGGCCGACGCTATCGAATCTCAGACGCTGTGTGGACCAGATCCTAGCCGTCGCTGTGCCCGGGAATTTCGTGTACATTCACTTCTCCGGGCATGGAACTCGGTTTCCACGGCCGCCTCGACTAAAGTACGGAAAGAAAAGTGGCGGCGACGTGGGCCTGCTTTTTCTCAATGACTCTGCAACTGCGTGCGATGAACTGCGAGGCCTGGCGTTGGCAAATACATTGAAGCGAATGACCGACCGCGGCCTTGTCGTGACGTTGACACTTGACTGCTGTTTTTCAGGTGATGTATACCGTCAACACGAGCATGCTGGTGGTAGCATTCGAAGCATGGAGCATGAATCTGCGGTTGATATCCCAGATGATCCAGAGATCAATGGTTCTGGGGAAAACCGCCAGCATTACGGCCTGCGAGATGCACGACCGTTGCCCAATTGGTTGGTGAACCCTGAAGGATACCTCGTCATCACTGCCTGTGGCCCTCATGAAGTAGCCGGGGAGGTTACCTTGAACGGACTATCGCATGGCGTGTTGTCCTATCACTTGCATGATATCCTCACTTCTCTTTTGGCCCGAGCATCTCAAGTCTCCGTGCAGACTATATATAATGCCCTCGTGAGCATGGTCCATCAAAGGATGGCAAAACAAACCCCGATGCTGTATGGAAGCAATGGCGCTTTCTTTTTCGGTGAAGTCCTACATGGGGGCCATGTTACAAGCATCTCGGCCACGTACAGCAATCAACAGCTTGTCTTGGAGGCGGGACACGCACACGGGGTCAATTTGGGTGACGAATATATCCTATCTCCTTTCTGGACTGGTGAGAACGTGAATGGCTCTGTGCAAGACGAGACACTCAGGGCTAGGGTCATGTTTGTTGGCCTGATCACTTCAATCGTCGAATTGCTTGATATCTCCGTGTCAACCGCAACGGCCAGCCATTGGAAGGCCCAATTGGTCTCGCGGCAGGCTTCGACTCTGGTTGGCCTGATGCGTTCCATCAGCAGGCCCTCTGAGCTTGTCACTGCTCTACAGCAGCTGCCCTCTATTTGTGTCTCAGACAGCCCTCGCACGAGTGCCGACCGGTGCGGGCTTTATATACAATTTGGCATGAACAGAGGGTATGAGCTCCTCGATGTCGATCAAAAAGCCCTTCCTCTGCCCCCTATCCAGCAATGGGACCCTTTGATTAAAGCAGTTGATCATATCGCAACATTCTCATACTACAAAGCAATTGAGCCACCCAGTCACGATAGTGACTTCCAGTCACTGTTTGATATCAGCATGCGCAATGAACAAAACGCCAAATATAACATGGAAGGTGTAGTCGACGTCGTTGATCAAGAGGAGCTAACCCTAACGGTCAAGAATCTAAGCCAAACTGTCACACTATACGTGACAGTCCTGAACTTCACTCCCTCATGGCAGATCCAGTATCTGTCCGGCGAGGAGGGGGGAACTTGTTTTGACGCTGTTTCCCCTGCGGACCCGGCTCTACACTTTACCGGAACAACAGAGATGGCATTTGCTATGGCAGTACCGGAACATCTGCGCACATCAGGATGCTGCGACGATATAATCAGGATTATCGTCACAAATACTCCGACCTCGTTCGACTCACTCCTTCTGCCCAAGCTTAGCAGTATCCTGGAGCAGACTACGAGGGGAGGAAGTCAGGGGCTAGACTCAACAAAATCAACAAAAGCCGTTCCCCAAAATTTGCGTCAATGTGAAGAAAAAGCGGCAATGTTTACGGTCACCATCCGTACACATGTATGAAGTGAATCTGTATGGATCGCAAGGGGATACTCGGCCGTTGGATACATATAACTCGACAGCCCCCATGAACTTTAGTGCCCAGAATGAGAACACTTATACCGCTTCCACTAGGTCCGATTCCTCGAATACTGTCTTCCCGTCTACAGAGACCACTGTTCCATCATCCATGCATAGCGTGTACTTGCCCGCAATCACCATTTCGACCAGGTACGGCCCATGGATTTCGATCGCGCCATCGGGGCGCCTAACTGAAACATGGATCAGATCGCCGGGATAAAACCGGGTCGTCTACATATATTAGTTTATGAAATAATACAGCACTTGTATCATAGAGTGCCTTTACCTGCGAGTAGGGCAGGATCGATGCCCGGCCCTGGTCGTCATGACCGATGGGTGCCTCATGATGACTGTTTTCCTTTCTGCGGATATGAGTGCGCTGAAAATAGAAGTAGACATTTAAAGGCAACGTAGTCTCACACTCGGCAAGTGTCCATTATCTGCTTGATCTAAAAGTCGATGGCTGATTGATCAAAATCGAGCGGCGAGAGGTAGACGCAAGCAAAAGGCTGTCTGGCGGCCCTTTTCTGCCTTGTTGGGGTGTTATATGTATGGTCCTGTTCAGATCGAGCTGCATGTTACTGTTCCGCTGGGCAGGAATGCGTCGGTGCCATTAGGCATTTATCATTTGCAGGTCCTCCCTGGCCTAGCAGGTTAGTGGCTGCGCCTCGATTCTCGGCCTTGCGCGTGACATGGTAGCAGCGCTTCTGCCTGCACGGTGAACCTCTTCTTAAGTCCGCTAAGACGTGATGATAGATAACGAACTATTGATCTTTTGATTGAGTATCGAGCAATTTTGTACTAAATCTGGTACCGAATCGTCCGTATCTCACTTCCAGCACCGACAACGGAAAAACGTACTGTTCAAACCAACAAACCCACACAAAACAGTCTAGACTTAAACAGCCCAGCTTTCCGAAAATGCCGTCTACTCTGCTGCCACTGCATGCTTCAGTACCTACACAAAGCTGTGCGGTCCCAGTCAGTCAGCTAGAAATGACACGCAGCCCCGAGCCAGACGTCGGTCACAAAGACGAGGCCATCAAGGCCAGCCGACAGGCCTCGAGCGCAGCACACAGTAAGCCCAGCTGCCCTATCCATGTTACCTTCCTGAAGTTCCGTGCTTACCCATCCACCTAGTCGAGGACTATCCGCTTGGCCGCCCCCGGTACGGAGCCCTAATCGCCTCCCACGAGTCATTCCAGGTCTATCGACAGTTCTCGTATCTCCGGACGCGTCTGCTGCTCGATAAACAGGACCGGCTAGCACAGTTGGAAGATAAGCTGCGCGATATCGACCAGAATGAACAACACCCGCTTTTCCTGTCGAGCAGCCGGCTGGATCGGAATGAGGCGCGGAAAGCAGTGCTGGCTGAGATTGATGCTGCGTTGGCGGATTACGGTATGCCCTCTGTAACCTGGCTTGCCGTAACCCGAAATGCCTGTCTGGAAGCATACCTCCTGAAAAAAAGAACATGCATGTAGATACCCTCATCGAACGAACCGCACGGACAATACTGCCCCTAGGCGCGCCGCAGGAGCGCAACATCGGCAACCTCCGCAATTGGATCGAGGGCAACCCCTGCCTCGCGCGCCACTACCCGGAGTATATCACGCAGACCCGTCACCACGGCGACCTGTTGGCCCTCTGCACATCGCCAGACAGCGCACCGGACCTCGTGGAGCTCTGGATCAAGGACTTTCTCAAGACGTACTTGGCAGCACCGTACAAGGCATGTCCACACTCTCTCGTCCAGTGAAGATGCAGACATGCTGATCGAAGATGCTGGCTACCGAAGAAAATGTGCTCCTCCATCTCATCCGACGCTCATATCCTCATCTACCACGGCCGCGCACTCGGCCAGATCGCGCGCACGGCGATCGCGCTGCTCCTCCTCGTCTTTCTGCTCGTGCCCGTGGTAATCTGCCACTCGTTCGGCGCGGGCCGCCAAACGGCGAGTCTGGTCGTGATCGTTGTGTCCACCGTGCTGTTTCTGTGCATGATGTCGTGGCTTGCCAGGGCAAAGACAGTGGACTTGGCGATTATGGGGTCTGCGTGGGTTTCCTCCCAGTCCCTTTTGCGTTTTGGATATATTTGTACGTTACCTTGGTAGGACGGTTACTGACGGCGTCTTGGCTGTAGGTACGCTACTGTTTTGACGGTGTTTATCACGGGAACTGGGTAGATGGGCATATACCTTGCAGCGTGTTTGATTTTCAGTAAGACCCAGATAAGCTGTGTGGTGGAGTATAAATAAGGAAAACATTATTATAGAAAAAAGGTAATATTAGGCACCTCCTTATATAGTTATATAGCTATAAACTACTCCAGCGTCGCGCGCGACGGCAACACCCACCGCGGTCAAAGATTTACAACCATTTAGGTGCGAAGATGGAAATTTCCAGTGGGTGCAGTGATCTAGGGCCTCTCAGAACTGATGAGCTTATCAAATCTTCTCTAGGCCTAGGTAGGGGTATGTTTCTATTTATATAGATGGAGAATAGACTTGTACATCATTATATAAAATAGAAATACTAGGTTTAGTGAGAAAAGTAGGCGTTATGGTAGATTTCAGATTTTTGACTGTGATGATCAGGATGTTGGTGGTTAGGAATATATAGGTATTACTGCACCATCTTTCATCCTTGTTTTAGGGGAGTTTAGTCTAGTTTTCTATTAGGACTACAGAAACAAAAAAGGACTTACTCAGATGACACTAATTGCCGGAACTCCAGTTGTCAGAACCTCTCTGTAAATCTTGTCAACCTACAGAATGCCTTTGATATCTACCTATGACAGTTCAGATCTCCAGCAACGAGGGGGACAGACAACTGTCATACGCAGACAATCCTTGCTTTACACACTATATCTTCCAAATGTTCTCTTCATCCTAGCACATACGACCACAGGGTGTGGAAAACAGGGCTTCCCGTCCGCTCAGCCATACTTAAGCCCCAATCATCAACGTGGTCGAAAGTTATATGCGCCCTTGAAGGCCTGCTGCTTTATGGGTGAGAGATGCTAAACCATAGGGTGAGTGTAGGTGAGTGAAGGTGAGCTGAGTGATGCTATCCAATACCATGGGTGAGCATGGGTGATCAGTAGGTGATAGTGTGATTCTATAATTACTACGCTCCATCTATTGCTAGCTTAAATATGAGGGCCTCCTCTCTACTTAATCATTATCTCGACAGTATCTGTAGGATATAGTGAATATCTACATCTTTAAAGAGAGAGTGGTATATTATCCTAGTAAATAGCCTATTAATAGGAGATGTCTAGCCTGTACTCCTTTTGCTATTTGCCTATTCCTTGCCCTCACTTTCATCATTTCACCTCTCCTCCCCATAAGTACCGTCATTTTCTAAATCTCACCTTAATATGCTTTAGAGCCCACTTCCTTGCGCTGTACTGAAGCATTCTTCTCTTTTCTTAAAAAGAAAAAATCGAATGTGCTTACTATACCTCCAGCGCATCTTGAAGATTGACGGGTGCACACATAACACCCTTAGGGCTAAAGACCCTCAGCAGATCGATCACCTTTGGTCCTAGGTTGTTGCTAGCTTTTCAGTTTAATCAATTAATGCTATTAAAGGGTCACAAAGAAATGTCCAGGACAGAAAGTGCGCAACAGCAGCTTAACTAAAATAAACTATAAGCATAAACAGGAATGCTAGAAAGGAGGGCAGGGCGAAGTATATACAGCCACTTAGCAACCAGCTTCCTCAATATCCTGGGTTATCCAAACATATCTCCATTCAGATTCCTGCAGTACACCAACCAAGAATGGCAGGGGCCTCCCAGCTGCCAAAAGAGTATTTAGGCCCAAGCTATTGCAGGGGTAAGAGTAACCTTGCCTGGTGCAGGGAAAAGTGTTAGGCTTGGCTTAGTGCCCAGTCCTTTTGTCTAGCTGAAGACTCAACTAAGCAAACAGCGACTAGCTGTCAACAGTCGTACAAAAAGCGGGACGTGCACAAAGCCTTAGCATTTGAGAGGGAGGCTCTGTACACCAGAGCTGGTAGAAAGCACCTTGCGTTAAAGGATTACTTCCTAGTGATGTGCCGTCCCGATTCCGGCTTAGTGTCAAGTCGGCGTTTGCGATCTACATATTCCGGGGTTTGGTATACCTCGACTGGTCTGACCAGGGTCGCCTCCCGAGGACTTTATAGCGTAAAAAGGCTGAATGTGTACTTGTCGGACTTTTAAATACAAGTCATTTTACGACTTATTCCTCATATATCTGAATAGGTTTAATGTTCCTGTATTTTCCCTATTGCATTTCTTATATAACTGACACAGTGTGTGGGAATAATAACAAAACTGCCGATGAACGGGCCAAAGGACATTATGGTATCGTAGAAGAGAAAAGCCAGACTGGGTCTATTTCGCTATCAATGCATGAACCTGCTGATGCATAATTAATGATTAAGAGACCATCCACTATCTGCTCTTAGACAATTATGGCTCATGCCCCTTCTTCGTACTACCTTCGCTCGAGCATCCCTGTGCCAATGTCTAGGCTGTGATAGAAATGCGCTGTTCGCAGTTCTATGAATCCTTTTTCCGAGCTCCTTCCTTGACAACCGTTCTCCCGTGCGCACTGGCAAAATATTATGGTATCAGCCACACCGTTGGATAGGGCGAGTAGGTAAAAGCCAGCTCTTCACATTCCAGTAACCAAGGTTCCCATTTAGTTCTTACCACTATTTGCGTCTCTTAGCAGATAGCCTCTTCGTAATGTTGTTAACTATAGTTCCCTGTCCCATTTCCAGGGCGATCTCAGCCAGCCATAAGTCGAATTAGGTTAACCTGCCTGATATTGCTTTTGGTAAATGCACTTGCGTTTCAACCCTATGACGGTTGCAATGTAGTTGAGAATCCAAACATCAAAGAGATAATAGGGTGAGGATTTAGATATACCTCAGAGAAGGGATCTCTTTCCTAATAGCTTACTGTCAACAGAGCTACGTTATTAGCCCTATCAGGAACTTTCTATCTCCACTGGAGTTCGTTGCGTCACCACTCACGGAAGTGGCTGCAACAGACATTCACCACATTAGATACCTCGCATGAAAGACCCAAGAGCTAGTTGCGCGTACAGTAGAATCATTCCTAGTTATCTTCCCTTCCCAACCTCCGCCCCTGCGGTAAATGTTTTCTCTGTTTATAAATCTCACATTTCCCGTTTGCCAGTGACATTTCTGAATCCAGTCAGCATCTAAAAAATGTATCTCGCTATCCCACAACCAAGTGTTAGAAGATTCAGGTGCTCCTGGGCACAATGTGGCAAGGTCGGCTCAATCATCAATTCAGTCGTCCGGCGGCGTGTAGAAAAGAGCCACACTAGTCCTGCGCTTAGCCCTTCAATCGCAAATCCGACCTTTGTCGACACTACCGGACCCATACCAACACGCAACCATACCATTGCACCGTAAACGGGTGTGATAAAAGCTTCATCCAGCGCAGCGCCCTGACCGTCCATTTCCGAACACACACAGGGGAACGCCCCTATATCTGTAGCTTTGAAGGCTGTGACAAAGCCTTTTCTGATGTGGGTTGACTCTCAAGACAATATGGTCATTCCTTGGTAACATCACGCAGTCATCGAGTTTGGCCCGGCATCGCCGCGTCCACATAGCAACAATACTATACGAATGTCCCGAAATAACATGTTCAAAAAGGTATCCTCTGCCTCCATTCTTTATCATGAGTAAACACCATGAATAAACTAGACAGGAACCCTGTGATAGCTTTTCTCGCAGGGAAACACTAGTGAATCATTGGCATCGGTATCATCCTCCAAGCGAGATCCCACCAACGCGAGTGCATTCGTCCGAATTAATAGTGCAGACATACTATCTATCAACGGTTCCCCATTTCCCAAACAACAGTTTCCCCCCTTCCCAGAACTACGCGTTCTATTCGCAATATGGTTTACCCACGAGCTCTACCGTGGTGCGAGCAAGTATACCGTGTCCGTCGATCATTTCTGTGCCAAGTATGCATGAAACGCAGTACCCAGCATCTGGGATAGAATATCTTGTCCAAAGCAGGATTAGTGATTATTAAAGTTTAGACCCCCAGTGGCGACCTGACGACCAGTTATCGGGTAGCTTGAGCAGTCGTTACTAGTTGTGTGAGTGATCTTGGGCTAAGGAGACCAGGTTTTCGAAGATGTATTGCGGGTGTTGTATGGGGATTTAGCACTCTAGATGGTATAAGTTGTACTGGAGCGGCCTAACAGCATTGTATATGAATCACAGCCTAACCAAGAGAAGCTTGCTAATATACTCTAAAATCGTCAACTTACATCCCATGCAATGGTAAGTCAATACTGTGAACATCTATGAACTAAGATCTAACAATCAAAACTATACCCATAAAGACGGTAATGCGTTGAAAGGATCAGGACTTTGGCGCGCCGCAGGCTAAGCAGTTGTCAGCCAAAGCATTGCAAATTCGGTCATACCTGCTTCCTGCGCTTCAATTTGTCGATAGACAGACATATGTCAAGGCAAACGCTCAATCTCAGGGGGTTCAGCATACATGATATGCCACAGCGGAGTCAGCAGAAACGAATAGAGTCTGGGATATACCTTGACCACCAACACCTTCTTCCACCCAACACTCTCATCCAGCCCATCATCCTCGTCGTCTTCCTCATTAGGCCCATCCCCTCCACGTCGCCCCATCCCCTCCCGACGAAGCCTCCTCTCCTCCATCTGATCAAACCAGCTCATATTCAACACAATAACATACGCAGTAGAAGTCCGATAATCAGCCGCCCGCCATTCACTCGGCGCCGGGCCCCCAGAACCGACTCCAGCGCTTCCTGATCAACCACAAGCGGATACCCATGCCGGACATCTCCGGGCTGGTACTCCCCATACATAGATCTCATCAACTCCCGATGCCGTCTGCACCATGTTAGTTATAGCATAATTAGAAGTTAGCAACGCGGCAAAGCCTACCGCCAGATTTCCTCCTTAGAACAATTCTCCAGCGCAGGATCCTGCTGCACATTCCACTCAAGCTGGGGGAGAATTGCTTCCCCATCGCGGCCGCGTTCCCGCGCGCTGAGGAGAGTTTTCTCCGCGAAGCCTTTCATGCGCGAGAGGAATTGCTCCCATCTAGCTTCGTCATCGTAGGAGCAGGTGCGGTAGATGAAGAAGCCCCAGCTCTGGGCGCCGGTTTTGGTGAGTTCTTCGCGGACGCAGGTTGCGTCTGTTCTTTCATAAGACATTTCAGAGATGAGGAGGAAAGAGGATAATGTAGTTGATATGATGAGTGAAGGATGGATGATTTGCGATGTGATGTGATGTATTGAAATATAAGACCACTAGGCTAAAAAGGTGTCCGGACATGGTTCCCATCAGTCTAGGGTCTCATATCCATACTTATATTTTTCAACATGATGGATGCGAGGTGATCGTCGCCCATTAGTTGTGGTCCGGTGAAAAAGGGGATTTCCCGGGTCACATGATTTGCATGCCTCTTGGAATCTTCGGTAAGCAGACTTAGGGTTACCAACATATCCATGCAACCGAGTGCTGGAGGACAGGTTAAGGCATACTACGGACGCTATGGAGTTGTCAAGTTGAAATCATCTACGTCTAACAAGGTGAAGACTTTATGCTTCATTACAGCCCTGTGCCCTTGATTTACATGTGCTCATGCAAACATATCCTCATGTATATATTTATCCAAATCTGAATGAAGAGACTGCGCAGCTAGCTATGTATAGGCTTAAGTGCATTAGACAGTAGAGTATGGCATCGTGATAGCAGCCACCGCAGTCTCCATATCTTTCAAGATATCCATGACGGTACCCTTGTTGGCGGGCGGGTTGGCGACGTTATATGCGTTTCGAATGTCTGTTATCCTGCTGGTCATCAGTGCGCGGGCGTGCTTTACAACCTTGGTCATGTAATCTGGTATGAATTCAGTCCAGGACGTGGACAGGTCGGGACACCATTGGGATCCCCCTCAATCAGTTGCAATTGCGTGTTCACGTTGTCGACAACCTGCTCGAACCGCTTTTTGACATCCGCGTCGTTCAGGTATTCAAAGACGGCAAGGATCTGCAAGGAGTAAGTGGCTGTATTACTCGAAGATCTGCTTCGAGTGATCACTTACAAGCTTGAGCGGCTTGAGGAAGTTTTCAATAGGGCCGCAATTTTCCACGGCGTCCTCTAGGTCTGCGTCAAATACAGCCTGATCTGGTGATTTAAAATCCCATAGCTGGGAGAGTAAGTAAATGTGGCGACAGTTGGAAGAAAGGACACTTACCAAAGCCTTCATTGAGTTGATTTCTTTCTGACAGGGCACAAACACAGCTCTGTTGCGACTAGATCCCAGCGCATCAAAAACACGGTCACTGGGCCTTTGTGGAGCATAGGAGCCTGAAACAGGCGTAAGCGTCGACGAGAGCACCGCAGAGCCAAAGTAGTCTTTCCACCATTTAGACCGAATCCCTCCCACTGACATCTGTACGCCGGATGGCAGTATCCCGGAATTCGCGGCCTGTACCCACGCCTTGATGGTTTGAAGCTCAACGATGTGCTCCGTGACAAACTTGCTCATATCAACATCATCGAGAGGCCAATCAATGACCTCCCAATCGTCGCAACTGTTGCTCGTAACATCGAATGCGGTCTCAATGACAACCTGTCCATTGGGGCCTCTATAAAGCTTGCCAATTGACGGGTAAGGAAGTGACTTGAACGTGGCCTCGGTTTTATCCACGAGCAGTACCTTGAATTGTCTTTCTGCGCCTCTTTTCGCGAGGGACGAACGTCTGGTCAAGGTGCTGTTGCTCGTGCTGTTGCTCGATCCCGTGCCATTATCGAAGCCCCCATCGTCGCTCCCGTCGAAGCCCCCATCAATGCTGTCATAATCGTCGCATAAACCAGGATAAAGCTCGCAGATGTCTACCTCACAGACAGGGTTTTCGTCCAGTGAATCACAGGAAAGGACCAAACCAGTGGAACATCCAAGGAAGCTATTCTCGAACTCCCAGAAAAGAGAACTGGTCTCGTTTGAGATCGTATGCGGCGAGGGACCACCCTTATTATTATCCTCATCATCGCCCCCACCCGCAGACCCGGATGCAATTACCCTATGAGAGCTGTAAGCCTGGATCACTGTTGAAGAGAAGGCGAACTTACTTGGCCTGGTTGGAGGACCCAATGACACGGTCCATATTACTATCTTCGGACCATGCAGTGAAGGAGTCAAGGCTGTTTTTATATGTGACTGTTGTAGTGGCAGGGCCCGTGCCAAGACTCACGTTATACGACTTGTCGGAACCTACCTGTAGGGCGTTGTATGTGTTCAACGACGCTTCCGTGAAGGCATTGACGACCTTTCCATCCGTCCCATATTTGTTGAGGGTGATGGAGAGACCGACCCGAGGGCGTAGGTCAATCTTGATTGTCCCTTCGGCTGCGTCAGAGATATCTCCGCTGAACTTGGTACCCATGGCCTCCTGCGCCGTCTGACCAGACGAATCCCCGGCATCATGAGGAAAGTTCTGGACGATGTTGGTACTCGTATAAGCGTGGACGCCGGTGGAGATGTTCCCCGCCAACTCGATATCGGCCACCATTCCGACATCTGCCATAAGTGTAGGGGCAAAAGAGATGATGCCGATGTGGTTGAATTCGTCCATTGTGATGGGGCTGGAGAAGAGGCTTTCCGTGGTGTAGTCGAGGTTAAAGGAGCCGTACATCGACATGTCCAAGTTCATCTTGGCGTCAATGTTGGTATCGACGAAGCTGTAGACCTCCTCGATGTCAATACTGGGACTGATTGTACCGACGATCGATACTGCCATCTTGGCGGTTGCCGAAATACTGCCAGACGCCACGATATCAGCAAACGCTTTGGCCGATCCGCACGATTTGAGACCCGAAAAAATACTCTGCGAGAAGGTCTTGCTGAATGCACTTCCGGATCCAGACTTTTTATTACGCACAGTAGCGAAGCGACTGCCCCAGTCTCCATCGCTGCTGCTGTAGAAGCGGCGGAGCATGGATCGCTTAGACGCCGGACTGGAATCCACGACAGTTTCCCAGTATCCGCCAATATTAGCGTAGTCTGCGCGGAAATAGATTGACCCTGCATCACGCTTCACCAGACCAAAATTGTAGTCGAAGGTTAGTTCCTTAACGGTGGCTTTTGCCAGATGGGATAGATGGGCTGGCAATGATTGATCCTCGGCGACAGAGACCTCGTGAGCGACCGCGTAAGTGGCAGCACCGCAGTTATCGGGCATCTCGATGATGGTACCCGCGAGCCCGTCCAACATCATATGCTCGCAGTCGGACGTCGGTCCGTCATTTGTGCAAACAAAGCGGACTACAGATGTAAATATTAGCCGAGCTTTTAGTACCAAGGGGCCATCAGTGTCTCACCTTTTTGCCGTTTCTCCCCTTGGATTTCATGGCAGTTTAGGAACTCCAGGTCGCTTCTGCTTCCGTCTCTCTTGACCTTTGCACTCGTCACAGCCGCCTCTGGTCCGTCAATGAGAACCCAACCGAAAGCCGTATTGACCGGGTTGCTTCCTTTCGACGCTCCCTTGGGAAATTGTAGATCGTACTTGACATAATCATTCGACGGCGGAAGGGTTGGGAAAATGTCCTTGAGATCAACCGGCAGGAAGGCCTGTTCGGCTGGCGCGTCGCAGCACAGAGCCTTCTGTCGACCCCCTAAATCATTCCAAACCGTTAGCAATGACACTAAACCGCTGCAGTAAGGTCACTTACAGTGACATGAACTCTTGGAGTCACCGTAAGAATTCACCATGAGCCTGCACTGCTTCAGGGGACGTGATTGTCGATAGTGGCACAGCGTACCCGGCAACTTGGGTCATCGACCATTTCATTTACACGTACAGCATTTCATGTCTGACTGATCCGTGCGTGTCTGCACTCTCCACTGACGATAAGAACCATAGACTAACAATAGGGCATAGTACGACTGGTGAATTCTGTGATATGCTTGTCCAGTCCTGGGCCAACCTCACGGAGGAGACCTCAGAGCAGACCTGCTCAGACTGCATGCTCAGCATGCAACAGGTGGAACTAAACTCGCCTATTGGGTATGATGATGATCTTGCTGAGAGTTTTGCATCACCACATTAAGTTGTGGCAACACTAACTATCCCTTTACTTCACCTACACCATATGCCTTGAATGCGACTGCCGCGACCACCACACCCACGACAACAGGGACTGCCGTGCCGACCGCAACAGCAACATGTACGGACACCTACACAGTGATGAATGGAGACACCTGTCAGTCTGTTGCAATCGCTCACAATGTGTCTTCATTCTACCTCGCGTATAATAACAACTTGGATATTTATTGCTCCGACCTCACCATGGGCAGGACGGTGTGTATTCCTGAGACATGCGACGTCTACACTGTCCAACCAAATGATACCTGCACGTCTATTATTCGGACTGTTCCCCAAGATATCACGGTCACTCAGCTCCAGAGTTGGAATCCTAATATCAATCTTCTTTGTGGAAACATGGACAATTTGAACGGCACAGTTATCTGCGTCAGGTAAACAGCCAGCACATTGCATCATGCAAATAAAAAGCTAACAGATGATTCCAGCCCCATTGGCGGTTGGTTGGATATGTTCAACAGTGCCAGCCCATCCACGGCCACGACAGCCGTGCCAGCGCCAACAAATGTTGCCGAAGGAACCAACAATGACTGTGGAAAATACTACACTATCCAAGACGGCGATTATTGTGCCTCGGTTTCCATTCAGATGGGCATTTCCCTTAATGATTTCTACTTTCTCAACCCGGAAATTGACGCAAACTGCACGAACCTCATGCTAGGCATAGCATATTGCGTTGAGGCTGTCGGTGACATCTCCATGTATGCCAATTATACTGGTGGCGGTGCCGTTGAGGTCTCATGCCTTGATGCATCCGCTCCAAGCAGCTGCTTCCAGGACGTCTCCGATCTCCCCTCTGCGCCTTTGATGGCGGGAAATGTTACCCTTCCAAAATACAACAGGACGACTACTCCCAGTCAAACAATTCCGACGCAGACACCGCTACCAACAGCGTCAGGAACTATCGCTGGTTGCTCAAAATATCTCAATTACCAGACTGTCAACTCCACCATCCCGGACGCAGAGGCCTTGGTCAACAGCTGCTCATTTATTGCGAGTTCATATGGCGTGTCTGTTTTGGATTTGGTATCATGGAATCCTTCCTTAAACAGTAATGAAACACTCTGTGCCCTGCAATCTGGGTATAGCTACTGCGTCCTGTTACCTTCCAGTGCAAACTCAAGTCAGTTCCCCTCATCCTAACTTGCCGGACTGAATTAACAAAGGTCTTTACTATAGCCACAGCTTCTCCTACCGATGTATCCTCAAATTGCGTCTCGGTTTTACAAACAGACATTATGGAGGGCACTAGCTCCACGCAGATTAGGTACATGAGAGCTGAACTGAAAGGAAAATGCACAGTATTACATATCTTATTACCCTTACTTTCTTTGAACCTAGCACATACGACCATAGGGTGTGGAAAACAGGGCTTCCCGTCCGCTCAGCCGTACTTAAGCCACACGCCGGCCGGTTAGTAGTTGGGTGGGTGACCACCAGCGAATCCCGGCTGTTGTATGTTTTTTTGTTTTATCTAGGGCTTTTTTTTTTTTGCTTTGTTATGCTTACTGCCTTATCTTCAACCTCTTCATGCCCGTCGCCCCCGTTCACCTGAAGCTCACCTGAACCTCAATACTGCTCACTCAGTGACCCCGCTCAACCCCTGTCCTCCTGCTGTGTCTTCTAGCACTCCCTCTGCGCCTTCTTCGAGCCAATTATATGCTAACTAAGTGCACTAGCATGACTCTGCCGGATTGAAAAAACCGCATCTTCCCCGAAACCAGCCAGACTCATGTGTGTATCAGCTGCGGGGTCAAAGATTTACAACCATTTAGGTGCGAAGATGGAAATTTCCAGGTATCATGCTTCCCGTCTCGCCCAGATTGAGCATCGAGTCGGGATGGGCTAGGCCTAAAACAGATCCCGATGCTAGGCTACTGCAGTAGTAGAAGGCTATTAATCTATATAAAGCGCTGTTAAAGGCAGATTTGAAACTTGAAAATTCACGTCCTTTCGTGCAGCTAACTTCCAACCCATCATTATCTACCTAGATCGGAGAAACACTATGGCAACTATCAATACAATTTCACCTTCAGCACGACCTCGTGTCCGGGAGCTTTTGCCAAAACTCTACCTCGGTCGTCACCGGCCTGGAACCAAAAACTCCCTAACTGATGTCCCGGGTGTTCTGGTTCATACTGAGTCAATCAAGCGCCCCTCTACGACTACCAGCCATGCGGTCAACACCGGTGTAACCACGATTCTACCCCGCCAGGATTGGTTTAACTCCGGCTGTTACGCAGGGTACTTTCGCTTCAATGGAGCTGGCGAAATGACTGGCTCACACTGGTTGGATGAGACTGGTCTACTGAACTCCCCGATCATTCTTACTAATTCGTTCTCGGTCGGTGCATGCTACACCGGGGTCTACGAGTATGCTGTTCGGGAGTATAAGGACAAGGAAACCGGATTGGTGGACTGGTTCCTGCTCCCGGTCGTGGCCGAAACGTGCGATCTTTTCCTCAGCGACATTGGTGCTATGGCAGTTACATCGGATATGGTTGTTCGAGGAATTGACCAGGCCAGCGCCGACCCCGTGAAAGAAGGTAACACGGGTGGGGGAACCGGCATGATGTGCCAAGGCTTCAAAGGCGGCACTGGGAGTGCCAGTCGTGTTATCGATGGTGTGGCTTTCGGCGCTGAGACAAACTATACTGTTGCTGCTTTGGTCCAGGCGAACTACGGCGCGAAGAGAGATCTCCGCTTCGGTGGGGCTCCTGTTGGGCTACTGATGGAGCAAGAAGACGGGGCGGCTGCCGCAGCAGCAGCCAAAGAGCACGATGCAACGAAGGCGAAGGATGGAAGTATCATCGTGGTGATCGCAACGGATGCGCCACTTCATCCGACCCAGCTCCAGCGCTTGGCCAAACGAGCGACTGTTGGGCTGTCACGCGTGGGAGGATGGGGCTCAAATAGCTCCGGGGATATTTTCATCGCCTTCAGCACGGCCGAACAGATTCCACGAGCTCCAGATTTCAGCTGGAAGCCAACAGTTGAACAGAAGGTATCTGTGGTGCAGGATGTGACGATTAACGCCTTGTTCGAAGGTGCAGCTGACGCCACGGAGGAAGCGATCTACAATGCAATAGTAGGCGCTGAAGACATGGAAGGCCCTCGGGGAAAGATAGTCAAAGCGGTGGATCATGAGAGATTGAAAACAATCATGGAAAAATACTTGTAGATGCATATAATCTAAGCCATCACTGGAATAATTCCCTCCTACTGAAGCCACTATATTCATTTATCAGACTCACTTAGAAACACGAACAGATGTCTTTATGAAATATGCAAGACAACTTAGACTTTAACAATCCTATCAGATGTGAAAACTCATATCTTATAGTTCTAGACTAAACCCCAGCCTAATTCAAGTTGCTATGAGAGGCTGGCTATCTACAGGATATCATATAATCTAAAGTACCTTAAAGCAGCATCTTACTAATGAGCGGCCTTATAACTAAGCAGAGACAATAGATAGCGGCATGATTCATTCACTTACGGACAATAATTAGCACACAATAATGAATATCATGCTCGAATCTGGATTCCATGGGATGAGGGCAATCTCGAGTCTCGGGCTACCACTCAAGGAAAATCATTTAGGGCGCGCAGCTGGAACTCTAGCTGAGGAGCTTTGGTAAGCTAAGGATATATGTATCAGGATGCTCTTGATATCAGGCGGCATAGTCGTATTATCGACGCAGACAGTAGTCGCGGGCCTATGACCGGCCCGACTTGGTTGACATTTCCTTGAGAGATTCTCATAGATGCGTATGACAATCTGTGGCTCCCGAGGAGCCAGTCAGGAAAGTCGCTGAGCGAGCTTGATACTGGCGTTGGAAGCGAGGCCGACTCTGGACCGCGCTCGCTCGTTTTCGTCTGCGCACTGAACATTATCTTTGCGCTTGGCTGCTACTTTGCAGACGATATCCCGGTGACGGAGCGTGAGGCAGTTTCCTATACCTTCTTCCTCCGGGCAAAACAGCATATCGGATTGGATATGATGGACGTTCTATCGGCGTCATACAGACGCTGCTGGTCATCGCGCTGTATTTGCAGAGTACGCCGTATCCGCACCGATGCTGGAACTCGATAGGGGTGTCGTGTCGAATTGCCCAGGGGATAGGACTTCATGAGGCACAGCTGTAGACCAAGTATGACCTCGCACCCCCCGAGTGTTCCCTTACCGGGGTCCGAAGAGAAAGAACACTCTTCTGGAATCACATCACCGATGACCTTCTACATCTCCACCATTGAGCTATACCGCATTCTCGACAGTATCCTGTCCGACATCTACCGAGCATGGCGCGGTCGCAGCAGCCCTGGGTCTAGAAGACACACAATCAAACACGGCGGGCTGGACATCATCATCGAACTTGAAGAGAAACTCTTCGAGTACGAAAACAACCTTCCCTTTCCTCAATTGGAACTTTCCATTAGACCAAGCTACCAATCCCGAACAAAACTACTCTCCATCGACAGCGAAACGTCCTCCACACTAGATACCTATACCTTCGTCTCCTTCTCTACCGACCCATCCTGACCCCAACTCTGCTCCGAATGTACCCACCCGCGAACTCAAGCAGACAACCGCCCCAGCTCCAGCTCCAATTCCAGCATCTTATATACCTCCATCCTCTCCAAGTGTGCCGCCGCCTGCGTCCGCGCAGCCATTGACCTCGTCTCCTTCGTCCACGAAATCTATCAGACTTCCGCCACCGACCCATGGTGGTATAATGGCTTCTGTACACTATCCCTTCCTTATGATCTGGTTAGGTATACATCTAATAAAACTGAACAGATACTTCCACTGCAGGGATGGTGCTCATTATGTCCTCCTCCTGCCGCACGACCCTGGCCGAGCTCGACGCAAGTATTGTACACGAAGCTTGGTCAACATGCGAGCAGATCCTCACACGTCTCCACAGCAAACTTCTCTCACGATATCATTTGCTATACTGAAACATAAAGCACATACGACCACAGGGTGTGGAAAACAGGGCTTCCCGTCCGCTCAGCCGTACTTAAGCCAGTATTATCAACGTGGTCAGAAGTTATATGCGCCCTTGAAGGCCTGCTGCTTTATGGGCGAGAGACGCTAAACCATAGGGTGAGTGTGGGTGAGTGAAGGTGAGCTGAGGGATGCTATCCAACAGCATGGGTGAGCATGGGTGATCAGTGGGTGACAGAGTGATTCTATAAGGGAGTGAAACGCCAAGTCTCTTAAACTAATTAGCCTTGAATATCCCCGTCTACATGCCTGCAATGTCTCCGGGAGATACACCCCAATGCTATTATGTGGTCAGCTAGGATACAGGTAGTCTTGTATGCGCATGATAAATAAGACCTCTTGGCCAGCTAGGTACAGGCCCGAGTCACTTGTGCTACATCGCCATTACGTGTCATGAGCACTGGATCCCTTATTATTGGTTCTTCATCTTCCCAGAATATCCGCGCCAAAATGGGGCGCACCTGTTTTGGCGCGGCACCTTGCTTAGTTCGCCAATTTCTGAAAATATATATAGTATTCCGGGTCAAGTCCTACGGTTGGGCAGGGGAGCCGGCATTAGAAAAGAGTGAACTAAGTCGTGGGGATGGGAGGTCTTCGATAGGACCATGACTGAGCCCTGCTCAGCAATGCGCGCCAAATTTGGCATGGCGAGTGCAGGGAAATTGCAATCTACGATCCCGACCGCAGAGTCTGCTACTAGAAAAGACTATTAGATAGAAGGAAGCAGGGCGAAACTTATGCCACAGTGGTTTCTGGCAGTCTTCTCCACGGTCAATGAGATTCTCTGGTGAGACAGTGGACCTCTGAATCGCATGAGAGTTCTTGGGCTGGTATACTTTCTCTTCTTTCTCTTCTTTCTCTTCTTTCTCTTCTTTCTCTTCTTTCTTGATCAGGAGCCGCACTCGCTTGCTGCATTCATCACGCATAATTATGCCAGGCTCGTCGGGTTTGTTCCTCCAACCCCCTTGGACTCTGTAGTCTGACACATCGTTGGCTGGGCGTCAGCTTTTTTGTATTCAGCCTACCCTTCTGCACCACAGCTTCCGCCACGGCCGCAGCGGCGGGCACGTCTTGAGCTCGAAGTATTTGACGCTGACGCTAATAGAACTGGTAAGCCACAGTGAATGATCAAGTTCTGATAATACATACTGCAACAAGCTCGTCGTACAACAAGGTCAGGCCAGTCTACTGCCATATGCCCCTCACCACAAGCTCAACAGGGGAGAGTGGCGTGGCATGAGGACAAGGAGAAAGCAAAGATGTTTGAGATAAGGAGGGTAGCCGAAACGGACTCACATTATCTGAACAGCAGGTGTTAGGCTAGCTATTTTCGGGTGTATGAATGCTACTACTACTAGTAAGTCTGACTTAAGTGAGACTTACCTCCTAACCAATCTATGACTAGTTTGCCTATTCAACTCTCGCTGGGGTGAGAGTTTCTGAACCCCAGACCTGATCTCACGGAAAATGTTGCCAGTGGTTGTTTGATATCAGAAATATTATCAATAATTTGTCATCCGGGACTGAAAACTTCAGAAGTATTTGTCTTCAAAGAATGGCCTGGAGGTTTCCTTTGAAGCGGGCCATGTAGGTTTCCATCCGAGCTTACATTCGCATTTAAAGAAATGAGATATATACTGGAGCAAAACAAATCAATTGCATCCAGTTCATAATGAAAAGACTACCCTTCCAACTGGGACAACTGTTTAACACCGCCTGGCTGTGCCTTTGCGTCAAGCCGCCATTGCTGAGCAATCCATTTCTTAAGCGGGTGCATGAAAGGTGTGACTATGTAGGACTCATTCGCATTTGCAACTGCCAAATTCTCATCATTTGGCTTGCTCTTCTTCGTTAATGTTGGCAACTCCAACAGCTTATACCATTCAATCTTGCTGATTTCTCTCCGAGTACGAGGTTCGAAGTAAGCATCCTGTGGCACCCACGGAACACATATAACCTGCTGTTCTCTCAGGGTGGTCTCGACATACTTGACATCCTTTTCATCCTTCACTAGCCCGGCCTCCTCCGATCGGATCTTGTTCATGCAGGTCGCATTCCCATTTTTCCGATCACCTCAGATGCAAACGTCCGCAGCTTAACAAGATCCAGCTCGAGTAGAGTACCTATTGCTTGCCCCGGGAGCAGGGCTGGTCCGAATAAGTCGCCTTTCGTGAATTGAATCAGCTCGTTCTGGGGCAAAGGTACTGGTGCGGGGAAGATAGGCTAATGAATGTCAGCTTCAGGTCAAGAATCGCATCGTGGACGTAAAAAGATGATTACCATCGTGGAGGAGACAAGGTTGCCGGTGCTATCCCTGCGCCAAACTTCGACAGTGCCCTTTATTCTGTTGTACGACAAGGCAGACCATTTGAGTAGGATCACTAGCACAACAGATGGATTTCCTTTGAGCCACAGGTTTTTGTCACTCCGTAGATGGGTGAACGATTCGCTCCAACCTGATTCTACGACAATGCGAGGGTCAGGGTCTGTGTCCACACGCAGGAAATGATCAGGTTCCTTGACTGATCCTTGGTGAACACCAGTGAAATTATTGAATGCTAAGTTATTGCATATTGTTAGTGCAATAATATAAATAAAAGTAGAAAATTCATACTGGTTCCAACTCCGCTCCAGAGAAGGTCTGCTTCAGCACTGTTGATGATTCCATTCATACCCCATTCCACGAATGCGCGGTTTATCCACCGCTGGTGGACATCATGGAGGCTAATGGGCATTATTTTGAGCCGTAATAGGCCGGTGTACGAGTTGTAGTTTATCCTATTACCACATCATGCTAAGTATTCGAATTCAAAGATCATGTTTAGTATGAATTTGCAAAGCGCGTGTCATACCTTAAATTCTTCCTCTCAACTTCAGAGTCTGCACGTAGCGACCGGCAAATCAGTCCCGCATCATCTGGGCTGAGCGAATATATAATCTCTGTGTACTCTGAGATCTTTGCAAGGCTTTGTCTAATTTCATTAAAGATTCCCTGCGCTGAGGGGTTTGTGATCGGGGGGGCCTGTACAACACTCCGGCTGAGATGGTTTTTGTGCCAGGTGAGGGTGGTCTTAAAGGGAGGGATCTCCATGATGAAGTTGGGAGAAGCAATGATTTGAATGCAATGAAGTGTAGGAAAGTACTAAATGGAAGTTAGGGAAGGGGCCGAGATGGATGTTGGTTAACAGAAAGAAAGAAGGTTAACAGTGTCATTGGAAGAAACCTGGATCACGTGACCAGCCCGCTATACTCAAGAGTAGATACCTGTCAGCCAGAATTGCTGTTTACAGTAAGGGATTACCAAATTCCATGGCATTCTGATTTGGCCAATCAGATCATGAGAGATATACTATATACAATTCAACTCACTGATTAGAATCTGATTCATTTGTATGGCTTCTCATTTCGCTTTTTCCGTCTATATCTCTAGTATAAGATAGTTGCTTAGAAGAATCAGACCTCATCCCTTGCAATCCCGTATATATGCGTTTACCATACGAGAAGGATTAGCCTGAATTGGCTGACAATACCTCTTCTGCCTTACTGCCCTTAAGATACCAGGTAGTGATGTCACTCTGGTATCAACAGATTCCTGAGAGCCTCAAGAGATCTTGTTGACTCTAGGACAGAGTAGTCCCGCAGTCCTTTCTTGCTCACATTAGACCACACTACTACTCTCACGTAAGTTAAAGAAGCTTTTCGCGTCCCTCTTGCTAGTTGTAGTCAAAGTAATTCTAGTTCCTCCTACTGTAGCTGGCATACAGTTGAACTAAGCCACCAGGTCTTCCAGCTCCATTTCCAGGTTTTGGGCCATCGCCCGCTTGAGTATCCTCTGGCGATTGCCAGTCTCGGGCTTATTGATGTATGTTTCTGGGTCACTGTCCAAAAACCCCATGACTGGGACAGCAGCTCCTTCCCCCGTTGGATCACCTGCAGGCATTATCTGCAGGTGATCCAATGGCTCATCAATCCGGTCGATGTTAACATCGAACCCATGACTGTTAAGAGTCATGGCATATTCAGTTAGCTCTGCCATCGCAACTTGCCACTCATGCTATATTGCAGTCAGCGGATTTGTTCCTTAAAAATTTGTATGCACGAAGCCATGGACTACCTTATCCAAAATGTACTCTGCGCGCTCAGCCTTCTTCGCTTCGCCACCGCCATAACCGTGCGCAAGAGTGTTGAGCATTCTTTGCTTTAATTCTCTGTATGCGAACATTGCAGAGAAGATCTCCGACTCTTTCGAATATTTTGCGCGGATTGTAGGTGTATTAAAGACGCGGACTGCTCCCCACTTCGGGTTTTCGCTTGATTGCGCTTTGAGATTGAGTGGGCCCCATGAATTAAATGGACGCAGAGCCGTATTCTATTATGGAATTGTTTATTAGTTCAGAAAACGCCCTTCAAAAGGCTAATGGGGACCCCACATACCAGGCTCTCAAGATCATTCAGGTGAGAAAATGGACCTTTCAGAACGGGGCCCGCAGCCTCTACGACGATTCTGACAATCCCTGCCCAGTTCTTCTGCTCAAATCTATGCATGTAATCTACCATCACATCAATAGAGACATCGCCTGTAGACACCATCTTCTTATCGGTCGGGGGAGGCAACTGCAGAAGTGCTGTCAGCTGTGTCCGCAAATTATCATCCAAGGACGATGGATACCTGTCTCTGAACAACGGTATCTCGCCAAAGGGGCTCCGTTGTGATGTACTGCCACACTTTGATCATGAACTTTTGGATGTGGTCTTCGAGGGAGGTGACCACAATTCTGCTGTCCTCAGGACCAGTAACCTCAGAGGCTAAACGCCATGGCCGCTTGCCATTAGGAAGGTCATCTCTGAATACATATCTTTCCAACTCAGTTTTCCAGTCCCACGTCTTCAGTAGAGAAGAAGATGATTTCGGATAGGAAAAAGATTGATCTGTCCAGTAGATTATATGTTGCAGAACCTTCTTCATAGGCTGCGCAACCCGCCGATTCATCTGGACAAAATCTCTCCTGCGTTCTTTCATTAGCTGCGGCCTATACTCTCACTCAAGTGAGATACATACCAAGACGGGCAGATCATCCCGGCGTTGGCTTTAGCATTCATGTAAACGTCGACATATTTCTCTGTCGGTAGATGAACTAAGAATCCGGGTCGTCTCCAGTGAACTATCCCATCGCCTATAGGGTATCCCTTGTCAAGGGCGGGAAGAGCCCACTCAGTAAACCACTTTTCATTGAGCTGCAGGACACCTTTCAAAACGCCGTCTTCGTGATCCTGCTTCGAGGGGAAAAAGAGACGCCTGAGAAGATCCGGCTTACTTCCTTTGCCAGTAACCTGCATCAATGTCTCCCAATCGACTGACGTTGTGCGTGCATCGCTGAACATAAGGTTTCCCCAGTTAATGACGCGGTCAATTTCTTGTTGCCAAAACTATAAATTGTTACATTAGCCTGGTATCATTGAGTAACATTAGAAAGAATATTGGTCAAATCATACAAACTCGAGTTTTGTATTGCAGATGTCTCCCGCTGTGGTGAAGTTGAAGAACTTCTGCCCATATGCGGTCTGGACATACGTCGCCCACAGCCCGGACCAAAACGAGGTTCTTAAAATTGAAACAATCCTGTCCGTCTGAGTCCCCTTGATGCCAAAATTGCTCTGGGCCCAGGGCTCAAAATTTGATCCCTTTAATGTTTCTTTCCGTTCCTGGTCCGCCATTGTGTTAAGGTCGTGCAGCATTCGCAGAAGGTTGTACCCATCTGTATCAACTTTGTACGGGTCATCTCTATTTCCCTGTAGACTCGTAAGGACGTTGCCTTTGGTTTTGTTCGCATCATAGATGTCGATAGCCCAAAAATATGCCTAGCCGATTATGTTAGCCGTCTCACTCGAATTACATTTGAGGTCTCATGGCCACTACTACCTCAGGCGCTGGAGGTTCCAAGGGCTGTCCATCTGCGCGCTTTGCTCCAGAGCTAGCCAGCTTGCTCTGTTCATCAACAAGCGATACTAGGGCAGCTCTTCTGTGCTGACCAGCGATCAGTGAAGGGGTCGGTAAGTCTGCCGGCCACTCTTTCAGATGAACAAAGTCAGTCAGAGTTCCTCCGTCTGTATTGGTCGCCCGAACACGGGCCTGATGAACAGATCCCTCTCCCTGACCGTCAACGCAGTGTTGGAGATAAGCCTCGTAATCAAAGGACGACATTGTCGCCTTCATTCTTGTTTCCTTGAAGTAACGACGACAGCCTCTCCCAAACCCTTCGATAAGGGCTGCGACATGGTCGCGGTCAATTTCTCGGTTTTCATAGGCATTGGTGTCAAGGATGCGAACGTCGGTGGCGATAGTCCCAAGGTAGGCCTTGTGAACTTCGGTCTGGTTTAGGTCCTCTTGGATCTCTGCGAAGACGGCTGACTGATCTGCATCAAGAGACCGACGTTTTCCCATGGCTGGCTTTCCTCTAATGATGAAATGAAATATGGAAAACTTGGTGATACAATGATGGAGAATGAAGAAGTAGTGAAGCGGAAAAAATCTGAATTGAGTGAGCAGGGAAAGGGGATGGATGGAGAAGAGGAAGGTGAAGGAAACGAAGTATTAATGCCTAAGGAAGGAAAAAAGGGGAAACGAAATCAAACTTAAGTGAGAGAAAGGAAGTGAATACTGTTGACGCTGTATTATCCATAATATTGACATAACACTGCTGGTAAAACTTGATTTAATGTAGCTCATTGAATACTAAGCCTGGTGAAATTGCAGCTTGCGAAATTACATCTGAGAGATAGCTCTACCATTTATCCTACTCCCCATGCATAAAACATTCCTATCCGACCTTAAAATTAGTACCATTAAATAGCCCTCATTTTGCTAGTTTTAATAATACCAATAATGCTCTAGATGTATTACGTTGGCGACATTAAAACCAAGAGAAACACCTACGAGTTGCTGTTGTTGTAGGATATCCTTAGAGATTTGATCTATAAGTGGGTCCCGTAATCGGACTGTCAGCCTGTCAGGGACAAGGTTAACAAGCTTTCCGTCAGGCGACCTTAAGTGGGTCTTTGCGCACGGTTCCCATCTGAGTTAAACCTCAGTGCGCAACTCAGTATGTAGGAAAAAACATAGAAAGTAGGTTCGATCATCTTTGAAGATGATCTATTTTAACAATGTTATACTATACTACTGTAGGATCAGGATACTCTGCAATGCATACTTCTAACCAGTCCCAATTCTTGTATGCTGTGACTCTAACTTAAGAGGAAGCAAGGAGCAGGCATTGAGGGGCTAAGCATTCACTTCCAGTATGCTCTCATACAAAGAAGTCATCTTAATGAATCAACCGCGGTGTCGACGTCAGCTGGGTTGAGATGATACCTGCAGTAGGTAGACGCTGAGGTGTGGGCGACTTGGCATTCGCCTTGGCAAACAATAAGTAAAATGATGATTGCTGCGGAGTCTAGCACTTTCAAGGTCTATTTACAATCTCCTCAAAGAATAACTGGGGTGATGAGGGTGGGCGAATTTTCTCGCTCCGTCATTTGACTGATATGGAGGAAATTAGAGCATGTATCCACACCGCTGAAGGTAACTGGCTCAGAGCACAGCTGAGCCGATTTCCAAGCTTCTCGAGAGATGAGAAGGCCGAGGAGGGTGGCAAATCTTTCTGACTGTATCACGAGTTGGTATCCACATAATCGACTCTTAAGGGTCAAGTTTGCCTCGAGGTTGACACCCCTCGCCGCAGCCCACCACGGAAAACATACCTATCTAGACTTGGCTGGCTGAGCCCGCATGTCGAGAGAGACACTTCTTATTGCTCGTAGACATATGTATTGCGTCTCCCCCTGTCAATTCGAGTGATAGGCTCGCCCTGATCTCTTCGAATAACGGTGTACGAGGACTAGCTTACCTTTGGATACCTGACAAATGATCAATGTTCCTCGGTTGAGTTATCTATAAGGCTTTGGTCGTTTTCCCACAGACTGGTAGTAGAGCCATCCCTAGATGGAGATGATTACCTTGTGAATTAATCAAGATCTTCTGCCCAGAGAAAGAAGCATATTATATTCTTTGCCTTCCAAGCTGCTAATGATATATTACATAATAATATCCACTAACTAGCTGATAGACATGTTCAATATGGAATTACCATTCCTAATACTACAACAGCCACCTCTCCTAGCTAATAGTATTACAGTTCTGTCGTCTATTTCCTTCTCTACAAAAGATTCTTCCTTCTTTTCAATAATGCCCTGCACAACACCAAACATCACATCACGCTCAATCGCCATGAATATCGCACTGCTTTTGCCACTCTATACTTATTCATTTGCGTATTAGACATATATTGATATCAATACATAACATTGAGCAGATTTGCAACATAGGTTAAAGCTCCAGAAGGCTAGCCGCATTACTCCTACTGGAGCAGGCAGCTAGGATCTTGTGTTGCCTGCTGCATACTCTTGGTGGTGACTCGCCACTCGGGGTATGGAATGAGCGCTAGTATATCGGATTGTATCGAGTCATTCTGAGAGGTGCTGCTGGAAGCTTTGTCATGCTGGTAAGACCCTACGGCCTTATGTGTCTCCTGAAGAGTAGAAGCTTCTTCAGCCTATTATCCCAAGATCGTCAGCTAAAATCGCAGTAGTCTTCTATTATGATCTTGTTACTCACGGCAGGTTTGCAACAACATTGCCGGGCGCAGCAACGGTGGCAGAGGCAGCAACAGTAGCAGGGGCAGTGACCGTGGGAGCTTGACTGTGGTTCTATTAATGCTTGTCAGTGTCTTGTTCAGCTAGAATTTACACCAGAAAGCCTGGGTGACTAACATACCTCTGCCTCTACCGCCAAGGCGAGTACCACGGCGCTGGTGATGCTGACTGTCCTGGAGCCTCGGAATTAGACATTTAGTCGTCACCATCCATTAGTGATTCTTTCCATATAGTCGTCGATATCGCAGCTGAAACCGTGCTCTGTATAGTAAAAGGCAATTATGCTGTGGGCGACGGCTATAGTAGCTTTCGAAGCAGGATGGATATCAGGGTGATGAGGACGTAGGCTGTAGTTGTAACCTTGACATTGATTTTGTGTGTTATTTGGGAAGACGTACTCCGACAACGACATAGGGAAAAACGCGGTAAAACGCAAGAAAAGAACCGGTAGATGAGCAATGGTTCCTCAGCTGCGGTTCAATAGTCGCAGAAGATTGCGGAGGGAAGGAATGCCCCTCTCTGGCTCCGTTTTGAGATCGGTACATTTCCTTATCCTGTTCTCTTTACCCACCAAACACGCTTCGTGTCGCTCTTGAGATCTTCTCTTCTTCTCTTTCGTTTGCTCAGTGTATGAGCTTCTTATACATTCGCTTATACAACACCTATTACCAACTAATACTCGCTTTTTTTAACTTACTCTTCATTCTTAACATGCCTGCTCTTGTTGAGTTTGAGCATGTTTGGGTCGTCCCGCTGATCTTCTAGTTTGCTTCATTTGTAAGGCTGCTGGGATGGCCTTCGACAAGGCGCTGACCAGCTTGCGTAGGAGTTGGGAATCGACTGAGACCCTTTGCTAGGGATTAGCAGCGCCCTGTCTTCAAGTGGGATCCTGGGCAGGTGGGCTATTCCTCGCAACTATGAATGTGAAAGAATACGCTGACAACTTTAATCCTCAAGCTAGCTTGCTCTCGACAGAACGAATGCCACTTTTCCCAACGTTAAGATCGACATCGCCGCCAGCGGCATCTGGCAGCAAGGTTGTACTTCGAGCTCGATGAATACCAGGATTTGCTTGAGCGCCTCCGCCTCAAGCTTGAAGGTAATCCACGGCGCTTTAAGGACAGTACATTACTTTTTGTACAGGAGTGGTTGGCCCTGCGTCGTCATGGTCAAGATATCTCACATACACCAATGGGCTATGTGTGCCAGGGATGGAGAATTCGTCCCGATCACCCCTTCTTCTCGACCACCACGGGCCGGATGAGTATAATGCGACTGAGCTCTACTCCTCCGGCAAACATAACATTGTCACCACGGTGGACGAGGTTTTCTACCATAGCGATGACGAGGAAGTCGTTATTCTGGACCTCGTCTTTATGGATTCGACAAGGAACACTGTGCGTGATTATCAGCTACGTAATGGCGGCTTACGTATATGATTTCCTTGACCATTTGCTTATGACGCTATATGGGACTGTGTATGTATACAGAAGGATCTAAGCCGCTACCAATCAATCCCTTCAGTCTAAAATACATCGACTCATGCAATAGAGTATGGGATCTTCAAGGGTAGAAGAGGTGGCTGTTTGATATGAGGAGAGCACATATGTATAACCTGTCCATTCCTCGATTGTTCGAGATATCCATCATTGCGGGTCTTGAGTGTGCCGAGTTGATGCGATACGTAATAGAAACGTTTTCATGAAACTTGTTCTGCGAGACTGTACCAAAGTTGGAGGAAGTTGTGTGTGCCCCGGTCATAGACGACGAAAATAGCATCTGCTTCACGCAGCGTTGTCATCCTCCTCGTTTTCCCCCAGATCCCAACACATCACCCTCCTTGCCGCCCGTGTTCTCCCCTTCGCTGCATCATATCTGCATCGAGAGTCAACCCTTCTCTGTATCCACAGTTGCTTTTCTGTGTCTTCGTCAAGTCTGTTTCGTTGTTTCTTATTGCCGATGATGACCTCGCTCAACCCCACACCGCGTCACCAGGCTGACTTGCAGCCGTTTCTGGTGTATGCCGTGTATACGCGGGCGCTATACTGGGACGACTATCCGAAGATTGAGTCATTCGCCTCTTTTACAAGTCTCCAACACCTAGAGATCGAACAGCGCCTCTTGACCGACAACCTAGAATTGCCCAGCTCACTGAGGTAGGAGGGAAGACTTCTCTGAGCTCCGAGGATAGCGACGACGGAATTTCAGCCTTGATTCGAACCCCCTTCGATGGCTATCTTGACTCACATAGTACATAATATAGCTGAGCGGGTCCTTCGTGGTGGCTCATGTAAGTATACCGACTCGCTGTTTGAACGAGGGATGAAACTGACATGCTTAGCTCTCTTTTTCTTTACTTCATAAGTTAACATACCATTCCACCAATCCTCGTTGCAGTCCGTCGATATGTGGTCATCCGATGCGGTACTATTCCACATCCGCCGCGGTACACCTCCGTACACTGAGAGGCTGAGAGGGGCCTTCGACTTGGTAACCTACTTCGACATAACAACCCATGGACAAGGGGTGCGAGTGAACAAACTGCGCGGCCGCATATTTCATTTTCTTCGCCCTAATGGTGGCCTGGGCCTGGCCAACTTTGTAAGTATTCCTTCTTACCATTGAATGAGTGGCTATAACACCGACATATTCGGCACCACAGTGGTTCCCAGCTACGAGCAGGATGCAGCGAGCCCAAGGGGGAGCCCAGACATTCACAGTGACGGAATTAGTTCACCGCACATCCCCTGGCCGGTGGAAGAATATAACCAAACTTCGCGACAAGGTTGTTGTCTACGGCAAACGAGTAGCCTTGAAAGAACGGCCCGGCCCTACGACTGAGTTCGCAGCATGGTCGAAAACGCCGAACGAAGGAATATAACCGACAGAGACTTCAACTTTGACAACACCATCCTCCAGGCAAAGAGCGTCCTCCTCGCTACAGTCCTGAACCTCCGTCTTGACATCGCCCTACTAACTGACTTCCTCGCTGTCAAGGACCGCGCATCGTCACAAACGCACTCAGCGATTTCTCATCGATTTCTCATCAACACACCACTACGTTTCCATACCTGCTCCTACCTCCCTCCACTCGTTCGTCTTTCATTCACAATGGGAAGTCTCCTGAATTTACCCACTGAAATTCTCCTCTTCACCATCGGATTCTTCGAGTCCGCGCCCCTTGTTTGTACTTACCGACGATAGTGCAAGAACTCAACGTTCTTCTCGTGCTCGTGGCTGTAGTGGTTGTGGACGCGTAAGTACAAGTCACTGTTTGAATCAATATCTATGACACTGACTGTTTCAGCACCACACCGCTTCCCTGCCGCTCAGGCGGCACCTCCTCCTGCTGCGACTACAACTTTTTCCATCCTTTCCGAATCCTTCCTGTTACGGCATGACAAACCTCTTGTGGCCGTCGCGGTCACCTAGCTCATGTGTACTGAGTTTAGATCGGCATATCATAAGAGGCCGAAAGGGGCGGCATTCGAATTGATAACCTACTTCGACATGATAACTTGTGGTGACAAGGGGTGAGAGTGAACAATCTGCGCGGCCGCATATTCTATTTTCTTTGCCCATGCTGTGGCATAGTCCTCTGACAGGGCGACAATCCCAGCCACTAACCATAGATAAAGTGCATTCCGGATTGCCGACTCAAGGAAAGTGATAAAGCCGGGTTGAAGAAGCACCAGAAATTTTCGCAAAGAAGGCATATTTTGAGAATGCCAGGGATACCTTTTTTCCTTAACTTATGTGGCGGTAAAGAAGTACAGCAGCCCAGGGACTGCTGCAAGTATATTACAACTGAGGTGTATACCAGCCTGCATGTTTATATTCGCTGTCCAGCCGCCGACATGGAATCTAGAGATGATTAGGAGATCTAGAATTATGTTCATAAGAACCCTGATCGAGCTGATCATAAGGAGAACATCAGGCTTATCCAGGGCCCTTATAGCGTTAGAAACAGCGACTTCAATGGCAGAGCTTAGAGCTGAGAATGCGCTTGGGTTGGGAGTGCAACATCCCCTGCCGCTGTTTCCGCAAAGCCGCCGTTGTCGATCTCAGAGCAGGCCTGTATCAGCGGAACCGGTGCATACAACTTTGCTGGTCTCTGTGACTTCGCTTGCTCCTATGGCTACTGCCTAGTGACAGCATGTACGTGCCGGCAAATGGGCAAGCCCCTGACGGCTCCCAATTCCATGGGCGTCATCGGATATCCCATCGCCGGCGAGGATGCCAGTTATTCTGGCCTCTGCGCATTCAGTTGCAACTTAGGATATTGTCCGAGCTCCGCTTGTGGGACTGAGCAAGTCCCTCTGGTTATCCCCACTGTCTCTGATTTCGCACCTCCTGCATGTGTTGCAGGCACTGGATCGGGTGCTCTTACTGGCCTCTGTAGCTTTGCGTGCAACTACAGCTTCTGCCCAATGCATGTTTGCACCTGCACTGCCCAGGGTGGCTTAGTACCAGCCCCGCCCACTATAGGCACCAGAGGTACTCCTGTCAATGGGCTGGAGGACTATGGTCTTTGCAATTTTGCTTGTAGCCATGGGTATTGTCCGGAAGGCGCCTGTGTTGAGACTGGCAGTAAGAGCTCCAGCGAGGTCTATGTTCCTCTGGGCATCTGGGATAGCCCGGATCCTGAGGTTTAATGCATCCCACCATGCAAGATTATTTTACCCCCACTGGGCTTGACGATGACTATTTAGTTCCCTTCCATGGTCAGTTCTGTCTGGACAAGGTCAGGCACCTTGACCGGCACAAAGACCACCATTCTCAGCATCCCATTACTAGTCACCGATAAGGTTCCTTTTTGGCCTGTTGTCATCAGTGCCAATACTTCCCCTACTGGATTTTTATCCCCTTCAAAGCTTCATGCCGGAGCCGTCAGAGCTTGTTCTTTTGGGCGATGAAGCTCCCTTCTCCCCAGTTCCATCGGGCAGCGCAACGCCAGCACCCGTCTTCCCAGGGGCCCCTTACACTGTTACTTACCAGCCCCAGGCCACGAAGTTGATTTCATTGAGCGTGAATGTTCCTTCTGTTACCTGGTCAAGCGCTAGTCCAACTGCAACCTGTACCAGCGGCTGTGGTACTGACAGTTGCAAACTTTTTGGTGGATGCGACTCGACAGACCCAATCAATGATTGTGGTCTCTATGGCTGCGGAGGAGGATGCAGCATTTAAAGCTGTGACCAGTACTGTGGCGTTGCTTGCTCTACTGACCAACATCATCTTAACTCCGATAGCACCGGCAGCAGTGGAGGTGGTGGCGGTGGAGGAGGGAGTGATAGTGGAAGCAGCAGCAGCAGCGGTGAGAGCGCCGATGGCCAGCAGGCAAATCTCCCCATGGACTACGACGGGCCGGACGGCCTCGCTAATGGCAAGTGGAATCCGATGTCCATCCTTGTCGAAGATGCTGCGGCAGTCACGAGCGGAATGGCCGCCATTATGGCCCAAGGGACGCCGTGTTTCGAGTCTGCTTTGTCACTCCTGACTGCCACACAAACGGTTCCCGCTGATCTGTATTCTCAATGCTGCGGATCCCGAAAACTTCCAAGCGGTCACTCGATGGTTTACCACCTGGCAGGACGATTTCAACCTCCGGGTTGACTCAATGACTCAAGGCATTGAGGTTCTCAGCATTGTTGAATTGCAAATATCACTTGGAAGAGCACGAGGTATGAGACTTGCTATACCCGACAATCTGTTCTCATGTTTCAGCTACGTTTATACTGACCATAACAGTTGATGTCGACATCTTCAGCAAAGCAGCGAGCATTGAAGCTAATGAAGATATATGCGAGCTTGACCCAAGTATGGGCTCTAGCAGTCATCCCATTTACTGAAAGCGTGCAATTCCCCTATTGTGCGTACCGGACCTCACAGGAGACCCAGGCGAGCCTTCTAATGCAGCTAAAATACTGGAATGGGTTGGCTGCGACACCTGATTTGGTTTTGAATATGCTAGCAGCACTGACATTCTTAGTGTGATGAAGTAGGGAATAAATTACTTCCTCTCCAATGCGACTCATATAGTTAATCTGGGCACGTGCTAAGAGTTCACAAAGCAGTACACATTGCCTCTCCTGGTATCTCCTCTCAACTATCATACTTGCAAATGATCTTTGGTATGACACTATATATTCTGTTCCTCTCCCACATCTCAGCACATACAACCATAGGGTGTGGAAAACAGGGCTTCCCGTCCGCTCAGCCATACTTAAGCCACACGCCGGCCGGTTAGTAGTTGGGTGGGTGACCACCAGCGAATCCTGGCTGTTGTATGTTTTTGTCATTTGTGTTATATTTTTTGATGTTTTGATGGCCTTGACAGAAGTGAAGAAGACAGCACATTATAGAGGAAGTGTAGTCTAGTCCCCTATAAGTGTTGCGTAGCCAGAAACAAGGACTAGCACGTGACGTGTTAACCCTAACACATCAAGCATCAAGGCTTGAGACAATAACCATTGGTGTAGCCAGATGACGGGGTTGTAGATGGGCAGTAGTTGCTTTGGGTGTTTATACTTACTAGTAAAGTTTCTCCTTGCTGTATCCTGTCAAATACTGTGAATAGAGGACTCAGATTCAGGACATTATTCTGTAATCAGATAGGATTAGGAGTGATTCTTAACTTACCCTAGTCTAGTGGCTCATTTCTGTAGAACTATCTCAGTCAAAGTAGCTACTAGGCCATAGGCAATGTGGCATCCTCCTACTACTTCGCTACTAGCCTGATGAATTAATTAACTTACAGTAGGTAAGTCTTGGACAAACTATCAATGTCCTCTAATACTGGATATCTGAGAACTTAATCCTCTTCTAACGTCAGTGTCTGCTATCCTACTTTTGCTTTGTGTATGCTATTTTGCATGGTGAATTTATGCTTACCAATGCTAAAAAGAAAAGACTAATCTAATAAATATGACCTGTAATCCGGTTGTAGCTACTACATCCTTGTTTAGTGGTTAGGGGTACAGACTACTGATTACTAAAGTTCGCGCTAAAAAGAGCGGCGGTTTTACAACGGCCTCAATGTATAAAACCGGCCAAAATAGATTTTCTCTTGCGCGTCACGTAGCGCCTGTTTGGCATTGATCACATCAATAGTTACTTATGGGTGCAGGGGTCAACAAGAACATAAATTACCCTCGATGGAGCAGGACAACAATTCTAATGTCTTGTAATATACAGGTGCTCGCACTGATGTACAGTCCCCCTGAATCATCTTGGTATCAAACCTGCAGTCCGATTGCCCGCCCTTGTTTATGAAAATTCTTCTCGCGAAACGAATTGCCTCTCGAATCCATGCCTTGATAACCCCGCCAATCCGGAGTCGAACGAAAAGGAACCGAGTATTTCGACACAAAAGACGAGAAGATCAGACCAGAAAGCAAGATGGGATTGAGCAGTGAACAACTGGTCGAAGAGGCACGCTATAGGGACGCAGTATTCCCCCCACATCCATGGCGGTGGATAGACGGACCAGGGTGTCGGATACCCTCGCGGGGAACTAACCGAGTAGACATGGATTCGATGGCCAAGTGGTGGAAGCTTGTGGACGCCGTCTGGGACTACGATGTATGGGGATATCCGCCCGCGTTCACGCGCTTATCAGATGCGGTTGTCTTCAAGCTTCTCCTCAAGAAAATTGCCAAGGTTCGCTCTGAGAACTGGCCATTTGACTTCAACAGCAGAGGCCAAATGAGGTTCGAGCGCGAACCGCATGGTCCAGCGGTGTGGATTGAGCGCAAGGGCCGATACTACTATCCCGAAATTGGAGGGCGATATATCCTGGGCGGGGAAATAGCAGGAAGGATGGATTCTTGGTTCATTGAGCCACCGTCGTATGTTACCAGGAGGGATTCGATCTACTTTGGGCGTGTCGAGGTGCCCAGCTGGGCAAAGGACCAAGGAGCCATCATTGTCTCGTCGCGGGGTGTTACGGGTCTGACATTCGATGATGAGGACCGCATTTCCTGGGATGGTATGTCGGGGACTCCGGTTATTTGGGCCAAGGAAGTGAGCCTTGAATGCCCTACCAGCCTTACGCGAGCCACTGTTTTCGATGTGGTGGAAACCCAAAGTGGCCAAGATGCGATCCTGGTCGCTTATGACCCAGATGAGGAACAGGAAGACGCTCAAGTCTCCACAAAGATAATCGACGTGAAAAAGGAAGAGCTCAAAAGGGAGGCCGTGAAGAAAGAGAGAATTGCCATCAAGTCAGAGGTGGTAAATCGAAGCCAGAGACTTCACCTTCCGCGTACGCCCAAGAGGAAACCAGAGTCCCTGGTCAACCGTCGCAGCAAGCGTGGCAAAGCCACGTCGAGTGCCTTAAAAAAGGAGGAGATTCCCATCAAGTCCGAGGCGGTAAATGGAACTTCCGAACTTGACCTTAAGAATGAACCTGATGTCAAACCACCTACCACCACGCCTCAGCAACAGCCTTCAGCACACAACAGGACTCCCCGTATACTCAAGAGGGAACCAGAGCCCCACATCGTCACCGGTCACAACAAACGTGGCAGAGCCCGGTCAAGTGCCTTGACCCAGGGCAGCAACACTGAATCATGGGTGGAAATGGCTTCCACGATGATCCGCCAGGCAGCCTCTGCGGACAGGGAACATCAGGCGCTAATTCGAAGTATTTGCGAGGACGTCAAATCTCTTCAATCCAGAATTGATGCTCTAAAGGCGTCAGCACCGCTGCCTAGAGCTCTACAGGATGTCCGGAAACTTATGGCTGAGCATGAGGACGACGTGCTGGGGACAGATCAGGTCGCGAGAACGATGCAAATCATCCTGCAGAAACTCCCTTCTTGATTTTCAAGAAATATCTCTCCAGTCCATGAGTATGTTGATAGCAGGCGCGAGTATGTCAGCTTCTGGACCTAATCTTAAGTGACCTGGATGAGGACAATGAGCCACAGTTCAAAGGTATGCACAAAACCCATCAACGGGCCAAAGGAAGTATGAATTTGATACATACTGAAGACTGGCCAAATAGTACTGTATTCTAGTGTACTGTATTTCTCTTATTTTGCAGTTCGGCAGATAGCAGTCACCTGGAGACCAGAGAGAACTCGTACTTTGATTCGGAGACTGATGCGGATGAGCAAACAAAGACCGGAAGTTAGCAAAGAGGAAGAAGCAAGTACACAGCTAGCACAACTCCATTCGGTTAGTAAGGCACGACGACGCGATAAGTATTTAGACACATAGGACGCATTCCTCATCACTAGACATGGAGGGTCAGGCAGCATTTCCCAACTGCTAATGGCTTGAGGAGAAGCAGATAAAGAGATAGAACCTTGATCCGATTTTGTCAGTGAGATGGTGTTTTAGTACAGCGTACGGAGTAGTGAAGTAGGGGGGGGGAACATGGCTGGGACAACAAGCTGGAGCCGTGGCCACTGCAAGGTATGCAGATGACTTGAAGCTCATATTAACAAATAAGTTCGAATCGTCCAACAAATCCTCGATGGTCTAACGGTCATGATTTCCGCTTGTCACTCCAAGGAGAACGAGCGCGGGAGACCAGGGTTCGACTCCCTGTCGGGGAGATTTCTTTTTTCCTCCAACTTTGAACTTTGCTCTCCTCTTTTACTTTTTTCTTTTGGAGCGTCATGTCTATGTTCTGATTCTTTATATTTTATTCTGCGCTCCAAGAAGGTAACTGCACAAGGATTTGTTTGGACACGAAAAAGGCAACATGCAAGGATATATCTCGCCTACTCCGGTACGTAAATCTACAGATAAACCGCATTCCAGATCTCCGACAACCTTCCATCCCATGTTGTGAAATCGTCTACTCGCACCAGTGAGTACCCTGAATCCTCCAGCTGACGCCCATTTCTGGCCTCCCATCGCCTTCCAGCAGCGGAAAAGTCGTCGAACCAGCTATCTTGCAGCCCAATCTCGAGTTTCTCCCACTGTCGGGAAGACGCCAGCTCCGACCAGGGACGAATCCAGGCTTCATCCAGCTCTTCTGGAACTGTTCCAGCTCGCGGCGTGCAGCTTTTGTTCAAAATATGGATAACCAAGCGCAAGCGCCTGACGCCAACGTACGCTAATCGTAACGTCCGGAAGAGGGTTTGGTATGTCTCCCACTCGTAGTCGGTCATTGTTGACGGTGTAGTTGCCTTTGCGACGTGCAGAATGTCCAGCGAAGCGATGCGCGATAAATGTGAAGGCGCAATCATTTTCGGCAATCGACATAACTTGACCGATGAGGAAATGAGGAATGTATTTGTGCTGTAGAGAAGAGGAAGTGCTTCTAGGTATCTGGCCCACAGTCAGCTCGATCTCGCCGATCGTAAGGACTTTGCAGCGCTCACGCTCTTCGGCACACTCGCAGCCACGCCACGCCTTTCAGCTTGTACCGCGATAACTGTCGTCGTCCAATCCGCTTCGGATCCTCGAGGTCATTCATACGACACATGTCTCCAGGATTTGGGTGGTCCTCTTCATCGCAAACCCGATGCCACCAGCGCCATTGGTCTGGCGGTCTCTTATCTCTCTGACGGTAGCCTGGCGCATAGCCAAAATCGTATTCGAGGTGGACAGACCGGCCACCAAACAGCTCAAGGTATATTCGCTGACGGATTTCTTGGGGTAGACGCGAGAAGAATAGACTCTGGTCCTGCGGAAGCGTGCTGTTATTGTTCAGGTCGAGAAAATTGGTAGTTGACGTGTTGATGGCTGTGAGAGTGTTGCTCCTGCTCCGGATGGTCGCAAGCTCTTGATCGGGAGGAGTCAAAGGTCTTCGGGGTGGGGGAAGAGGCATTGCCTTGAAATCGCGACGGTTGCCATTCTGCTTGCAGGTTTCATGATAGATGCCTACCCGAGCCAGGATCGTTCGCGAGTCTGATTGTGAAGGGTCCTCTTCCGGCTGGTCTTTCTGTTGATCTTTACCCTTCACTTTCTCTCTCTCCTTATCCTTATTGCGAAAGCGGTGGAAGAATTGAAAGGTCATGGTGGGGGTGGGAGGCGGAACAGGTGGTCTGATCCGGTTGTTGAGTGCTGATTCAATGAGATTGGACACAGACCAAAGACCTCGGGGACGTTTCACAAAATAAATGAAGGGCGCAACCGGCGATTATTCGAGTAACATGGTGGGATGTTTCTTGGACCGACCGTGCAATTGGAGGTGGATCACTGTCTTATTTGACGAGGATCAGGCACCAATCCAGATAAACAAGAACAGATAATAATGCATGAATCTATGATGGATAACGTGTACAATGAAATCATCGTGTGATGTCTGGAACTCTGGATCAACAGGGGCAGTGTCGGACTGTGGAGCTGCCAATTTGCACCAGGTGAATAGCCCGCCATGTCAACAAATGAAACCAGTAACAACGGTCTCGATGGGGTCCCGAAGCGTCTCCTCCGCCAATTGGAGAATTTTACACATGACAGTAGGTGCCTTAGGCTGTCAGCTAGGGTCCAGGAATGGTCATTCCGCCGTCCCGGTCGTTAGCCGTGAATCTATTTCCGAGTCTTGAATCATCTCATCCTGCCCATTGCTAGGCTCCCTTTAGACTTTTAACCAGAGTACAGCTGCCCAACTTTATCAAAGTCTTCTAGAATGATTATGTTGCCTAAGGTGTAGTCTAGAATGAGTGAATACCCATCTCCGTAAACTACGAGGACTGGCCGTCAGGTATTTACGACAGCCTTTTATTCTCTCGCCAGGTGAGCCCCGGAAAGAGCGCAAATAAAAGTGTTACTGATCGAAAGGAAACCTCGACATTATAGCGGTGCCTCTACCTGCTACCTGGAAGCAGACAATGGCTTCTTAGCATTCTGAATATAAACTGGTAGTGCTGATTGAGCGTCATGGATGGATCAAGAATAAGACTTAACAGGATGTCTACAATGAAATCATGCTACCGGTATAGCTACACGAGTACGAACGGAGGTGTCAGGTCCATTGTGTTGTGTACAATGTAATATCTTTAAGTATAAGGATACCCGAGATGCGTTGTGGTGACGACATATCGCTTAGGCAACATGTAGACACTCTTGACCACCGCTCACACTTGTCTTTTACACCACCCTCTCTGTCTACCAGCCACGACTCTTCGTCACTAAAGATGTCTCTTCGCATTCGCTCTCTCTTCGATCGAAAAGGTGTGGCAGAGAAAAAGGCAGCCCATGCAAACGCTGTCGAAGTGATGGACGAAATCTACGATCTCACGGAGGAACACTGCAGTTTTGGCACTCACATCGACACTGAGCTTTTAAAGTCACTGAAGACAGACTGCAGAGATCTGAATCTGGCTAACCACGGCACCTATCTAGACTCCTTTCTTCCTGTCTTCTTCGAACCACTGCCTCCCGAACAGCTCCCTCCCGTGGACCTCCGTGATGCTGAGACTAAGAGGAATTACGAATTTACCAAAAAAAGTATTGTCAGGGCCCTCACGCTATGAGAGAACTGCACATGATAGCGCACACTCGCTGTCCTCGAACATAATGTCGACATTTTCAACACTCCCGCGTGAAGTCCCGGGAGAAAGATCTCTTAGCTTGAGGCGATTAAGCGGCTGGCTCAAGACGTAAGTGGTGAAAGACCCCGCCATTTCATTACCTTTGGCATTCTGTTAACCAGTATGTCATTCTGTTAACCAGTATGTAAAACTGATAGCGATTTCTCTCCTTCCATTATCGATGACGAATTTGTCAACTCTGTCTTCGAATCACTGGAATGGAATCCCGGCAACGCATTTACGACTCTAACGAGCTGTTCTACTACTCACGTCATGTTTAGTTTGATTTGGGATACGAACCTGACGAGAGATTTCTGCGAGCGGAGCTTACACCGATCGTAGCAGCGATCATCACACGGCTCGCAGACCCTGAGTATGAGGATCACAGCGTTATCCCTGTAAGTTGTGACGTGACGTCCCCGTCCATTCGGAGGTCTTTTCTTTTCCGTTTGCCGCGTTGGTACTAACAGATGATCTCTTCCAAAGGTAATGGTTATTTCTTTGCTCGGAAAAAGGAAGGTGCGGATCCTACAAGCACACAACAATCGTGAAGGAATCGTTATTCGGAAGCCGGGCTTTATCAGACTCAACTCCCCTGAAGAAGCGACGGACAACATGGATCTTCTTGTGCGATTCATAGCGAGTAATAGAGTTGGCGACACTGCCGATCCAAAGAACTTCTTCGGCGTGAGTCAATATGTCCCTAGCAACCATCCTACCAATCCGTGAAGGTGTTGGCAGGAAAAACAGCCCGAGACCCCACCGACCATTCCGGGGCCCAGCGGCGCTGGGTCATCGCAAGAGGAGCTTCCCGAGGAGATCCCAGAGTCCATGTCACGTCTCAGTCTGACAATAGCCAGGCAAGGCAGCGTTCGGGTGAGGAACTTTCTGAGGTCGATTCGCAGCCTTCCACGTGTAATCTCTGGGGGCCATAATATATTTCAACCTAGAAAGCCTGAGAGCCTCCCAGAGATCCTTCCTTGCATTTCGAATCGGATCCCGAAAGGCGTCTGTTCACTCGGTCGGACGAGCAGGAAGTACAAGTACCAAGCACCTCCGCTCCAAAGGAGGAGGGGGGTCACCCTATCACTAGATCCGACGAGCATGAGTTACGCAGAGCGCCTGTTTCGAGGGACCTCGACCCACAGACACCAGAGTCGCTAAGTTATGTCCCGTTCCTTTGATGCTAGCGCCAGTTGAAGAATCGGATAGGCTCGCCAGTCGCGTCAACCAATTTTAAAGTTCAAGTTTCCAGAGAAATGGCCTCGAGGGCCGGTGGCTTTTTTAGTTGCTTCGTTATACCTTTGAATTTGATTGGAAATTTACTTTCACCAGGTTGGACAATACTTCGGGAGTGTCTGTTATCTCAATGGCTTTCTACGTGGTGTAAAGGGATTTCAAACTTGCCGTCAAGCTGAGTCTGTGTAGCTCGAAAGTTTATGTATTAAGCAAGATTCAAATGAAATTGCGACGTCAAGGAGAGAATTTGTAGTATTTGCCGCCCAGTGTTGAATAGTAACCCCAGAACTCTTTAAGCGCCCACGTCTAGGGTCAAATGTCCCATCTCAACTCTTCGTTTCCGTCCCAGGTCTCTGGCAATGCAGACTACAACAATTCGATGACTCCATGTGCCGAATGTGATTTCATCTAAGCAATAAGGTTCATTTACGTACCAGATTGGTTTCTATTCCTTCTGCTTGGTCTCACCAGAACCAGTCATTCTTTAAACATGAACATCAAGCGACGCCATTCGTTCATCGTGTCAGTCACTGCTCTCAGCCTCATCTGTCTGTACTTTTATTTGTCAAGGGTTTCTTGGCCGGTTTCGACAAAGTCAATGGCCAAGCGACTTCTCACGAGGAAGTCGCTCCATCTTCAGACGGCAATAATGTCTCCGATGAAAACAGACAAAGAGCATCTGTCGCAGAACCTACCTTCTTATGGACGCGTCGTCCGACTCAATATCCGGTCCTGTCAATTACACCGCTGCCCACGGAAAGACCACGGAAATTGCCGAAGTGCAGGCAGACTTTCCCACAGAGACGGATCCTTAAAAGGCGTAAGTTCGCAACAAAGGCAAAAAGGCAGCAAAAGGCGCCTTCATCCGATGCTGGATCGCTTACAAGACTCGCGCCTGGATGGGGTAATGGGGTTATGCCGCTATCTAGGGCGACGCGCAACTAGGCGCATCCCTTGAAGAGGATGAAATAAACTATGTTTCAATTGTGTTCCTCTGTTCGCGATGAGCGTGATGCCTGTACATATTATACTACTCGGTGAACTAAAGTGTCTGTATACCAGTCGTACACAAACATAAAGACGAGACCCAGTTAGAGATCCCGACCTACTTTCCCTCAGAACTCTCTATTTTGCTTAGTTCATTTCCAAGCCCGGCATCCTAAATACCATCTCCTCAAGTCGTCATATAGACCTACTACCCACAGAGGGCTGCTATAGTCACGTGGGCTTCATGAGCGCATGCAGCTAGTCCCAAACAACGCAACAGGGCACTCTCCGCTTAAATTCAACTTCAGACCTAGCATTTGACCAAGATCATACAGCTCTGCAAGGAAGTGTCCTCATTATTATCATACACTCTGTGAGACTTTACCCACGTCACAGTCTGAAACCGTTCAGGGAGTCCGCTACTCATCCGGTAAGGCGGCCAAGCAAATAAAACATGGGTACCTCGTATATTAAGTTCTTATGATCATCACCGCCACTATTAGCGATCTGCGAACTCAACTTTAAATAACTCAAATGGATGGCGTATGTCAAGTCACTAGACTAATATTTATAATTATGTTGTCTTCTCCCTTGCTCGGGTGGCATTGTTGTTTCCTGCGCCCTAGCTGGATGTAAGGTACAGGTTGTACATACTCCGTATGGTTTGCATAGTGTGCAAGGTAGGCAGCCCCGGTAGGTAGAATCTTACGCGTTCGAAGAGCATGCGTCATTAATTAATAAATACTGTCTGATCTATCAATTCGCATATTCCCATATTATAGAATTATAGACATCGTATTTGGAATTCATTATTTGGGTAAATGCTGGGGGTGCAGTAGAGCAATGTCTACAGCAATGCAAAGCCAAACGCCGATATAGCCATCAAATGCATCACAGGCTACGATACATTTACATCATTTTAGAAAAAAGAGCGAGTACACGAAGATCAAAATCGTAGCAGCCGTCGCCACTGTATACTCCAGCTCGAACCAGGCCGCCTGACCACCGAACGCAATCTTCTTGCTGCGGGCGGTCGGATGCGCAACTCCCGTCTTGGGGTCTCGGACCAACAGATCCTCACGGTCGGGCATGGCAGGAGGATCGACGGCGTAAGCAACAGGAGTCCAGAGCGAATTGCAGATGAAAAGGAATGTCAGCGGGGGCCAGAAGGCGTGTGTGATCAAGCAGAGAATGACATCTCGGAAGCTCTTCTCCTGCGCGAAGCAGCGATACGACGAGATGACGACCGCAACGAGCGTGACATACACAAAGGCAAGGTGGAAGAAGGCCATGTAGTTGAGTAAGATCACGCGCAGACGGACGAGCATGTTCTTCCTCCGTTTCGGATCACGCTCTTCGAGTGCCGAGCTGAGTGAGCCGGTCGGCTTGAAGGCCTGAGCCTGGCCACCAAGCCATTTGGGGAGGATGAATGAGCGGACAATACAAAGGGCAATGTAGGGTGCCATCCAGAGCTGGTAGCGCGAGCCTCTCTGTCCGGTGTGGTAGCCGGCGGGGATGAAGAGGGCAAACTCGCAGATTCGGTTGGAAATGGTCGAGGCGAAGCAGGCCCAGATAAGCCAACGAAGCTGCTCCTGAGTTGCATAGGCAACAAGCTGCTTGCCCCACAGAAGAATAACGGGGATGGCGAAAATCGAGACAGTGAGAAGGAGGGTGTACAAGCTGAGTGTTGCGTAGAGGAATCCCGAAAAGCGCTGAGCAGCAGTCATCTGTCGAACGGCGTCACCCCACAGACAGAATTTGAGCTTCACAGCAGTGTCGACGGTTCCGATTGCCCATCGGGTACGCTGCTTAAGATGTCCGCCAAAGTCTTCCGGCACGGTACCAAACTGGAGAGGTTCATGGATGTACGCGGTCTTCCATCCCTTCCCGAGCATCATTGTGGAGGTTGCGACGTCTTCGGCCAACGAACCAAGAGGGAAGTTGCCGATCTCATCCAGGGCCTCGCGTCGAACGACATAACCGGACCCAGTGCACCAAGCGACACCCATCGCATCCTTGATTGGCTCAATCACATGCACGAAGAAATCCAGACTCTGTGCGAGAGGGTCAGACGGAGGGGTGTTGTAGAACAGCTGCGGCGGGCATGCAAGGGCCATCTTGGGATCGACAAGGAGATGAGGAAGGACGGCACGCAGCCAGTCTTGCTCGGGAATCTGTAAAACTAGTTAGGAGACGGCTTGAGTCAACATGAAACGCGAGTGGAAATTACCATATCAGCATCCAGCGCCGCCATGAATTGGCCGGCGCCTCCAGGCAAATAGTGCACCTGCTCAAGGCCATAATTGAGGTTACCCGCTTTGAAGTGGTGTGGTTTGCCCGGAATCTTCTCTCGCGCCATGTAGATGAGATTGGGGTGAGTAATGGCGAGCTGGCGGACGGAAGCCTCCAGGGTGGCCGACTTGCCGTCATCGAGCACAATGACCCTGAATCTGTCAGGGGGGTAGTCCTGATCGCACGCTCCACGGACAGTATCCAGCACAACCTCGTCATCTTCTCCGCAGCAGGTGACGAAAACATCGACGGTAGGAACATCATTTCCGGTCAGTCGCAGCTTGGGTCGGCCTCTTTTCTTCAGTGCCATCATGGTCCAGCAGTTGTGCATCAAGGAGGGGATCGCAACAGCGATCTCGATAGCAACGAAAACCCATGCTCCGGCGTAAGTGTATCCAGCCGCTTTTTGGGCCAGAATAATACAGGCGATTCGCAGCCCGAGGTAGAAGAGGTAGAGACCGGTGTTGGCCAGCGTGAGGAAGGGAACAAGGCTGAAGACCCATCGCTTCCATCCTCTCCAGATATCGGCATCATCACGCTTGTGAAGGCGAGCGATCGACCCGGACTGGACCCAATCTTTTGCAAACAACGGTGAACGGGAGGCGTTGACGAGAGGAGCAAGACTCTGATGACTTTGAAGCAGCTGATTGTGTTGATACTGATGACCGACATATTTGTTAGTTTTGTGTGCACAACGAAGGAATTAGTGGGACTGTAATTACCGGAGATGGTGATGCTGAACGAGAGTCAAACGATTCTGGACCGAGAGACGACCGAGCGGTCGCGAAATGATATCCGGGAGACGCATAGTCCTCCAGAGGAATCTCACCGGCCCGAATAGGCGTTTGAGCTCCTGGTGGGAGCTGATCTAGCGAGTCGAAACTGCTGTGATTGTTGTGGCCTCGACGATGGACTTGAAGTCCGAACTTCTCCTGGTCCTCCTGGCCATAGCGCCCGTCCATTTTGGCCTTGAGTGCAGCAAAATATGTGGCAGTCAGTCCTTAGCAAACCGATCGGAATGTGTCGAAGTATTCGAAGTATGAAGGGGAAAGGACGAGGATATTCTGATTGGAATTTTAAAGAACTACTCCCAAGTGATTAAACGAGTGTGATAAGCTCAAAGAGCTTTGGAATACAAGGGAAGTAGAACTAGAGCTGGATGGACAGGTTCAACGAGAGACGAGGCAGGAAGATGGGCGAGGGCGAGAGGTGCCTGTTCCTTGTCCGGCGTCTTCCGCACGTACTTATTCCTTGTCACTTATGTCAGTACTACGCCGGAGTACCTCTGCCTTGAGTTGTGAATTTTTTTTACTATTTTATTATTTACGAGCAGTCCTAGTCCAATACCAGCCAAGGCCAAGCTAACCAGAGCATGCGACCTACCGCAAAGATCTGCCCTCAGTAATTTAGTGCTCATTTACCAGTTGCCTTGGCTTACTTAAATTACTTATTATGAATGGCTGAGGCCCTGAGACTAGTGTGATCTGGATGCAGCGATAAGAGTACGGGTGGGGCCACACCGTTTGCGCACTAGCCTCTGATAAGCGAATATAAATAGATCCCACCGAGAAGGATTTTCCGCTTGCGTCATCCTGGTTGTACTGCCAGTTACGGATTCAATACAGGTAAGACACATTATTCGAAACTATTCCATGGTAGACTCCCTCAACAGTACCAGGGAAAGTATCATCTAGAAGATCACTAAAGAGGAAATTTCCCCTGCCAAACCTTGCTGGAAATGCTTCTCAGGTACACGCAGCCCAATACATTTGCAGTATTCTTGAAGTTTCCTTGGTTGCACTGCCCTCTTACCTAATTTATCTTAAATTTCAGGATCTTCTATCTCACTACAGCCACTAAATTAGTTCACAACCAATCAGCTCCACTCGTTATCAGGGACCATCCCCGTCGAGCATATGATTAGTCTGTTTTAGTCCCTGATTTCCCACTCGAACAGTCAAACTATGTAAACAATTCAATTCTTTTCCCTTGTAAGTTACACCTTCCTTACATCCTTACATCTACGGATACCCAAGGTAAATGTTTGCTGATAACCATGCTCTCCCCACTCGACCAAAGCACCCAAATGAGCCACTGACCATATCCGCTTCCAATACAGATCATCTCACCTTCCATGACCTTCCTCCTTCTACATCTCTGAATTTACAGAGTTCTTCACGTCAAACCTATCATGGTGCTTCGATGGGTTGTTAATGCCGGCCTTTTGGCCATCCCCATCGGAGGCACTGTAGGTGCTTTGATGGGAATCGATGCGCACCGACATGCGACAGGACAAGCTCCTCTTTTCAGCGGCGGCGGCGGTTCAGGGTCGGGCTCGGGCTCGGACTCCTCTGGCTCTGTTCCTCCTGGTGGCAGTGGTAGCACTACTCATAATGGAGTGGCCAACACAATGTACTGCCCGAAAACCCCCTACGGAATCACGCCTGAGACAAAAGGACAAAGCTTCACATGTACGTCGTTGAGAGTTCCTATCGGGGTTTGAATGACTAACCATTACCGCAGTAAATCCCAATCCATGGGGTGTGACCGGCGATACAGTCGGAGCATTATGCATGAACGTAAGTGTTGAGATTCAAGTATGTAGGAGCTATGTAGCTTTGTTAACAAGGATTGAAAAGGTCACAACCTTCGATAACGGGACATACGCGACCAAGAACACAGCACCCGAGTTCTCCGTTACATGGCAATACGACCCCAGTCTGTCGACCCAACCGGTCCACGCCTACTCGAACGTGATGATTGATGACGGGTTGCCCATCTCTCTGGAGAAAATTCAGCATATGAATGTCGATTTCCACTGGACCTACGGAGTAGGCAACACACCCGCTGAGGCGACAAACGAGGCGGAACTGACTGCCGCATCTGTCAATACGAACGTCGCCATCGATATGTTCATGAGCCACGAAGAGAAAGTAAAGGACAGTTCCGATTATACACATGAAGTGATGGTCTGGTTTGGGAAGTTCGGGCCCGCCACGTACGTCCTTGGACAAGACGGTGGCGTAGTTGCGACCAAAGAGCTGAATGGAACTATTTTGTGAGTGAACTATCCGGTGACCGCTGGGTCCCTTCTATCTGACCGCTTTGTTTGCAGCAACCTATATTCTGGCCGGAACGGCAACAACCAGTGGGTTCTGACGTGGCTTACGAGCGACTCTTCGAACGATCCTGAGGCGAAGGGGAAAACTACGGAAACGTTCACCGGTGATCTCTTACCTCTGATCACCGATCTATACTCCATGACTGGGGAGGCTTACCCGTCAAAATCCGACTACATGGGTATCTTCCAGTTCGGTACCGAGGCCTTCCATTCAAGTACGAATGTCACATTTTGGGCACCCAAATTCTCGGTAGATCTGCAATGACGAGAATGAGGAGGTGTATGTATATTTTCTTTTGTTCATGAGCATTTGGGAGTTTTGAGGGAATCCGATCGAACATAGATAATGAAGCATTGGTATATTGTCATCACAGATGAGAACGGCACTTGTAAGGGCCAAGCCGGGTTGCCTATACTGTTTACAAACATATGGACTATGCAAATTATTGGAAGCATTGCGTACGATACGCAGAATCGCCATTACTGGGACTCTAAACTGTTGATGTTCGCGTCGCGATGTTTCCGCAAGCATAGGTAAGTATGTCAAAGGCGGGCCTGTTTGGTTGGAGGTGCCCGCAACTTACACACTGTTTAAGGTAAGACTGCTGAAGACCAGGCGCCAGAAACGGAAACGCACTGGCATCCACCACATGTAGTCCAGACACTCCATATACATGCGCCTGCGATCGGCAACAACCATCGCATCCTCCGCAGTGTCCATCGTACACGTGCAAGCAGCATGCACCAAGTCGTAACGTTATGCCGGCAAAGACCCAAGACCGAAGTCCATGGTCTCATTGGTCCATATCGCTTCCATTTCTCGCTCCATCTACGAGGATATGGCATGGCAACGTTGGCGTAGGATACTGGCAGTTGCCCGCCTGCTGACTCGTACGTAGCAGCGTCGTAGGCGGCTATAATTCGGTACTGGAGCTGCGAATTTGACACCATGCTTGTACTGCGGGAGTACTTCCTCGAATGCGTACCAGTAATTGGTACTATCGACGGCAGTTGCCAATTATTCGTGAGCTCGCGCATTGGTCTGCGAATCAGCTGGTTGTGTGACGGTTCAAGCCACTAAATAGGCAAACACCGTCGACGGATCATATAATCCAGCGTCGACCTGCAGATATGCTCCGCCAGTTCCGTCAGCATTAGCCAAGTGCCTGGCTGACTTACGAGTCCTAAGTCATTTACACCTGGCATATAAAATATATCGTCCATTGACCCTTGGCTTATTTTATGCAACAAAGCTTCGCTGGGTTGTGGAGGACGTGTCGAATCGGACCCGACGAGCAGGACATCTGCTGTACGAATGGAAGCAACTGACTCCAGCTCATCGCCTCGACCAGACGATCTTGAATGAGGCCGGCGCCAGTTGGCGGGCCACGACACTGCCGCCCGTATCACTTCTGAATACGACTAATCGGACTCCCTATCTCGGCTGAACAGACCTCGAGGCCTCGTTGGTGATGTTTTTTTGTTGCTGCTGTGGATAATCTGTAGTGCGTAGGCAATCTAAGTCCCGAGTCCAATGGCACGGAGCGCCAAAGCAACAAGAGTTGTTCGAGATAGCGTCTAAACTTGTCAATTGATTGTGCCTTACACATGCAAGGGGGAAAACGCATGGTGACCTTTGTGTTACCAAACCTGTCAGAGTATACGCGACCGGGCAGGTAATCATAGGCAGACAAGGATGACGCCTGAGAGCCCAGACCGTACTAATTTGTAGGAGATACAGGCCTCAGTTAAGATCTTCGATGTTTCCAGGGATGTTTCAGGAAGTGTTCGAAATAAACCACTAGAAGCCTAGCCATCCAAGTTTCACTATCGATCCCTCATTGTCTCAAGTCTGTAGTCGATTTTCTGTGTCATGGTTGGTCACCGTTGCTTGTTTGGGGACCCCGAAACGGGTAACTGTAGAACCCCACACCTGGGCTGTTTCAAAGCGAGACAGGACCGAGACCATCGAGTTCAATCGGACAAATTCGAGCATCCTCTCTTATCAAGAAAGCCATCACTGATCCACTCATCTTCGGTTAGGATGGACAACATCACAATGGTACAGTGGGGGTTCAAAAGTTTTTAGACCCCCGTTTGCCGCTAAGATCACCGCTTTTCATTCTCATCTATTCTGCCCCTATAGAAACTAGTATTTCATATACCATCCATCCGCATCAAGGATTGCCTGCACACGGTGAGGCATAGTATTGGATAGATGCTGCAGGACTCTCTCATCAATTGCATGCCATGCCTCCTTTGCTGCCTCTATAAGATGCCTTAGAGTATCCTCAGTATCTGGGGCATGCTTAAGCTCTGGATAGTGCTCATAAATAATCCCTTTCATAAGTGCCCATAGATTCTCAATTGGATTCAGATCAGGGGAGTATAGTGGCCAGACCATAACCTGAATCTGCATATCACTAAGTAGGGACCTAATAATACGCGCAGTATGGATAGAGGCGCCATCATGCATAAAGATATCCCCAGGCTGAAGTAATTTAGGTAGAAAAGCTTCATATACAGAATGTATAACCCAGGAAGTTACCCCCCCTCTCCTAGATTCAGGGTCGCCATCTAGAGGGACAAGGCCTATGCGGATATTATATCCAAATCCAGCCCAAAACATCTTCTTTACACCCTTTCCACATCAAATACCATGCACATCATGCTCAATAAGTTGTTGAGATAGACTATTAAATGTCCATATAGGTTAAACACCTTTACCACGCTCAACTGAGCATTCATCTATCTATTTCACCCGTCTCTAATCATCAGGTGTGTAATAAGCATAAGACTGAGCCCATCATAAATGCTTAATAGCATTCTCTTCTTTAATTTCTGGTTGATTTCATTGCTTCCATTTGCGCATATGTAGACTCCAGAATAGTCAACGAACCGTGCTCTTTGATGGGGAGATCTTAACTGCAATCTGCAGCTCACGCATCTTAATATGAGGATCCTTAGTTGCAAGATCAAGTAGATGATTCTGTTGCTCACTAGTTAAGGCTTTTGGACGACTACTTCGGGGTAAGGATTGCTGATCATTGTGTTGATTCTGTTTTTTGATAGTATATTGGATGGTAGAGAGAGGTATCTGGGGATAATGCGTATGAATACACTTGTATCCCTATCCAATATCATGCAGCTCACAGATTTGAGCACGAATAGTAGGTGTAAGCTCCTTAGATCGCGCCATCTGGATGTGTATTAGAATAGAATCAAATCATGTACGCGCAGGCGTTGAGGTGGCAGAATAGTTAGAATGGAAAGCGGTGAACTTAGCGGCAAACAGGGGGTCTAAAAACTTTTGAACCCCCACTGTAGGCCAGGAGTAGCGACGAGATGAAAACGAAAGGGCCATCAGAGCTTGTGATTGGACGGTTCAGCATAGAATCACGTGATAAATACCCATCCAGTGAATGGGCGCCGATTCGAGTCGCAGTGAGCCCACTTTCCTTTTTCTCTCTTGAACTTTTGCTCCAATCCCCGCATGAGATGTGACAGAACAATTTTCTGCGACTGCGTTTGGGCCAGGATTTGGTGTTGCTCATTGTGCTGTGCACAGTATATTATCTCGGACCACTTCGTCTCTGTGTGAAGAGGATGAAAACCGATCAACAACAACAACAACCCCATCAGCGTGGACATCATGAGTGTGGCCGAGCATCTGTTGTGTCAAAGCATCAAGCCAGCCAAACACCATGGTAGCTTCGATGAACTGTGTTCCCGACCATGCTTCGTTCATTGTTTGTGCATGGAGAGCTCAAGGCGCGATGTTAGTACGCATTGCAAGTGTCAGCCAGACACTGTCGAAAAGCGTCCAATTTGCAACGGGCTGCAGGAACACTTTGTTCGTCCTGCACAACACTGATAGACACATCTTAATCAGACTCAGATATTATTGAAATAAAAACCACTAGGCTAAAAGGTTGTCCGGACATGATTCCTATCAGTCTAGGGCTCTATATACTTTTCGACAGATATCAACTCGTTGACTTCTGCAAGATGACGCGTTATTCGCCTCGACCTAAAAAAAGATGGAGAAATATCCGTCAGCTCCCCTTCGCTTATCAATCTATGGTGGAATAGCTCCTGTTTAGCACTCGACTAAGGTCATCACCACTGTCGATGCGGTAAGGCTTGCTTTGATTTGATATAAACTGGGCGCTCTGCAGACTTTCTCCGGTCGAATCACATCCGGGCAACATGAGCATGCTCAGCCAGTCGATGCTTGTTCTACTGCGATCCCGGCAGCCATCTTCGAACCGGTCAATCACTGCGAAATGCGGTAGAACGTGCCTTTTAGGCGTCATGTTGCATAAAACTGAGAATAATCAGTTCATATAGCAGCTGCTGAAGAGCGATGTATGGTGCGGTTGCCATATATAAACCCCATTAAGTGCAGTCCCTTCGAATATTCGGAGCAGCGAATCCAAAGTCAAGATGAAAATCGATGGATTCCTCTGGCTAAGCCTTCTCGGCGCCTCGGTTGCAACCGGCAAAATCCTTGCTGTACGAAAAGATCATGGAGACCGATCCAAGCGGGCAGCTTTCCTGGCTCGTCAATGAGCTCGATTCTGCGGAGACCGCCGGCGAGCGAGTCTGGCTGCTCGGCCACATACCGATGGTATCTGGCGATGCCTTTCACGACGCATCCAACCACTTCAATCAGATTGTCCAACGGTATGACGCGACCATCGGCCGCCTTGTTCTACGGCCACACCCAAAAAGACGAGTTCGAGATTGCCTACTCCAACTACACAGACCAGAGTGCGCAGACTGCGACGATGATGTCGTAGATTGCTCCCCCGCTGACTCCGACACCGGGAAACCCGACCTTTCGCGTCTATTCGGTCGATCCGGTTACCTTTGGCGTGCTGGATTACACCGTGTACATCGCCAAAATGTCCAGTTTGACGTACCAGAGCAAACCTACCTGGCAGAAATATTACTCCACAAGGAGGCTTACGGTTCTCTTCCAAGCCCCCTGTCACAGATAGCGCGAGCGAACCGACTCCCGCTTTCTGGCACAATGTCACTGCGTTGTTTGAGAGTGATGATAGCGTGTTCCAGGACTACATATCCCGCAAGAGCGGAGGGTGGGATGTCACCAGCTGCACTGGTGATTGCAAGACATCGGAGATCTGTCAGCTGCGAGCGGCCGAGGCGCAGTACAATTGCCTTGAGATCACCCCGGTATATTTTAAGCGCACAAAACGAGAAGATACGAGCAGCGGTACAAAGACGGGGAGTGTATATGGCGGGTCGGTTTTTGGGGGTATGTTTACCGACTTTGCGGAGACTGTGACGGTGTTCAAGACGGCTGCGCGGGAGAAGCTAGGATCGAGCTTTCTGAACAAATACAGTCAATACGACGGCTATTTAGCTCCAATGTGAACAAGAGATTGGCCCAGCATGGTTCTGGTACTGGTATCATCCTATATAGGAATATGCATCGAAGGTGAGGTTGAAATTGAGCTTTCCCAACCGCGTAAACCCTTCCTCATTTGCCTCCAGGAGCAGTGAGATAAACTCCTTCGAATTCACACTAGAAAGGACGACAACAATCCCAACTTATTGCCGTAAGCCTTAAAGCTGACCAGAAGGTGCGTACATAAGCGATGAGGCATTTGTCAACCTATCTTGGGCAGGGGCCGCAGGGCTGGCACCACGTGATCATTGTCCTGGCTGCTGCATGGCTAAGCGTTCATTGTTCACCTGCCCACACGAGACATCATGTGACATCCCCATCCACATCCACAGGAAGCCATGCAGAACTCTACTTGATACCGAAGTTTCATCAGCAAATTGAGAATAAGAAGGTAGGCTCCTCGTCATCTAAGACTATAACATGGTTTGATACTGCGGCCGCTGATTGATAATCATTACAGTTATAACATTGTGATGCACATTCCCTTATAGTAACCATATCAGTCTCCAGGTCTCCCCTTGAGATGGGTCGAATACACAGCTTAATCAGGAGACTACGTCCGCGAATGCGATTTCTCACCCTCCACTATGCCTATTTTACAGGTACCTGTTTAATCAGCTCCTTCATTCTCTGGGGTGCTGCACAACCTTTCGGTAGTCTCCGTTACATTGATGCCCTGTATCTCGCTGTTAGTGCTATGACGCTGGCAGGCCTCAACACAGTGAATCTGCCGACCCTAACCACCTTTCAGCAGCTGTGGCTATTTTTCTTGATTATACTCGGCTCCGCGGTAAGCTCAAGGCACTTACTCCCTACTGCACCAGCAAGCCAGTGTGAGAGTGTCAGCCAATCCCTGTTGTAGATCTGGGTGTCCATCGCCGTCCTCTTGACACGCAGACGCGCATTCGAACGGCGGTTCGGCGATATCATCCGAGAGCAACGCCTGCAGAGAAGGAGTGCGCGTGAGCCCCTGCAAGCAGGCCCCAGCCTTTCCCTGTCGCGGTCGTTCCGCCGACGCGGGACTGCCTCGGACAGTCTAAATCTGCGATCTGTGCCTGCTGGTAGAGCCCAGGCACCTGACCGCAATGTTGTGTCCCGTCAGCCTTCCAGCTACTCATCCAGACAGCCAGGTGGTGGAACTGCTGACCTGCCTGTTGCGACGGCTGCGGGAGTCGAACAACGGCAACCATCTAGAGAGAGCGCGGAGGAGAAACCTACTGTCTTGAATCGGAAGCCTTCAGTCACCTCCACCCCTGGCTCTGCGAACCCTAATAATTGCGAGGAGGACAAACCTACTCGCTTGGAGCTGAAGTCTTCGGTCAACTCGATCCCTAGCTCTGCAGACCTCAATAATCGCGAGGAGTACTCCCGCCTTGCCTTCGCGTCTGATGTTCTCCCTCCTCGCGAACAGTCATCGAGCAGATATCCTCGACCGCATCTTCTTCCGCCTTATACGAACTACAGACAGCCGTCCGAGCTGTCAGATCGTGCGCCCAGACGCGGACAGAATCCAGACTCGGGTCATGAACCTTTGGCCTTCCTACGCCACGTCGGACGAAATTCTACCTTCCCTACACTGACTGAGGAGGAACGCGACAAACTCGGTGGTGTAGAATATCGAGCTGTGTGTCTGCTGACCATTATTGTGCCCATTTACTTTGTGGCCTGGCAGTTTCTTGGAGGACTGGCAGTGGGGGCTTATGTGGCCCGTAACAAAAGCACAGTGACAGAGACGAACGGCTTGGCTCCATGGTGAATACCCCATTTCATCTCCGTGTCCTTCCCCACTGAAGGACTACGTCACACTGTTCCTTTTTCTCTTCTCGGCGTGAATTAACTGCTTTCTCCAGGTGGGCCGGTTTCTTTTTTGCGATTTCCGCGTTCAACAACTCCGGCATGAGTCTTGTGGACGCCAACATGGTGAGAGCAGGATAGTCCATCCGGAACGTCAATCCACTGACTTCAGTCGGCAGGTGCCTTTTCGTTCATCAACATTCATGCTCATCACCATGGGTTTATTGATCCTGGCGGGCAATACCTGGTACGGCCACTCCTCGGAATCTCAAACCCTGTCATGATCACATACTCATGAGGTCTTCCAGCTACCCGATATTCCTGCGATGGATCTTGTACGCGATGCTCCGCCTCCTGCCCAAGCATCCCTACTTTCAAGAGTCCCGTGACACTCTGCGTTTCCTGTTGGAGCATCCCCGTCGATGCTACACCAATCTCTTTCCTTCACTACATACCTGGTGGTTACTCTGCGCCGTGGTCGTACTCAACGGGATTGACTGGGTGATGTTCGAGGTTCTAAATGTAAGCCCTGAGTGCCCACGCCCGGAGCAAAGTATTATACTAAAACTAGAGAGATTGACAATCCCGCGGTCAACACGATTCCCGTCGGCTCCCGGGTCCTCGACGGACTTTTCCAAGCCCTCTGTGTGCGCAACGGCGGCTTCTATCTCGTCAGCATTTCCGCCCTTCAGCTGGGTATGCAGGTCATATATGTGATTATGATGTACATTTCCGTGTATCCCCTGGTGATCACCATGCGCAACTCCAACGTCTACGAGGAGCGCAGCCTGGGGATCTACGCCGACGATATGCCATCAGCGTCGCAGGATCCCAACGGCCAGCAGAAGAACCTACCGGGGAAGACGCCCTCCGGTCGGCTTTACTTTATTCAACAGCAGCTGCGGGCGCAACTGGCGTATGACCTCTGGTGGATTGCCCTGGCCGTTATCATTATCTGTATCGTGGAGGCTGGTAGTTTTACCCGCGACCCAGTGACATATTCCGCCTTTAACATTATCTTCGAGACCGTCAGCGCCTACGGCACCGTCGGAATCAGCACGGGCCTGCCGGATCAAATGTATAGTTTCTCGGGGGGCTGGCACACCCTGAGCAAGCTGGTTCTCTGCGTTGTGATGCTGCGTGGCCGGCACCGGGGATTGCCTGTCGCAATCGACAAGGCTATTCTGTTGCCCGGGGAGCACCTGATCCAGGCGGAACAGGAAGACGCGTACATACGCTTGGAAAGGACGATGAGTCGAAGTCGGAGTCGGACAATGGCATAATACCTGAAGGAGCCATGTATAAGCTGATAAATGCTTCTGATTTTGTACTTTGCAACGCTGGTGGGATTGGCTGATCCCTTCGTCATATTACTTCTGGCCCTGGAGAGTTTGATATCCTCATGGTAAGGAAGTACAGAGTGTCGATCTATCAATCTTGCCATGAATTCCCCTAGGATGGCCCATATATTCAGAAATACAATCTTCCCCGGCAGTTACTGATGGAAAACCGGGCCCGTCAGGAGTGATTGTCGGGTACTGCAGATCATCCGGGTGTGAGTCATTTTACGATTCCCCAACCGTCAGTGACGAGAATACGAAGTATGCTGGATCTACTTAATAAAGCTTCAGCCAATTCAAGTTAATTTCATCCGAGACATTGGTGCCTATACAGCAAAGCAAACCCCACTGGATGGTGGAGGCTGCCTGCTCGACAGAACGCAGTATTTCCACCCACAATAAAAAGCCCACTACCTGTTGGACTGTAGCTGCAGCCATCATACCTCAATGGCCAGCCTATCCTCCTTCCTGCGCTACCTGCGCCTCAAACTTTTGGTCTCTTTCTACCGCCTCATCGTCAAAATCCTCGCCTTGGCGGCCTCACCCCAACTCTCTCACTGAGAATACCGTCACGCGATAAAGGCCGCACTGTCAAAGCCCGTATTTACCACCATCGAGGACGCGGTCAAATATGTGCTCGACCGGCCGGAAGAGTACCAGACCTCGCAAGTCGCCGTGTACGGGTTCTCATCAGGCGGCACCCTCGCGCTCGTCGCTCCAACACTGTTTCCTCCTGGCACCTTCCAGTCCGTCATTGCGTTCTATCCTGCAACGGATCTCGCCAGGGACCCGAGCTTGAGGAAGGCCCCAGCCGTGCATGCGAAGCCGCGCTCGGCGTTTTGGACAAGGATCTTCCGGGAGGCATACATAGGAGACATGGATCCACGAGAATCCAAGGATCGCGCCGGCGTGTGCTGATTTATCCAAGTATCCCCCAATATGCTGGTCGTAACAGCGGAGTTGGACTCGTCGGCGCTCGAGGCGGAGGAACTTGGCGAAGAAAGCCGAGATGGAGGGACTCTCCAGCGGTAGGAATGTGGTCATTTGGAGGATGAAAAATTGCGGTCATGCCTTTGACAAGAAGAAGACGGATAGAACCTGTGTCCAGGCTCGGGATGAGGCGTATGGGCTTGCTGTGGATATTTTGAGGAAGGTCGCCGGAAAGAGCGGTTGACGGACGGTCACGGTTGCATATTACGCACTGTCAGGCAACACTTCAAGACATCAACTTTACCATTAGTGACTATCTAGCAGATTAGCTATTTCACCTTTGTGTATCTTCATTGTCTCAGACCCGCGAGCACCAGTAATCTTTGCTAACAGGAAGTATAAGTCAACCTTGCCAACAACTTTCAAGTCTGGAGACATGGCAGTCATGGACACAAGGAGACTCCTCCAATTGTTGCAGCAGCATGGTACTGGCATGACTGGATCGAGACGGACTATGACCAGCTGGCAGGATCTTTGATAGAAGCCCCCGTCATCGAATGCCTTGATTCAGTGTATTGAGAGAGGCTGCTTCTGGGAAGTTGGGTGACAAGTCCTGGTTATTAAGTAGAAACTTTGTACTATACCTATTTGATATAATCTCATCCTGCATCAGAGTACAGTATTAAGACAGACTCTAAAGCAGATTTTAAGGATAATGCATATCCATGGATGGATAATGACAGGTTGCAGGGTGATTCTGAGATTAGTGAAGTAACTCTGTCTTAGTATTCATTCACTTTATTCTCACCTTTGCCAATATTAGTCTGAAGCACCTTCCATGGGGCAATCAGTTAAAGTAGTGAATGAATAAATAGCTATCTCGCTTAAAGTCACCTCACTTTGCCTCACCCTCTCGCCTAAACATTATCATCATCACAAAAGATCTCACTCCACAATCTTACACTCACATCTCTAAGTATCCTTCAGGATTTTACTATGATAGCTAACCTGCCTTCGGATATCAGAAACGTAAGAATCCTACTGAGCAGCATCTTGACCAGCAGAGTGGGCGGCGAAGGGGCACGCGCACCGGCCCAGTGGTCTCTCGAAGCCATGTCACTCCTCAACCTCCCCCTTGACGTGCTGTACGAGATAGCTTCTCACGTTGATTGTCACCGCGATCTGAATGCTCTTGCTCAGACCTGCTCCCCTCTCTACTCGGTCTTCAACTTCGAACTTTACCGACGCGACGCTAAACGAGGACGGAATCGAGCATTGTTCTGGGCCGTCCAGGGTAATCACAACGGCACACTATGGAAATCTCTCGACGCTGGCGCATCAGCACCATGGGCAACGCTGCTTAGCCTCGCCGCTAAGCACGACTCAGTGCTTGCGATGAAGGTGCTTCTTTTACAGGACGGTGTCGATATCAAGGCCGTGGAACAAACCGGAGGAAGTCCGCTTTTGGTGAACGCTGTGATCAATCGCTCACCCAAAGTTGTGCGCTTCCTTTTGACCAGAGATGGGGTTGATGCGAACGTCAAGAACGATGATGGACAAACACCTCTTGCATATGCTGCCTACGAGTGCTTCAACGATATTGTTAAGATTCTGCTGAAGTGTCCCCTGGTGGATGTCAATTGCGCTGATAACAGGGGCTGCACGCCACTCCGTCTAGCAGCGCAAAGGAGCCATGTGTTCGTTGTCAGAACACTGCTCTCGAATCCATCAGTCGATGTTAGTGTGAGGGATAATATTCATCACAGGACGGCTCTCTCAGCTGCAGTGGCTGCTCTTGACAACCGAATCGCCTGGGGGCCCGAGAAGGTCAAATTGAAGCATCGACGGACAATACAAGCACTCCTCGAGCACCCCGCGGCATCTGTCAACTACGATACGGACCCAGATCTCCTGCAGCTGTATCGGGTCAGCGCTCAGTACGGATACGAAGAGATCTTCAGTCTACTATGGTCAAAAGGGGCGGGACAGCTCCCGGGAGAACTTGATCGCTCCGGGATATTATTCTTCGTTGCAGAACACGGCCAAGCCGGGATCATGAAGATGTTGTTTACGAAGGGTTTCGAGCCGGAAGCACAGACTGATACGGGCCGCACGACGCTCTCGATTGCCGCGGAACACAAGCAGATTGAGGTCATCCGTCTGCTTCTCTCGACAGGCAAGGTCGATGCGAATTCCAAGGATCAGGCTGGTAGAACGCCGTTGTGGTGGGCTATGACACATGGATGGAGGAAGACCGGGACGGATGAGACTGTGAAGCTGCTAATCGCCCACGATGCCACGATTCCGACCATCCAAAGGAGAAAGTGGCGGCAAAAGTCACTGCTCAACGCTCTTGAGTACGGCAATTGTTTTCTATCGGAAATTCTGCTCGACCAAAGCCAGCCCATCAGCAGCCAGAAAAGACAAACGCTGCTTTCCGCCGTCGCCAAATCTGCAGACATTTCACTGGCGAAGACTGTACTCGATAAAGCACAAATTGATCCTAACGAGAGGGATTCCGACGGTCTAACCGTACTGGACCGGGCAGTTCTCAATGGTGACATCGCCCTGGTTGATCTGCTATTAGTCCTCGATGGAATTGATCTGAACTCCAGAAACTCGAACGGCGACACTGCGCTAGCAATTGCGATGAACGAGGTCAGCGACTGTCTAACAACCTCCCTTGGGTTAAAGGACAGGCGACCCTTTGAAACCTGCCTGGAGCGATTTCTCCGCCACAAAGATGTTACCACAGAATCTCTGGACGAATATTGGCTAATCGGATTTATTGTTGCTTACCTCGACGCTCTTAGAGATCAACAACTAATAAAACTTCTCATCCTCAAGGATGACCGTCTCAGCTCTAATACCATAGTTCACGAAGGTCATGCAGAAACACTACTCGACTGGGCTCAACAGAACTACCACAGGACCGTTGTTCGAGCGCTGCGGGAAAAGGAAAAGCGAATGTGGATGACGATCTGAAGTTGTTGGTTAGGGGTGCATGCTTAGCACCTGCCTCAAGGATTCTATATTGCCTTGTACCCTTGTTGCCGCGACGGTGTTATCAGGGTGTTTTAGGGTTCGTTTCGGAGGATGTCCATTTTGTTCCTGGACATCAACTGATGGACTTGAAACATGGGAGCTCTGCTTAGGCTGGTGACGATTTGCAAAGAAAGTGATCTCTGGGTTAACGCGCCTACGTGTAAATCATCTCTTTAGTACCAGAATGAATCAAGATCGAAGCTCATCTACTAAATCCTCAGACTCCTAGTATGGATTGAATCTGTGGTTTACTCATAGACTACTACAGTAAAATGCATAGCTAGGTCAAACATCACATTTGCGAAATCACAAAATCGGCACATTCTTCGCACCACAGGTAGACGATGTGCTAACCGTCACATCCCTCCACGCCTCCATCTCCTCCCGAGTCTTCCTCATCTCCGCCTCCAACAACGGGAGCGTCTCCGGCCCCAGAAGCAACCTCCCGGGCAATTGTCTCTCATCCTGCCCAACCAGCACATCAAAGAGCGCCTTCGCGCAGTCATCCGCCCCCGAGAAAGACGCCTGAGCCGCCGGATCCATCATATACTTTAACAACTGATTCAGCGGACCCTCAGGCGTATCATACGCGGGATGCCTGGGCAGAAACTTCCCATTACTCCCAAAGTTCGATTTGATGCCTCCCGGCGCGACAACCAGGAACCGAATCCGCCAGTCGGGATGCATCTCCTTGGCGAAAGACTCCGTGAAGCCACCCAACGCGAATTTCCCAGCCTGGTAAAACGCACTCCCCGGGAAGGCCATGTATCCACCAATCGAGGAGATCTGCACGACGGTCCCGCCGACTCCCGGTGGGTTAACCTCGCGGAAGATGCGCACGGCCTCCTGGGAGATGAGAGCTGGGCCCCAGAAGAGGGTATCGAGTTGGAGGCGGGCGTCGGACTCGGGGATAGCTTCTGTATCGCCCATGAGGACGTAGCCGGCGTTGTTGACGACTATGTCGAGGCGGCCGAATTTGGCAACTGTGGCGGAAAGGGTTTCGTGGATGGCTGGTTTTGAGGTGACATCCAGGCCGAGCTTGAGTACATTGGGGCCATCGGGGAGGTAGGAGAGCGAGTCCACGTTGCGGGCTGTAGCCACGAGCCGGTGGCCGGCGCTGTGAACGAGGCTCGCAAGAGATTTTCCCAGACCGGAGGAGCAGCCGGTGACTGTGATGTTAGTTTATGGCTGATGTATAGGGAGGAGTATTACGTACTGAACCAAACGGTTGACGAGTCAAGCATATTGATGATTTACTGTGTCTTGTGGTAGTTGCGAACGCTACTTAGACCTGTTAAGTGGATGGTTGTTGTGTATATATATACCCGCGTCCGCACAGTAAGACCATAAAGGCAACGCGGCTTGCTGATATAGACGGACATGCCGACAAATGGCACGCCTTGCAGCTGCCAGCATCTGATAGCGTGGCTAAGATAGGATTATTCCATCCATAGAGAAGACTATCAGACCGCATCATCCACAACAGGACCCCGCTTCAGGCGTGCCATTATCTCCACTATTTGCCCAATAGCAACCGCCATGAATGGCTGATGTTGGATCATCACCCCCAAGCCAATGGATACGTACAAGACTTTGAATAAAGCGCTAAAAGTGATTCTTGTCGATGTTATTGGTTTGCTAATTTTGTAAGAAGCTTAACCTATGCGGGCAAAGGACCAGGACTTGATTGGACTGTTCGTCTGCTTGACTCATTCTGGCTCATCTTGACACGTTTCTAGTGGCCGAGTCGGAAGACGCATGATTATTAGCGTATGGTTCATATATCCAGGAAATAACAGAACACATAGAGATCAGCAACAATCAATCAAGCAAAAATGGAACTGTACAAAACTCGTCTTTTCCATCATTCCCTCCCCTCTTCACCAGTCACCACTCCTTTATCCATCCTCGATGCCACCGTTGCCCGATTTGCCCCAGCAGGCGCAATTTGGCTATTCGATCATTTTCCAGATAATATCCCGGAAAGAGAATTCGTCGATCGTCTCCGATCCTCGTTTGTGCAAGCCCTATCCGATTACCCCAATGGGCCGGCCAGCTGCAATGGGCCCCAGATCAAGGAGGCGGGCATCACACCGAGCGCTTCAACCGGCCCATGGTCGTCTATGGGACGCCTAATGATCCCGGAGTTGAGTGGCGTGTCGTCAAGCGAGACGACATATCGATCGGATCGCTAGTACCTTCAGCCATGGAACGATCAACCGCGGGAACCTGGAACGGGAATCATTTCCCCCAGAGAGATTTCCTGTGTGAGACCCCATTGGCATTGCATGATCTGCGTGAGTACCAGGGATTACCCGGTATGCAAGTGCAAATCACGCTATTCAAGGACGGCGCATACGCAGTTGCAGTTCGAATGGCGCATGCCCTTGCCGATGCTCAGACTCTGATGGTATTTATGCATCAATGGGCGGCTGCCAGTAGAGCGGCGTTTGGTTCAGAATACACAGAGTCATTGATGGGCGCTCCAGTCTTTAATCCAGCACTTTTAGACGCACATGCTGCCGGGGATATTGATGGCGCAGCGCCGGATCCGGGACTGATTGCGACAGCGCGTGAGCTGCCACTGCACCGGTTCGACTGGTGGAAGACGGACGATCCGGGATATCCGAAGGTAATGGTGCCCAATACGCTGAACTCGATGCCTTCTCGTGAGCTACTGGACGGAACCGAACTGACTCCATCGGCATCTGCACCATGGACATCGTGGGACCTGTCCAGGCCGATTCGCTACACCCAGGTCCATTTCTCAGGTGATCAATTGGCAAATTTCAAACGCAAAGCGCTGGCGGATGGCCGAGGGGATATCTCTCGACTCGACGCATTACTCGCTCACCTCTGGATCTCCATCAACCGTGCCAGGAATCTCGCCAATTGCCCCGACTCCGTCTTCCTAGATCTCTCTATCGGCACTCGAACCCGCGTGTCTCCTCCTCTACCCGAGACATTCCTCGGATCACCCCTCTTCCTGACTCACGTAGGCGCGCCAGCAAAGTCCCTTTGCACTGCATCCATCGGAACCATTGCTAGCAAAATCCGAGAAACGGTGGCCCTATTTACAGCAGAGAAGATCGGTGCGGTGCTCCACGATGCCGCGTACGAGGCTTCCCCACAGCGGCTGTGGCAGGCATTCTTGGGGACCCGACATGTCCTGGTAACCTCCTGGTTGCGACTGAAAGTGTACGGAGTGGAGTTTGTGGGCGATGGGAACCGTCCGCGGTATGTGCATGCCGTATTGCCCAAGCTGGATGGAGAGGTGCAGGTTATGGAATCGGGGGTCGATGATAACGGGGTGGATGTGGCATTGTATCTGGAGGAAGAGGCCATGGAGAGGTTCCTGGCTGAACAGAGGCAGTTGACGGCATAGTATTTGGCTTAAAAATGCCAACATCTATCGAGAATTCCAGAGTCTATACTATACGGTAGAGCTGTAGTTATTAGTCCACGATATGGTCACGCTCGTCATGCGACCAATGTCGGTAGGTTTCTGGGGAGTCCAATCATGTCGGTCCATGCGCCACAGTAGACCCGGGAGTCCCCAATCAAGGCGCTGTGCATGTACATGCCAGACTTTACAATCCTATCAGTTGGTTAGCGATGGAAATAAACAAAAAGGGAGCTCCGGATAAATCCAACCCACTCAGAGACAGCAGCAGAAGGAGCATTTGAGGCGCCCTGATCGTACTTGCGAAGCCAGGCCTTGACGGCCGCAGGCCTGGCAGTCAGGAAGATCTTGTCATCGTAGTAGATCTGATCCTCCAAATCTTGGTCGACAAGTGCGAGTCGCAATATAATCCACAGAGTATTCTAGCTTGTGCTCGGCCAACCACAAAACCCCAACTCCACGTGAGCTGAGGGCATACCTTCAATGTATTTGCGGAGACATCCGCCCATAGAGATGGGGAGTTGCAACCTACTCCTAAGGTTTTATAATTAGAAAGTATTGGCGGATCCTTCGTGGCGCAAGTTGATGTCTCAGAGTGAAGAGGTTTGCGTCCTCTGTTGCAGGGTCCTCGTAAAACTTTCCACCAACTTCTTTGGGAGATAGTCTGCAATCTGCAAAGGTCCATTTTCGGCATCTGAGGGCGAACACCGACCACCAACCAAAAGGCCGCTTCAAGCGCCTCGATCGACAATTCGTCCGGACGTCGCCGGGTCATCACCTGTCAGTCTATTTCAGCCGGCTGATTTGATAGAGCTGCAGAGGGAAATGACAGAGTCTGGACCACCCACACAGTGTGGGCTCATGCAGCCACAAACTGCACGGATCATTCTGACAGGCATGGCGGTGCTTTTACGAGATCAATAGCGACAGGCTTATATAGTACCTTCTTTATTGGCGCCTCTGCCTTTTGGTTCAGTTTACTGAGGGCGTGGATGTCCAGCCGTAGAGTGACAAACGTCCTCCTCAGATGCATATGGTAGACATAGGAGCCACTGCCTTGAATTCCTTTGTCATTCAGCCAACCTGTATCCGGGCAACCAAGGGCAGGGGACAAAAGTGCCAGCGTCACAGTATTGTCGAGAGCCAGCCGTGAAAATGTGAAGCGCATGAGTCAAAGAAGGCCTTGAGAGTTTGAAGGATCATGATGTTTGGACTGCATTTTCTGTTGTATTTGCTCTCGAGCACCCATTAACCACTCCGTCACTCATGCAACCCCCGGCGCCGGCTCGCATATACTCTGCCACGACTCGTCATCCTCATGATGCTCTTTCTCGAACTTTTGCTTCATCCACCAATCTCTCCTTTCCACACAATCCCAGTTCGGGTTATGAGCATTCTCCTTCGCCTCCTTCAGCCATCCTTTCCAGTTCTTTGTCGCGGGTGCCGCTCCTGTCTTTTTGGCCCAACGAATCTCCCCAGTGGTCCGAATAACATCCCACAACACCTGAGTGAAGTTTTCATTGTCCTTCCTCTCAAGAAGTTCCACTTCGTAACGGTGCTCCATGTTCCACACCCCACGCGGGTCGGTCAACAGTGCCATGGCCCAATAAGCAAGGTTGAGAATGATATAGGCAAGACCCACAGCAATCTGAATTTTCCAACCGCAGTTACTCAAGAAGATGATGGCAGCCATGAGAAGGACGGTGCTCGTGGCGAGAAGGGCCTGGTGGTACCGTCCGTTGTACACATACTCGCAGGTTTCCGTGCCGGCGTAAAGTTCTCGTGCAACCTCCTCACTGCATCTAACGGAGACGAAGGCACCTGAGCGAGTACGGATGACGACGTCCCCTTCAACTACCTGGCCGGCCGCAGTGCGAGTCGTGAGCCGAGGGCGCCACTGTGCAGACATACAGGCCATGCTGGTGGATAATGCCATGCTTCCCAGACCAAGCAACGCCACTGCATCGTGCTGGACACCAGCCCAGATAGACAGTGCGATTGTAATGCAGATAGAGGCAAGAGTGATGAAATTAAGCACACAGTCCGGGTAGAGGGGGATGATGGCTTTCAAAGGCGGCTTAGGAGGATCCTTGTACTCGCCGACCGCCTTGCGTTCAACGTCATTTTTGGTTTCCTTGACAGCTTTGTCGTGCGCTTTCCTAGCCTTTTCCTTAGCCTTTTCCCACTCTTTCGCTTGTTCCTCCTCCTGTTCCTTTACCTCCTTCTCCGGCAGAGGCCTGTGGGAGATGTGGAAGGACTGGAAATGAAACGCAGGCAATGATTCGATATTATGAATCACATTGGCGAAGTAGTTGAGTTCATTGAATTGATTGCCAGATTTAACGCCAACCACGGTCACATCCTTGACGGCGGGCAGTCGCGATGGACGGTCAGTATTCAGCATAGTCTCAGGAGCTGGCATGAGACGAGGGAGACTACCAAAGTGCGATGCAGTGATGGCCTGCGCGTGCTTCTCAATGGCGGAACCTCCAACAACCGCCAGTAAACCGACGATGTCGAACCTCCAGGAAACCTCCCCATCTTCGACGTCTAGTGGAAACCAGACCATCTTGCTGTCGTTGTGAATAGCACAGCGGATTCTGCAGAATGGGATGAACAGGGGAGAAGAAACCAAAAAAAATTAATGGAGTATCATCGTAGAGCGAGGCTAGGTCCCTCCGGGATTCTGCAAGCTGGGACCCAGAACCCTATGGTCGTGGGGAGGAGGCTTGGTGCACACGTCGGAGTCGACGGAAAAAGGCAATAAAGGAAACAAGCATCAGAGACAATGAGCAACCAGCCTCAGCCAGCCACCGTGCTGACTTTGACAACGGAAAGATCAGCCAGCCGGTGAAGCCAAGTGGGAATTTTGGTAAGGGAATCCCCATCCATCGGGGACTTCTAGGGAAGAAGATTCGCCCTTTGGAGTAAAGGACGGGGGAGGATCTTCAGCTGAGCCTTCAGGTGTGGACAGCAGAGTACATACAGCCGCACACAAGAAGTACCGAGGGTTTTCTTTCGGCATGATGGGGACGATGTACTGTTCCTGCACTCAGCTACGTACTATGTGCTGGAGACCAATGGGGAGATGCCAATGGCGCCTCAAAGTTAAGATGTCGATAGGAGCAAACAAACCGGACCAAATGGTTGACGGCCACATCATCATCAACAGTCTTCACCTTGTCGCCATTCATTCGTTGTTGACGGATACACCCAATCAGGTAGCCGAAGAACAAAATCTCACTAACGGGCCGACGCGGAGCCAGCTAATCTCTGTTTAGTCTAGATTATAGGGATAGGGATAGGGTCGATATTCGGTGGCGTGGAGCTGAACTGAATGGTTTGCGTCTGGGGGCTAGATCCACAGCTGAGCCAGCCACCAAACATCAAGTGGCACAAGGAGTGCGGAGTCATCCGTTCAGAGGAGAAACCCCCGCTCTTCGGGGAAGCCATCCCTGTAAGCTAGGTATCATATACCGCCCAGACAAATGAAAAGAAACTCTCACAGCTGCCGAGATCGGTTTTTGTTTTAGTTCGTGAGCATGTTCTCCACTAGATCGGCCGTCTCTCGAACACGCTACTTTGGTACCCAAAAGAATGCATTTTCTGATTCGCACGGGGCTAGTGCGACGATCTCAATTCTCCGCGACGTTGAACTATGTAATTTTGTTTGACCTATTCTAAAGCAGCTGTACATCCAGACTAACTTAGATCTTCTCATTCGACAATGCCTGCCGACCGGCACCATTGCCTGATGTCAATCCCTCAAGGTATTTTCTGGTCGTGTCGTCAAGCCGGGTGCCTGCGAGGAGAACACCCATGAGATGGCCCGCCAGCTGTCCCTGTGTGATGATTCCGCAGCGAACCACATCGCCCATCAAATCATAAGTACTGTGTGGCTTCAGGCCCCGCATGATACGTTCTGCCGTCCTGATCAGCTTCATTGTCTCAAAATGGCATGATCGCTTGGATGGGGTGCCAAAAACTCACTGGTCAACCCCCAACTGGCAGGCTTTGTGATCTCCACCTTGTAGCTACGGATCCATGACTTGGGATACGAAGCACGCAGTCCGACCGGGTGACCCAAGCTCTCTACCGTGAAGGTGCTTGTTTTGCGGAACTTGGGCGCCCCCATCACTTCGGCTCGGTCGCCGCTGTCCTTGGCCTGCCCGGCTTGACCGTCTTGCCCCTCAGTTGCCTCAGAACACTCTTCCTGGCCCTGTTCCGCGTCAGCTTCCTGGTTCTCCTGGTCCCCGGCTTCTTCAAGGTCTCCAATGTCTGCTGTGTATTAGCATCCATCAATCTACATGTTGTGCCAGAACTCACTCTCTTCGGGCTCCTGGTGGTCCGCGGCATTGGTATTGCCCTCGGGTGTTTCCGGGATCGGATGGGACGTGATTCCGGTCAATTCCTCGAGGGCCAATTTGTCCTCTGACAGCAATTTAGCTAGTGGCGTCAAAAAGTCAAATACCCAAAAGATAACCCTACTATAAACGATGATTCCATGCTCGAAACGGGCGTTGGCAGAGTATGAGATGAGGAAAAACACATCCACGAAACCGATCAGTCGGATTTTACCCGCCCATTGTTCGCCATTAATAGAGACCTCCCATGGGTGAATATCGCTGAAACGTTAGCTTTGAGAGCTCTGAGGGTAGTGGAAGCAAAATTTACACACCAGTCGCATTCCAAAGTGCTGTCATGGATGGATCTGCCAAGAGTCTCTAGGACTCGATGGTAGGAAGCCATTGTGAAATTGACTGTAGTATAAAATACCTGAGATAGAAATCCTTCTTCATATATGGAAGTTTGTCAAGAACAAAGTGTATCAAATAATAATCATGAAATTGCCTGGGAGAGCTGAGCCTTGCCGAGACCGACCCTCAGCTGCAGATTGGGGCGAAGTATAATATCCACTCGTTTGGAATTTCCGCACAAGTTACGGAGTACCGAACGTGCACCTGTGTCTGTGCGCTGACATGCAGGTTGCTTTGATTCCTTTTGCGCCCCCCGTCTCATGGGTCTCGACGGCTGGAGACTAAGGGAGGTGGGAGGTGACAGGCCGCGCCATGACCGAAGGAAGGTTCAGCTGGAGATTGGGAGAATCTCTCTGTCTACAGTTTATTATCTGATCGATCGGCTCGTTTTCATATACATCTTTCCCAAGCTGATAGCAAATCTCCTCCGAAATCTGCGTCTATCATTCAAGTCGTCAGGTGTCTAGAATCCAGAGTGGCAAATGAATTCACTTGGCACTGTCCGAGCAGCCCTTGCGGACTCGCTCGTAACCAATTCGGCTCTCAAGGAAGCATTCGACCTTGCCAGCTTTGTCACCGATCGTTCTAAGCAGTTCAAAGATGTTGCACTTGATCAAAAGCAGAAACACAAACTACGTCGAATTCTCAACCACTTCCTGACCCCAAGCGTCAAGCCGAGGTTTGTAGACGATGAAGACACTGTAGACTACGGCAGTAGTCTGCCAGATGACTGGCTGGCCAAGACCGATGAAGATCTGAAGACCCCTGCTCGCATGATTGATATCGACACCATGAACATGGTCCCCACGTACAATCTAGGCATACAAGACCAGTACTGCATGGTTTCTCATAGCTGGAAAGGCTCTGAAATTACCTACCGCGACTTTACTCAAGCCAAATCCTTCGAGCCCACAAAAAAAGCTGCGAACACAGAGTCCGATGAGACTCCCAACAATGACGTGAGCAACGTCGTCAACAAATGCAAAGCGGATATTGTGGAGCTGCAGAACAAGATTGAATCCGCGCTTCCACAGGTCAAGGCGACCCGTGATGGAAAACGCCCGGATGATATCACAACGCTCCTGGAGTGGTACGCTGATGCCAACGGGGCTGAATATAATCTTGGCAGCACACAGCGGAAGCTCCATGAGGCTACTGCAGCAGCCTCGAGCGCCGCCAGAGAAGCGGACTACTACAGAAGACTCTGGGAAACGATCACGACTCTCAATGACGATGGGTCCAAGAAAGGTGACAATAAAGACGACTTGGCTGTCTCCACGCAGAACACCGAAATGCAGCAAGTATACCACGCAATCACAAGTCTCACGGAAGATGCCGAGAAAACCTGCAAAGAGGCGGGAGAGAAGCACCAAGAGGCCGTGACCTCCAGAGCCGCTGCAAACGACAAGATCGTCTTCTTCGAGCAGAATCGCGAACTGGCCTATGGTATCGACGCACTGCTCACAGCATTGCAACACCTGCGGTCTTCTCGCAAGATCCTGGGGTCTATCGCCCAGGCTAAAAAGTTGTTCGATGCGCACTTCCCTTGCGGAGGGAAACGGTACGTGTGGCTTGACACGTGTTGTATCAACAAGGGCGACACCTATGAATTGACTGAGTCCCTGGCCTTGATGGGAGACTGGTATACCAATGCTGATCTCTGTCTGGTCCATTTGGATACGCCACGTGACGAGAGAGCCTGGATTGAAGAATGGAAGTACTGGAAGGATCCTTCTTATGACCCGGTGCCAGTTAACATGACCAGCTTTGATAAAATTGGCGCTGAAGGCAGCGAAGAAGAAAAGAAACGGGGTCAAGTTGAATGGGCAACTCGTGGATGGACCTTACAAGAGCTGGTCTTGAGTAAGGTGACCTACTACGTCAATTCGCACTGGCAGAATTTAGTCAGACCTGTTGAAGTCCTTGGCCCCTTGTACTTCCTTCGTCCATTCATTTTGCGCTACCTGCAGCACCCATATGTCAAACGCTACAATACTGTTTCTGTGGAGCAGATTGATAAGCTGAGAGAACTTCTTTCCCCCGAGTTCATCAGGCCGGGTGCGTCTAAGGAAGAGGAGCTCACTACTATGCTTCAAACCCTGGGCTTTGTGGCACCAAGGGGCCTACAGGAGAAATTGGCTGAATCACAACTCGGAAAGGCAGTGCTGACCGCCACCAGACAACTGCCTCAAATCCTGAATGATCTGTTGGCGAACAAGAACATCGCCGACGCTGATTCTCTGTCGAATTTCACAGTCGAAGGTGCTGCGAATGAGAAGATAGCTCTTTTCAACCACTTGTTGGCCGATTTAGTTCGTCTCGCAGACAAGCAAATTCTTGACGACCGAAAGTTCATTGCGAAATTCAGTAAGATCGAGAATATGACAAACTGGATTGCTGGTGATGGTCTCAGCAATTCTTCGGCCAGCACCTCCCTTGTCACGGCAGCAGAACGTGTGACCACCGTTGCAACCGATCGAGCGTACTCGTTGATGGGTATCCTCGGGGTTCGATTCCCCGCTTTCCCTGCAGAGGGTCTTCCTAAAGCGTTGGCCCGTCTGTTAGATGAAGTGGTGATTGCATACAATGATGTCTCGGTTTTCAACTGGTCCGGAAAGCACAGTGGCAGTCCTCTTCATGGGCGCTCTTTGTACCCTGCCAGTATCGATGCCTTCGTCGACCCGACAAATCACCCGATGGTCAAGTCGAGGGCGCAAACCAGCAAGAAGATTTTGGACCTGTTCCGCGCTCAGCGAGTGCGCCAAAGTAAAACCGCGGGCGACGTGAATATGCTTCTGGCTGAAATTCTTGCTCTCAGCAAGAAGCTGCCAGAGCAATGCTCCGTTTTTGAAAATCTAGGCAACTTGGCTACTAGGATCAAGATTGCCGAGTTCGAAGACCTAAAGAAGCGCATTGGTGACTTGAAGGGTATCGTGGTGCGGCTTCGAGAGTTTGTACCTGATGAGGCGGATGAAGCAAGCAAGAGTCAGCCCCTTGCTGGTAAACCGAGCAACACCATGGAGCGAGTGACTTCATTCTCCAAGGGTCTGAAGTTTGAAGTTCCGAAATTTGAAGCTCCTAAACTCGGGTCCTTCGGACGCGTGAAGAAGAGCAGTGCGCAGCCGGCTGAAAAAGCCCAGCCGAGCGAGCCTGCCACTCCTACCACGCCTGCCACGCCCGCAGTGACGCAGATATCACCCGCCCAACAGAAGATTGAGGATCTGAATGAAGCTATTCAAAAGGTCATCGATGCTATCGGAAATTCCGATAAGCCTGAAGCAGAGCCTGCCAAGGATGTTCCACTTCACACAATGGTCGCCAAGGAGAAGGACGCCCTGGGGGTTGATGAACACCCCGTTTCATTCGAAATCCGAGAGGATAAGAGAATGACCTGCCCAAACCCGATCACTGTGAGCAGTGGTGGTATTCGAGGTATCTTTGACATTCAACGAATCATCGTTACCATGGTTGAGCCTCAAGTCCTACGCTCGAAAGTCCGAACCGCAGTCAGAGGCCAAAAGATTGACGGATGGTGCACCATCAGTACTGGTCTGTCCATGACCCTGGTCGCCTTCTGTGCTGAGCGAGACGTCCTGGCACAGCAGCTCGATCTGGCTGATGTTATCAAGAGTTACCTTGACCCCGAAGACTCCGCTCCCAAGGATGCTTCGGCATTGCCACTCAAGGAGAGCAAAATGGAGGACAGCAAAAAGGGCCTGCTGACAGACATTAAGAATGAAAAGACGCCCGAACAGGCCAAGGTTGCCCGCATGATCAACTTCGTGCAAAAACAAGACCTCCACGGCATCGCTGGAGAATGGGTTCTGGCACGTTTCTCAGGTACTCCTGGCGCCAAGTGGTTCCTCTGTCTTCTGGAACTGGGTGCTGGAAACGACTTCTACGGACACAGAATCCCCACAGATGCTTTCAGCTTTGAGGACGCCGCTCCCGAACAGGGCATCATTCAGTACTGGCACAATTTTACCATGGAGAAGAAAGCACGGACTTGTGATACTCTTGACATGTATCTTAACCGCCAGAAGCTGTGGAGTAAGGCTGGTAGAAACCTTGACTTACTGTCCACGGTGGAGAACCCCACTGAGAATTCTGGCGAGAACAGCTGGGAGACGGCATGGGAAATCATCCAAAATGTCTCTCTGGACAAGGTTGTCAATTTGGGCATGATGGCGGGTCAAGCTATTGGAGGCCTGGGCGCTGAGCTCTGGGCTAATCATCTGGAGGATCGTATTGAGAAAGGCGCTCTGAAACGTATTCCGGTGTCGCTGCGCACTCCAGTACGAGACCTCGATCACAACCGGAAGCTGCTCCCAGTCATGTTCCACGCTGGTCGCGAGATGCACATGTTTTAATGGCTGAAGTTGGAGTCCCCGTTGTGCCTGTGAAAGCCAGACAAATGACGAGCACCAAATTTACGTACAGAAAGAAGCTGCTAATGCGGTCTAGCCCTTTCAACTCTCAGTTTTCATCCCAGTCTGTTCAACCCTGCTTTATTGGCAAGACTCCACAACCAGAACAAGGCAGGTATTGGTGTCTTACTGGAAGGTGCAGAAGTCCTAAATAGCCAAATGGAAAGTTCCAGCCACGCTTATAGACAGTATCAATTTCCTTCAAGTGGATTCACTTCTCATTAGCACATACATATTTACACCCCAGTACCACTGCAACCGGGCAATACAAGGAACCTCATCATTAGATTGGTAACTCCGAGCTGAGCCCGACCCTCAATGATCAGAGATGTACTCTAGATCCACTCTTGCCTTTGGCACCTGAAAAGATTACAGTATACTAACTCCCAGTATTTTAACTCGTTCAGGACTGTTACAATAGGTAAATGCATAGTCATCAGACACAGGCCATGGCTAGAAGAGTTGTATTCTATAGGTTGCTAGGAGATATCATCCTGGACTATTAAAAAATGGGATCCCATAAGGCGCACGCATATTGAACAATAGCCATAGCCCGCACCGAAACCATAGTCCCCCTTGGTCAGTCAGCGACGTGCATAGCCATGGAAGGCTCATATCGACAGTTAGACTACATACGTAGCCCACGGGTATCTAAACGAATGAGGTGAGATCATTATATTCCAAGATGGACCTCACTACTTATTGTACCATCTAATATATCGTCCACTGGATTGAGTATGCTTATATGCTCGCAGACACTAGTATACACAGAGATAGATGGTACTATAACGAAGTAACAGGTGGTAATGAGAACAGTAGACTTTTCGTTAGTCGTCATCATCATCTTTATAGACACCCCAAGCGCCCTGCCCAGAGATTTGGAAATCCTCTGACAGTGGCGGTTCAATCTGACCGGTAATGGACTGAGTGCCCGAAGGACCCATCAGAGACAAAGAAATGTCGGATCCTCCAATCCGTGAGCTAGGCTGAAGGAGTTCGCGGCCGCGCAATTTTCTGGGCGACTCGTAGGTCAACCTGGCGTTGGAGACGTTGAAGTGTGGCAGAGGTTCACCAGTAATGTATACATCGAGGTTGTGCATGATGCCGTCGACGAAAAATTGACCATGGATGTTGTGGCCAGAACCTCTCACTTGTCCTTGTGATTCTGGCATCTGTTTCATAAGAGTATCCCATGTTAGGATAAGTAGGCACTTAAGACTTATCTTGAGAAGGTGTGGGACTTACAATGTCTTGTTATGGGGTATGTAAACTATTAATTGTAAATGATCTGGTCCTGTGATTATTCTTTTGCTTGACGACCAGCTGAACGAGGTTAATTCTTTATATGATAAAAGTGTGGGTGATGTAGATGGAGCCTAATATGACCCTATGTCATTGACATTGGACGGTCCGACACGCTTGCAACTTACTTGAGGCGGGTGACCTCACCATTCGCTGCAAAGGGTAATAGCCGTCACCCCAGACATAGGTCCTATTAAGAATAATGTAAAATTCATAATCATGCCATAATAGTCTAAAATAGTACATGCATACGCTAGTGTCGTCTACACGTATAAGTGATAACCGACGCCATAGATGTCGAGATCCGCCACTCTGTATTTCTACATTGGCACTGAGGCTAACTAAAGGATCGTATCTACTTGCCTTCCAAAGTGTACTAATGAGTATTGCCTCAGTATTCTATTATCAGGATAGGTATTCATGTATGTGCAGCTGATGTTACACGAGCGAGTATTTGCCATCGGATATTGTACAGACCGGCCGCACTCCGAGCCAGACAATCAGTATTACAAAAGTTAAATGCATGACTACTACCTGAGCCAAAACGCCTTCAAATATGTGCTTAAGGCGAGTGGGTGGTCATTGTGCCATGTTATTCCCGAATATTAGGTGCTGAGCATGGTGGATGGGAGCACCGAGGCGGGCACAGGGCGCAAACTCAGTATCAAGGTGGGAGTGGTTTAGCACGAAAGAGATCGACTCTATCCCACCAGTTCTGACTCAATTCAGAGTCGGAAAGGGCCAGCAGAGTGCAGGAACGAAAGGATCGTTTTAAGGAGGGTCATGGTAACTTTGCAAACGAGGCATTGGATGAAGGGGTACCTATATTTGGTGTATACTTACACTTTCTTAACACTGTAGGGTCAAATAGATAGCAGAACCATCAGAATTGCCGTACATAGGTACATCTAGTCTGTATCTATCTTCATTTGCATCAACAGATAGATTCTCCGCCTCCTGCGTGGGAGCGGATTCCTGTCATTCCGTGAGGAGGGCCACTCTGGTTAGGAATAACTTACTATGACTGTATGACAATGCCGTACTTCTCGTAGTCAAAGTGATCCAGACTCGGTATGCTTTCAGCCCAGCCGTCATCAATGTCGCCTAGCTGCCACTCGTCTCCGATTTCACTCATTCCCGTCCTCCCAGCCAGCACATCCTTCTCCCTCGGTTGATACTCGACCGCCAGATCCGGATGCGGTACCCAAACAACCCTCATCCCAGCCCGTCTTCCAGCCTCTACCCCGGCCACACTATCTTCAAAGACCAAGCATTCGCTGGGCAAGATGGGTTTCTCGCCAGAGGCTGCCGCAGAGTTCAACGCCTGCAACGCGACCAGATATATATCCGGCGCAGGCTTCCCCCGACCCTGGCGCACCCGCGGGTCATCACCCAGGACCCGCCTCGCAGACGGGAAAAGGTTAAGAAGCTGCTTCGTTTCCGGTCTGGAAACTTTCAATTCGAAGGTATGGCTCTTGGTGCTAGATGCCAACGCCAGCTCGATCCGCTCACCAGCAGAAGCACTCCGTGCACGGCTGAGGTTCGAGAGGAGCTTCTCTGCGCCAGGCAACGGGGTACAAGTCTGGAACTGCCGGTGCACTTCTTCCCTCAATTCACGGGCGAACTGCTCGCGGGAGATAGGCAGCTTCGCCCAGTTGTGGAACAGGTCGCTGTTTGTCGAGTCGGGAACACCCATGAGCAGGGCGCGAATTGATGGAATGAAGGTGGGTCTTCCATATTTTTCAAGAAGTCGGTTCGTAGACTGAGTGATCATGTCTTCGGAGTTGATGAGGAGCCCGTCCAGGTCGAAAATGCAGGCGCGGATTCCGGGGAAGCTGGTGGCGGTCTTTGTTGTCCTACTCTCATGTCGGCGATCAATATGCCATGCTAAAGCCATACTTCGATAATTCTGTGGCAGGGCACTTACTCTGTCCCAAGGCCAGTCATGGTACTAGGCGAAGGCCGATCTGATCCGAATTGACGGTACTGGGGAGCGAAATGAGGGGATTTGGGTCGTGGAATCCGTGGGTGATCACTCATTATATTTAGCGCCCGTGTCCCCACCACGCCTGATCGGGGATGGTGCGAGATGGCATAAAAATATATAATATCTGTTCATCTTAGGCAGATGTACAGACATTTCACGCATCTTATCTGGCCATGAGACGTGATGCTTGTGCATTATCAAATTGAAAACTTGCGTCGGATGTTGAGGCCAACGCGAGGGCAATGTCAACACGTTGATAGCGCCGGGGTTGCTTTTACAATGAGATTCAAAAACCAACATACGACTGTACAATTATTCCTGGCAGAAGTATTGTTTTACCGCTAACGTTCGAGAACAAATATTGTATTGTTGTAGGGAAGCTTCTTCTCTGTAGATCTACTTCCTCGGATTGCAACTTGGTAGAGCACATCAGTCATGAACTCATGATCTTATTACTGGCATTCTGTTCGATACCAGAAAATCAGACTCATCAACGGGCCCAAAATGCAACAATCTCGTCAAAGTCTCTAGTCGTCAGGCTCTTCACCTCTCGATCCTCTTTCGTAATCTCCTTTCTCAAGCGACAGGCAACTCGAAGAGCGACGGAAGCTTTTTGCATCTTCCCGGTCGCCTCGAATAATTTGCCCTTGAGGAAAGTTGTGCGGGCAATCTCGTTCTTGTGTGCATTTGGATCAACGGACCAGATGTCCAGCGCTGCGTTGATCATAGCACTACGAGAAGTCAGAATTAGGTCAGTTACTTTGGTAAAAATGGTAGCACTTACATCGCCTCTTCGCTCCGGCCCGAGCGGATAAGGTGCTCGGCAATCTTATGGGCGACATTCGCGGTATAGAAATCTCTCTCACCCACTGTAGCAAGCATGTGTTGCCACGCTCTCTGGTGGTATTCAAAGCTCTCATCCCATCGGTCTTGCGCAGCACGGAGGTTGCCAAGCGCGTAAAGAATCAGTCCAGTCCGGACATCCACCCTATCATTTTTGCCCAGGGCCTTTTCTCTGCCAGCCAAACTGTCCAGGAGAAGCGTGTTGCACTCGTCCAACTTGTCCTGGGCCAGGAGAGCCCAGCTCAGATTTGCCTCGCCCGACCGGGGAATGTAGTTGCCGAGAGCCTTTCGAATTCGCAGCGCCTCCTTGAGGTCGGTTTCGCCTTCCTCGTATCTTCTGTCCTGGATGCGTGAGATCCCTCGCTCTGCGTAGGCGAGATATAACCTCTCGTCTGCAGTTCCCAGTTCTTGGCAGATTTTGGAGACTAGATCGAGAGAACGTTCCTTGTGGATGCGGCTTGCGTCAAAATCGCTCGCATCCATGGCGATAGCTCCTAAGTAAAAGTGGATATCTGCAAGCAAGGAATCCCGATCGGGGTGTGTTGAGGAGTCGCAGATAGCGCGAGCGGTTTCGAAGAAGCCGTCAAAGTGCTTCGTCCGTCCACGCTCTTTTTGATACCTGGTAATATTAGACCATATAGTAAGAAAAAGGCCCGACCAACTATACGTACCATGCAGCCTCAGTCAGTAGCTTTGCGAACAGCAACCTGGTAGCCTCGGAGAGACCTGAAATGGACGACCAGAGCTGATGTATCCTCAGAACGTGGGGATAGATCGCCGCACAAGCAGGCCACCTTCCGACATATAACCTGCCTCCGCTTGATTTGGGCTGAGGTAGCTCTGGCTCCTTGGATGGCTTGGGCATAGCCGATGGCCAGTCGGCCCACAGAATTCGGACGACTTTGTCGAACATGAACCGTTTCTTCGCGACATCCATCGTTGCCAAGATTACGTCTTGGACAATACGATGGACCGAGATCTGCTGCTTTTGTTTATCTCTTTGGACTAGCGATGACTGCAATAGATCGGATCGAGCCTCAATGTAGTTACTCTTTTTAAACGGTGCGCCCTCGGAAAGCAGTTCCACCGACGCTTCCATCAACAAGTCTTCCTGGATGACATCCGGATCAAGAAATGAAATCAGTTCCAGCAACTGTGACGCTTGAGGCTTCAGCCTCTCAAATGCCCAAACAGTGGAGAGAGAGTGAGGATACGTGACTAAATTGGTATCGAATTTTGTGTCGTAAAGACTGGCATGTTCTTCGTGATCCGTGTACAGCTCGAAGAACTCTGACAAGGTAAGGTCCTGTCGGCGGATGATACCAGCCATCTGGGAGATAGCCAAAGGGACGCCACCAAGTGCATCGGAGATTTGTCGCGCTGCCGTGTCTTCTGGTTCGTTGGAAATTGTGGTGAGATGATTAAAGAGGGACAGGCTGTCTTGCTGTGAAAGAGGACCGAGATCCAGGCCGGAGGGTCTTCTCGTAAACATGCTTTTAGCCAGTGGGTCGCGGCTGGTGATAAGAATTGATCCGCTACCCTGGGGCCAGTAGTCCGCCAGGATCATTGGGTCATCTGCGTTGTCGAATATAAGCAGCCAGGTCGCCTCTGACCCAGCTTGGCCAGGCTGAACAAGCTCATCCGACCCCGACAGATGCTTTCGGGGATTAGAGAGCCATCCTTCACAATTTCCCTGCTGACAACCTGACTCTTGCAGTCGGATGGATCTTCGAGTCCTAATGCTAACGAAATCTGCTGGTAATGGTGGTCAAGTTTCGCAATCTCATCCGCCACGACCCAGAATACTGCATCGAAGCAAGTCTTGTGACGTCGGGCGAACTCGCGGGCTATTTCTGTCTTTCCTATCCCACCAAATCCGCAAAGCGCAAATTGTCGTAGAGCGGTGCCCGACGCTGTCACTATGTTCTTCGAAGGCAAGAGCTCGGCCGCAAGACGCTCCAACACATCTTCGCGGCCGCAGAAATCTTCATTTGCTGAATGCGTGTTCAGAAGGAAACAAGGTAGGTGAAGAGTTTTCCGATTCTCAAATTTTGGTGTAGAAGAATATACCATCTCAAACCCCGAAAGAGATGTTCCTTCAGTTGCTCTATTCGATGGCCATTCTGTTGCATTGTTCGAAGGCCATTCGGTCAGCTCCATTTGCTCAACTAATGAATGTCAGTATGGTGACCCTGTGACACTAAATCTCAGGCTCGCCTTTGAGTGGTAGTTCGCTCATAGTCGGCGAGTAAGCGCTCATCGTTGCGTATTGATATTCCTCTGAGACCATTAGCACCGTTCTGCAGTTTCCGATACCTCTGTAACATACGGTCCTCGAGTCGACGTGCAACAAGATCCACAGCGCTTTGCAAAGTCTCGTAAATAAACTTGTTCAGCTCGGGTAAGCCTTCGCCGCCAACACTTTTGGTGAAAAGACATGTATCATGATGATTGAGATTGAGGCCAATGACTGTTTCCATTGGCGCATGAGTCGAACAAGCTTCACGGTTGACCAACTGGAATCCAAGTTAGCATCCAAGCTCAACCAAAGACTCGAGACTGACTTGTTGGTATTTTGGGCGCAATGGCGTTGAACTGTTCTTCGATTCTCTCAGTTCATAGACCGATAGTATGGGAGTACGGAACGCGATTCCTTCGAATCTATCCGCGAGGTCAAGCAGAATAGAGCCTTCTTGCTCAATATTGGCACTTGGAATTTTGAGGTTTCTACCAGTCGTTGTGTCCAAGATATCTCGAAACCTATTCCAGCTCGTGGTCTTGTCGCCATAACGATGTGGAGTGCTTAGGAAGATAACGCCAGCTATGGCGTTGACAATTGATCCATACCGAGGAAACTGTTTGTTAGCGACGCACAAGGCCTGTTTGACTACAATGCCACCTAAGCTGTGGCAGACCATCAGAATGGGCCTGTTAGTGGTCTGCAGATGGTACATCAGCAACCATGCTGACAGCTCGAAGGAACCAAAGTTAGACTGATTCACTTACCGGATCCGAGTCAAATTGTGATCGCGCGTCACTTAAATGCTGGAGGAAGTCGTAGCCTAACATCAACATCGACTCCCATGAAGGCTTGGTACCCGCGAATGGCGAAGCATATTCGTACGCGAGGATGCGGGCCCCAGCCCCGGAGTCGGGTAGGGTCGCGAGCCATTTTTCGTTAGCAAACGGCCAGTTCTCCGGCAAGGTAGTCCCAATGCCAGGAACGAGAATAATGCTAGATTTCGAGTGTAAGTGGAAGTAGCGAACTGAGCTTGGTGGTGGATTTCTCTTAACTCGACGACATCCTGAGAATTATCAACTGGGCCCCGCAATTCCTGAAGGTGGCCGGTAGTTGCAAAGCCCATGTTGTGACCATGGCTCAGCATACTCAAGAGAGAGACGTTTCAGGCCGAGGAGAGCATGAAGCTGGACTTGAATAACTACTAGTAAAGGATGATGAAGTCGTTGAGACGGTCACCCCTAGATGCGGGGTAGTCACATACACTGAAACGTGACCTGCAAGGGTTCGTGCATGTGGCACCATCTTATATTATTGATTATTGATAGTGTCGTTTTTACATTAAATGGGTGTTAATAAGGATGGGTCCATTCCTTTCTATTAATTGACGTCTTCTTATCATATAGAAAGTTGTCTTAATGCTTAAAGGCGCAGCGTACCGACCAGTCCCACCTCACAATTATATTCCTGCCAGAATAGCTATACAGATGTCGCCGTAGTATTTGTATCAACAGTGCCTTTCCAAGCAGGGAAACAACGAGATCATACAGTATAACTCGGATCCTTCTCGCTCCTTTCAGACGTCACCTCTCGCCTAACACCGCGACATCTCTTCCAAAACCTCACCCAGTACTGCATCAGAACATGCGAGTCCCAAAGATAGACGGTGTAGGCAAACAGAGTGATTGGAACACACAAGACAAAAAACCACCAGAATCTCACCGCATTCTGCCCAAGGAGATCAATGTTCATACCTAATAGGCTGGAGCTGAAGCTAAGAGGAATGAAGAGCGTCGCAAGCAGAGTCAACCTCTTGAGTCGCTCAGATTGCTCAATAGCTTTGCGCGATTCCTCAATCGTCGCTTTGTTCATTGCCAGATTTATGCCCCGAGTACACATGTTTGACAGCTCGATGCACCGAACATGGAGTTCTTCGTAATCTTCCAAAAGGCCTTTGGCTGTAAACGTACTGTTGGAACCATTATATGCAACGTTTCTGACCGTCTCGGTTTCGGAGGTCTTCCCTTGCGTGCTTCGTTCCGCTAACTTGCAGAGTGCGCGAGTACTATCTTTCAGTTGTTGGGCATGTCGGTTGAGAATGTTGGAGAAGTATTGAAGAGTTCCCAACGCGTCAGCTGGAACTCCTTGTGCTATGGCGCTTATCTGGATCTGGATTCGGGACTCCATCAGATTCAGAAACTGGACTTCGGAGAACGCCGCATGCGCAAACAAAGGGATGCACATGGAAAGCGGATCTTGAGGCGCGCGGCGGGCCAGGTCGACTAGCGCGATCAATGAATCGTACTGCAAGGGTAGAATAGCTGTGCTTTGCTGAACCTCTGCTGAAGCGTTTACATCTGGATCTAGGCGATTGGCGGTGGTTCGAAATGCCATCTTCGGGTGATGTTGGAGGATGGGTAGTGGTGTAGCCTTGGATTCGATGTGACTTGTCCATGGTCCTGGAGGAGATTTTTCCAAGGGTCTACCTTGGTCCATCCAGGCAATGACTGAATGCAGATATCAGCAAATAGCTTTCTCGTATGTATCATTTGTTCTTACCACCCCAGCCTCTGTCTGTTTTCGTGATACAGAGTGAAATCCATTGTTCGATCACAGAGAAGCACGAGCACACAGTGGAGTACTCGCGCACGAGGGAATCACCGCAGCGGACTCTACTAGACCCAAGCTGTTGAATCTTGTATGTTCCAAGCTCAGTAGCTTGCTCTGACCGCTGCGATTGGAGATCCTGTCCGCCGAAATCGTCGCGATGAAGAAGAGTGCTCACACAAAGTCGAAATATGTTATTGGAGGAACTGGCAAGTGATGGGAGGCTGTATGAATGTCTGTCAATGCTCCCAGAAAGAAAATCCATATGTCGTCTGAAGAATTCCGGATCTATATTGTATTTGCTCCCAAGAACCGACACCCATGAGGGTGATACGAAGCCTCGAATGAAGACTATTTGCCCCGATCCTCCTGATGGAACAGAGCCGGCAGCGCAAAAGAATTCATGTTGCTCCTGACTATATTGTTGCACATCCCACTTCCGCTCCCCGCTATTGTATACTACAACTAAAGCGTGGGGTTGTTCGTCCTTGGAAGCGAAATGGATGGCATGTTCTTCCGGTTTCGCCGGGTTGAAAAGACTGCGATCTTGTAGCATCCATTCTGCAATATCGACATAATTGTTTCCCGGGAAGACTGAAGTGCTCGAATATCTCCTTGAGAGCGAGATGATTGCTCGAGTGTAATTTTCAGGCGTAACTATCAAGATAAGAATCAGTTAGGCCATGGATCGAGGGTAGGTGATAGGATCAGACCTTACGTGCAGACTTTCTGCGCTCCATATCCTATCATGTACGACTAGCTGGCTGGTAGCATACCTAGTAGCGTCAAGATAAATGTTAGCGCGCTGACAGGTTGAGCAGAGGTGTTGAACAAAGGGATTGTTATGACAGAGGCCGGGACCATTGCACATTACAAACAATCGGTGAATCGACCCTTCTTTATTATGGCAGAGAGTGAGGCTGAGTCCTCATGCAAATCAAGGATGATGCCGCGGTGCCGCAATGGCCCTCGTCCTTATTCACCCCTTCTCTCCTCACCATTCTGTCTTATGCGTTAGTTAAGTTAGGGCCGCGCTTAACGTGAGCATGGTATGTGTTGATTTGTCAGGCAATGGAGATTCACGGAGGAGGTTAGTTTTGATTCGGTACGGACCTGCAGCTAAGGGTCGATAGGGAGAACGACGCCTCCCCGACGTATAATATTCCGGGCACCAAATGGCCAAGCACCTCGGCGGTAACAAATCCGCTTTCATTGGGCTATTCTTCTTGTCACCCTGTTAATTTCAGTACCATCGGACATGCATTGTTTTTACAAGGCTCGTGTTGAATTCGACCTGTTGTGGTGCGCTGACATGCCTTTATCCCAGGCACACGGTCAATCCAGTTGTAAGGTTTCGGGCTACAAAATCCCATAGAGAAGGAGCAAATCAATTAGCTAGAATAAGTGGATCTTCTCCCCTTATTGCCCTCCAGCGATTGCTTGTTTCAATCAACTCCTCGCAGCCCTTTAACAGGCATGCCCATTTCTTGAGGAACCCCGGAGTAGCCTCCCAGCTTTCCTTCACGTACGGCTCCCCCCATACAATCAATCCCCTCCGTCCAGCAGTAACCGGGTCGTCATCGTCTTCCCCTTGAAGTAGCATTTGGGCAGAGGTCGGCAAGGGGTCAGATGATTCCGGCGTGATAGATAGACTATTGTTCACCATATCTCCAAAGAGATCCCTCAGAAAGTCCACCACGTCAACAGAGTCCTCGCATTGAATGAGATTGTCCCGGATTTGTGGGAACGGAAACATGTCGATCCAGTTAGAGTGAGGATGGACCATCTGTAACGATGTCGGAAAGAGTGAACCTGGAAGGCCCGTAGAGAGGGGGTGGATGGTCGTTGGACCACCGCAAAGTCGTCTGCTAGGCTGTAGATTGCCAACAGCATCACTTGGGGTGATTATGATTATTCTCGCAAAATGCCTCAGGACGTCCTTGTTGGAAACAAGTGCTCGATATACATTGTAGTGGATAAGACGTAGTAAATGGTCGGCAGGAAGAGGAAAGTGGACGTTGGGTGATCTGTCAGACTCTGCTAGAATAGCTAGCCCAGCCGTTTGCTGAGATGAAGTTCGAATTGCCAACACGTTTGTCGAGGTCCATTCGGTGTTCCTGGGTTGGGAGGGTTTGTCATTTGCAATTCGCCAACGATCCACTCGGTACGGACGGCGTCCAGATCTTGGATCTTGGGCCTTTTTCTCGCTTACTCGTTTTCCTGATGCACTCAGTCAGTAGATAGATCGAAAATGGAACAAAGTAAGCTTCGTAGATGGCGGTGTACTTACTGTGAGCTCTTTGATTTATCCGATTCTGGACTTTCTTCCGCTGCTTCCTGTTTTCGATGCCTGTCCAGTCCTCACAATTCTTTTCAGGATCCATTTTGGGAGGCTGACCGACTTGGAGATGAAATAACAGTCAGCTTCTAGACGACCAAAGGCAAGGATAGATGTATCTAGATGCATGGAAAAAGCTATCGACGAAAAAGGCAAAATCTGTCAGCCAGCCAGCCCCACATACTGAACTTACGGCACCAGCCGGAAAGATGGTGGAGCCATGGATCGTGCCATCACATTGTTGGAATACTCTCAAAGAGGCAAAAAGTAGTCAGCCAGGCCCACATCTCCAATTAAAGCTAGATAAGAAGGTGATTGGAGAATATAGTCCTTCTATTACAATAGACTAAAAGAGGTAAAAGTCGTCAGCCAGTCCCATATTCAACTTTGTTAGCAAGAGGAATAGCCGGCTAAAAAGAAAAGACGTGCTTTTAAGGCTTAACATATCATCACTAAAATAGGTAAAAGATGTCAGCCTGCCCTCTTATAGTTAACTTTGAAATGCAAGTCGAGAGAGGTCATTCTAAGGCTTAGTGCATCACCACTTTATTGGATAGACCGAAAGAGGCAAAACTAGTCAGCCAACTTCAAAGATCTCTGCTCTGGCAGCAGAAGAACCAGAACGCAAGGACATACAAATGATATAAATATGCAGATTCTTCCTTTCTTTTCATCTATCTATCAGCACAAGAATCAATCATTGCTTTCACGCCTTCACTGTTCATTCCACACCAATCCTAGCCATCCACGCTATAAGATGTCTCGATACGCTGCAGCTCACGCTAGCCCGCAAGGACCGGGCGACTCTCGACCAACAGCATTGCAAGTAGTCAAAGATGAAGGAATGGAAGGCAAGCTCGAGGGCAAGGTGATTGTCATCACCGGAACCTCCTCCGGTATTGGTATTGAAACGGCGCGCGCCCTTTCCGCTACTGGAGCAACGCTCTACCTGACAGCTCGAAATGTCCCCAAAGCCAAGGCTGCCTTGGCCGACATTGCTGAAACGGGCCGTACGCAATTCATCGAAATGGACCTAGAATCCTCCGAAAGCGTACGTGCCGCTGCCAAGACGATCCTCGCAAAGACCGACAAGGTCAATATCCTGATCAACAACGCCGGAATCATGGCAGTGCCAACCCTTGAATTCACCAAGGATGGCCACGAGCTGCAGTTTGGCACCAATCACCTCGCTCATTTCCTGTTTTTCCAGCTGTTGAAACCAGCGCTCCTGGCGGCCACGACCCCTGGTTTCCATTCTCGGGTTGTCAATGTGTCCTCTGCCGCCCATCGTCGAAACGGCATCAACGCATCGGACAATTACAACTTCGAGAAAGGAGGCTACGACCCCTGGGTGGCATACGCGCAATCGAAAACCGCCAACATCTACATGGCCAATGAGATCGAGCGCCGCTACGGATCTCTCGGGCTCCATGCAACGAGCGTTCATCCTGGTGGAATTTTAACTGGTCTTTCGAAGCACATTCCCGAAGCGCAGGTTGCGGGAATGCTAGAGGATAAGGCTCTCCTCAAGAGCTTGAAGAGCCCGGAGCAAGGTGCTGCGACGACGGTGTGGGCTGCTATTGGCAAGGAATGGGCGAATAAGGGGGCAAGTATATGGCTGATTGTGCTGAGGCGGAGCGTGGAAATGAGGATGGCAGTATCGTGGGACCGAGCTATGTCAGTCATACCTACGATGTGGAGAGCGAAGGCAGACTTTGGAGGGACTCCTTGAAAATGGTGGGATTGGCGGAAGATCAGTAGTAGAGCATGTCTTCACCGACATCGAAGGCAGTAACGCCTCTTCTTAGGAGAGAGTCCGGTCGGTGGTATATTCATAGCCTATCGATATTGTGGAATAGTTTCCAACAACATGATGCGGTCATCCATCCTATAAAAGTGTTTGAGTAGCAGCTAGCGTTGATCTGTGATCTCCATGTCAAGTCGAATCCAAGTGCAATATAATCCTTGAATGGTTGCAATTGCGCATACTCGAGGCTGGAGCATGCACTTCAGCAGATTGCATTACATATGTTGCAGGATTTTGGACATGGCCCTCACCAATTATCTTCGCTCCTCAGCTCTGCGCTATGGCCACCAGGTCTCTAACTCAGTTCCTTTCCCGGCATATTCGGATAGTGCCCTACTGAGGCGGAACATCACATTCTGAAGTCTAACAGTAGTCTCCTACCCCACAGTTTAATTGTTGAGTTGTTTCTGGGGCTTCAAGCTACCTCTGATTGGCTGTGCTTTGATCGATGCTCTTGTTCCCCGCGCAAGGCTGTAGATCTTCCCCGCCTCCGCAATACCCCCACGGGGGATTCGCCTCTCTCGGAAAGACATGCAATCATCATAGCCATTGATCAGTGCTCAGAGAGTCTATTTACCTGATAAGCAAGTCGCACCCGAGGGACTTCCGATCCGATCTCTGCCTCGGATGCGAGAACGTGCGTCGATATTGTGCTACCATCTTTCAAGCATATAAGACGCCAAGGATCACTTTGAACATTACTGCACACTCATCAAGCTGAACTCACCTGTTAAGGCCAGCATGGATGCCTTATCGCTATCGTCATTCAAGGCATACGCCGCATACGTCGTAATTGCCGTAGTGGTCCTTCATCTAATCACCAATCGCTTCCGTAGGAGCCTTGCAGGACTTCCCGGCCCTGCAATCGCCAAATGGACTCGTCTCTGGAAGTTGCACAGTGTGTGGAAGGGTGATCACCACAATACAGCCATTGACCTACATCGCAAATATGGTCCGCTGGTGCGCATTGGTCCCAAGCACATATCTGTCGGAGACCCCAGTGCTATCCCGATTATCTACGGTCTCAACAAAGGTTTCACAAAGGTTAGGGCAGAAAGTCCGAAAAGTTGGCATGATAATGACTGACGCTAGCAGACCGGCTTCTATCCCATCCAGTGCATATCATGGAACAAAAAGCCCCAGATGAACCTCTTCTCCACCCGCGACGAGATGTTCCACCGTGAGCAAAAGCGGCCTGTGGCAAACGCCTACAGTATGACCTCGCTGCTCGATCTTGAATCCGCAGTAGACTCCTGCACCGAGATCTTCATCAATCAGCTGGCGAGATTTGCGAGTAGCAAAAAGCCCGTCGACCTGGGCATGTGGCTGCAATACTACGCTTTTGACGTGGTCGGGGAATTCACCTTTGCCAAGAAACTCGGCTTTCTACAGGAGGGAAAGGACGTCGACGGCATGATTGAAGCGATTCAAGGGATGCTGGTGTATGCTAGTGTGTGTGGCCAGGTTCCCGAGGCTCATCCATTGTTACTAGGGAATCCACTTTTCCCGATATTCATGCCCAGCATGGAGACATGGAACCAGGTCTTGAATTTCACGCTCAAGGCCATCAATTCCCGAGCATCGCTGCAGCGTGACGGCGAGCTCAATACCGAGAAACCAGAAGCAGGAAAGGACATGCTGTTCCGGTGGATGGCCATCCATGCCTCTGATCCCAATAAGCTTTCCACCCGGGATGTCATCGTCCATCTTTCGACGAATGTGTTTGCCGGTTCAGACACCACTGCCATCGCTCTGCGGGCCGTCTTCTACCTCCTCCTTCGTAACCCGTCCATCCTGGCCAAGCTGAACGCTGAGATCGATAACGCCGACCGAGAGGGAAAACTAAGCAACCCGATCTCCTACCGAGAATCCATGAACCACCTGCCCTATCTGCAGGCCGTTCTCAAGGAGGCAATGCGACTACATCCATCCGTCGGTCTGGTCCTGGAGCGCGAAGTGCCCAAGGGCGGGTCACCATCTGTGACAGGCATTTCCCCGGAGGAACCATAGTTGGGATCAATGCATGGGTTCTCCACCGAGATGCCCGGATCTTCCCTGACCCTGACAAATTCACTCCCGAGCGATGGATTGATAGCGACCCGCAGCACTTGAAGAAGATGGAACAGAGCTTCTTCGCGTTTGGAGCGCGGTCTCGGACTTGCATTGGCAAGAACATCTCGCTTATTGAGATGCATAAGATTATTCCTCAGCTGTTGCGGGAGTTTGAAATCCGACTGCACAACCTGGAGAAGGAATGGAAGACGAAGAATGTATGGTTTGTGCAGCAGGAGGGATTAGTATGTAACCTTGTACGCAGGATGGGATGTCAAGTGACTTAATGCGTATGATACTGCATACACCGACATGAATGATGCTATTTTCTTTTGAAAAAGTACCTGTTTAGCTTGCCTCGGTAGACTGTAAGAGCTATTTATTGTTCAGCTATGGACGAGTCTCGAGAGACTATGATGACAGCAGGATTGAAATGACAAATGTGCAAGACTTGAAAGCTCCCTTGTGCATTCTTCTTGCCTTACGTTGCCTTCATCTTGATCCACCTAGCTGGATCGGCCGTGCGGCCGCTAGTGCTGACAATATTAATATCAAATTGCCTCTACACCAGTGAGAATGCAAGCATCTAATATTCAAACATTAAACTGTGATTCAGATGCGGGATTTTGGGGTCTAACTGGTTGAGACATCTTTTTGACTTTTATTCCTGATTGCTACCACGGACCTACGGAAACCCTGAAATTGATGCAAATCATTCTACGAATAGACAAGATATGCCACCAGCGGCCGCTAGCATTGAGTTGTCAAGTCACCCTCACCTCAGCAGAATAATAAATACCAGACCTGAAGCAGATCTCATTCCCGCTTCAATACGTCCACATCATCAGACACCTTCCTCATAACCACAAATGTCAAATAAAACCCTTCTCCTCATCGGCTCCGGCCCTGGTATCGGCGTCTCCGTCGCATCCCTCTTTGCCCAGCGATATTTCGACAACATTGCTCTCTTCGCACGAAACCCCATCCAACTGGAGAAAGACCGAGAGACCGTACTTGCTTCTGCAGCGAGCGTCAACCGTGTTGTCACCGTGCAGACCTGGCAGGTTGATATTAGCGATCTGCGCCGTCTGGAAGAGGCACTCTTCGAGGTCGCACAATTCGGGGCGTTGGAATGCGTGTATTTTAACGCGGCGCGGGTGGCGCCCAGCCCCTTCTTTGATTTTCCGATCTCGGGTATTGAGGAGGATTTCAAAGTACGATCAAACTTTCTTGCATAGTGAAGGGCAAATACTGACGAATAGCAGGTGTCGAATCTCGCTCTCTATGCGGTAGCGAAATGGGCGATGCCGCTCCTGTGTGCGAAAGCAACGAGCGGGAATGACCGTCCATCCTTCCTCGTTACGAGTAGCTTGCTGCCTGTTGATCCCGTCCCTGAACTCTTCGCATTATCTATGGTTAAGGCGGCTCAGGCTAATCTGGTCAAGTCGTTGGACAAAGCGTTCACCCCGCAGGGTGTGCATGTTGGTTTGGTGGTGGTGGGCGGGCAGGTGTCTTCATCAGCGCCTGCATTGAACCCGAGGAATATTGCTGAGCAGGCTTGGAATTTATTCGCGCAGGAAAGAGAGGATTGGACGGGACAGGTGTCGATTTTGGAGGATAAGATGGTCGATTGGCAGCCTTCCATTTGAGTACACGGCTCGTGGTGATGTATTGGTAGATATCAAACCTCAGCAAGTTGAACTAAACATCGACTCCATTTTAACGATCCTTGAAATCAACTGTAAAAGCCGAGAGGCCTCAATTGATATGAGGAGTAAACACAGTAACTAAGCGAGGTGTTGAAGAAAAGGATATGAATGGTGACTTCTCCAGTTGCCGCAGCAAATCTAGCTTCTAGCTAATAAACATGCCTCCACCACATAGCATGATCTGATCTGTACACGTGGACAACGACGGAAGAGTCGCTAAGGAAGCGAAGTCGGACGAAGTGGGGTTGATGCAAGAACTGATTGATAAGATGACTACGGCAGATTCATCATCCGGATGGGGTCACAGAACAAGATTTGCTCACCGAGTCCACTAGGAGTCATTACCTAGCTAGTCCCACTGCCAAGTCATTGTCTTTATCAGATCAAAACAGGTATCCAACGCTAGTATCATGGTCCACGTTGAAATACAGCGTATAGTATGGGTGGATATCCGTCAGCTTGTATTTCCATGAAATCCTGTCATTACTGACTTACTGTGGGTTCCTAATCTTTTAGTATAGGAAGAGTCCTGTAATACTCAAAATTCAAAAGTACACGAAGATAAATCCTTGATCAGATAACACTGCCAAGATGCCAAGGGAAAAAGGATTCCAGGCTTAAGGCGACAAATTTTTCCCATCACACGATCATGAACTATCATTGAGAAGTAAGGGACAGTCTATGATTGTTCTGGCCAGAGGGCCTTGGAAATCTACATAGTGCCAGAGTCACTTACGATTGTACCATTGAATCATGCATGAGTGTATGGTATGTCAATGCTTCAGCATGAGAGAAATGAACTCATTGAGATATTCAGTTTGATTGAAGTTGCTCCCCGCTATGTGTCGATGGCTTTATTGAGGGACTAATTGCTCCATAGAGGAGTCTCTTCTAAGTGAGAGGATTTGGGCTGAGCAACTCTGATAAAATATTAAATTATATTCCACATAACTCTTCGGTGTCTTTCCATTACCCTCATCTCACATCTAACTGTATCCGTCTTCAGGTGAAAGGCCACCCATGATATCCTACATCATTAATAATCGTAATGGACATGACCAGTCCTCCCACTCAAAGTTCCCAACCTCCCTTTTTAAGCTCATCTGGCAGCAACAAACGTCGAATTAAAACAACACTCCCTTGGTCTGCGTCTTGGTAAGCTTGATATCCCGAATAACAAACATCCAAATGAGCGAAAGCGCCATGATAGCCGTCCCCGCAATCAACATCTTGCTCTGCGTACTAGCATACGCAAGAGCAATAGCCTGGCGGACCAGCGTCCCCCTCTCATAGCTAAGCTGCACCTCCAGCGAATCATAGATTGTCTCCCAATCCGCCTTCACCGACTCCGGAAGCAGACGCTGCAGCGCACCAGGCAGCGTATGCGTCCAGATCGCACCGGAGATACTACTTCCCACAGCGCCTCCCATCGTGCCAAACACGTTCAGGAAGGCAAGCGAGGAAGCAGCGTGGTCGTGGTCCGACGCCGCGAGCACAGCAACCTGCTGGCAGATGATCATGGTGCCGCCCGCGAAGGCGATGAAGATCTGGCACATGATCATGTACCCGACGGACCAGCTGGGTCTGCGGAAGTAGATCATGAGCCCGACGCCGAGGATGTAGAGCGGGACGGCGATGAAGAGGAGCCAGCGGAAGCGGTTGGTTTTCTTGATTAGGAACCCCACAACGAATAGCCAGACTCCTGAGACGACGTCGAAGATGCTGCTGATGTAGCCTGCGGTTGTCATGCTGGTGCCGTACACGACCTGCAGGTATGAGGTGTAGTAGTTGAACCAGCAGTAGTATGCGATCTGGTAGCAGACGTCTACCATGCAGGCACCGAGGACGGTTCTAGAGGCCAGCAGAGCCCAGGGGAGGAAGGGGACGGGTGCAACGAAGCGTTCGACTAGAGCGAAGACAACCAGGCAGAGGAGACCGATCACGAGCATGGTGATGATCGAGGCCGACTTCCAGTCATCCTCGGTGGAGCCAGCAATGGAAAACGGCAGGAGGAAAAGTACAAGTCCGGCAGCTAGGAAGAAAACACCGAGTACTAGCAAATGTTAATATGCAAATCCTCACAAACGCTCAAGAAGACCTACTGTCAAACTCGATGATATAGTGCCTGATACTCTCCATCCACGTTCTGCCACTGCCGGGCTTGGCCTTCAAAAGACCGCTCTTCTTTGCCTTGTGCCGATTCCAGCGCAGCAGGCAAAACATGGGCAGGGCAACGACGGGCAAAACGATAGAGAAACAGCCATACGCCCATCGCCAGTTCGAATCGTAAAAGTGCTCCGCCGCAGCAGGGCCCCCAAACGCAGTGATGATATAGGGAGAGGAAGTAAAGGCGTAGGCGAGACCTCGGTCGCGAAGTGTCGATGTATCGGCCGTAATAACATCGACGCTGAAAATGATACCGGCGAAGCCGACGCTGTAGAATACCTTGGCAATGGTCAGTCTGGTGCTTAGTTAGAAGAGAAGGGTGACCTACTTGTGCGGCACAGTAGGTTCCAATGTCGTGACACGTTGCAGAGAGGATCAACCCCAGAGTAGCAAAAGCCACCATTATCAGGAAACCAATAGATCTATCCCAGAGATTCAAGACTTTAGCCAGCGGCATGTAGGTTGCCGCCGACATAACGCTGGAGACGATGGAGATAACGGGGATCAGAGAGTGGGATTCGAAACCGCTGGTCACGTAGGCAGACAGGTTGCCGGTAATGGAGGACTGGAGGCCATTGACAAGGTACAGGAGCCACATGCTGTTGTTTGACGTAGGTCAGTGTTATCCTCAGAACATAGATCGTGTAGGACTCACAGGCAATAGGCAGCTCCCAGAGATGTCTTGGACCATGTGAGTGTGATAGCTTCAGCCTGAGTGACACCGTCTTGAGCCTCCTCATTTGGCAGCATCTCCCTTGCATCATGATTGACGATTTCAGAAGGGTGCTTGGTATCCGGGTATGTGACAGTCTCTGGGTTCGGCACTCCATCGTCCCTAGGAATGGCAGTACCCTCAACTGGAGGGTGCTCCGGAGACTGGAAGAACTTCTTCTGCCAGGACGACAGCATTTTTGAAGGAATCGAACAATGTGCTGTCACACACACTGGAGGGAAAAGAGGAAGGGGAGGTTATAGATTGACACAAAAGCGGTAGTATCAGCGTGGGCCGAGCGTCTTCCGCATGCTTTTCAACTTAACTTCCTCCCGACCTGGCAAAATGCAAGGCAACGCAAGACGGCCATGCTGGGATGCACTCAGGCGACGCTCACCGGTGGGACTGTTAGCTAAAGATGGTGTGGACTCCTTCCAGCGCCGATACGCGGCAGACGACGTTGACAACGGTTACTAGTCAAGACGACGACATGACTCTCATCAAATACAGAGCGACTTACACTGGTACAGACTACAACTGACAAGGGTATGCGTGGGAGTGGATGCTGTAGATGGCAGAGAGGTACCATCATGATACAGGTATACAAGATGACTGAATTTCACTGTATGGTATGGTACTGTAAGGTATGCTCTAGTAATCTGGTGGCATGATAATTGTTATCAATCAGTGGAGACTCTGACTGGGTCAAATCCCGGAAATCTCCGAGACATCTGATTCGATTTTTACGGATCAGATAAGTTTTACGTAACATTACGCAGTGTGTGTATCCACCTTACCGTTGACTGTTCTCGGGCATCAGAGAGGCACTAGAATCATTACCTGCGGTCTCGGGATTAGAGAAATTTCCACCAGAACATGGTTCTTTGGTTAGAGACCTTTGACAAGCTAGTCTCGCGTGCTCAATGAGGTCCAGCACCATTGCACTGCTGCAACACGCGACAGTAACAAGCTCAAGGTTGCAAGCAGGCATCGAGTCCTCATGAAGCTCGTTCAGAAACTATCGGGCTATCCCCGCCTACTTCTGGCGGGCAGTCCCTCCAAGGTTGATCTTGGTCGACTCCTGCTGGGGATTGTCAGCGCAGCCGCCTCTGGTGTCCCGTTCCCCTTGATTGGAATTCTGTTCGGTCAGCTCCTCGACGACTTTAACGCAGTGACCTGCGGCGAGTCAGAATCATCAGACTCTGACTCCGACTATCAACATGACATCAACGGCAAGATTCTGATCATCGTGTATCTGGCTATCGCACAGTTTGTTCTAATCTACGTCCACCTCTCATGCTGGAGCCTGAACGGTGCTCGACTGGCGCAACGTCTGCGGGAAACTTATCTACAGAACCTCCTCCGTCAAGAACCGTCGTATTTTGATAAACTGCCCCCGGCGAGATCGCATCGCGACTTAATGGCGACATACAGGCTATTCGGTCCGGCACAGCGGAGAAAGTAGGGATATGTTTATCGAGTCTGTCCTTTTTCATCACCGCGTACATCGTGGCCTTTATCAAAGATGCCAAGCTTGCCGGAATGCTCGTCTCGTTGATCCCGGCATACTTTCTGATGTCGTTCGTTGGAAGCCACTATATCGAGAAATACACCGGGCGCATGTCGGATTACGCTGCGAGTGCCGCGTCTATTGCCTCTGAGGCACTTTCCAATACCGTTGTGGTGCAGGCCTTTGGCGCCAATGCGCGGCTGGAGGAGAAATTCTCCAAGGCTCTCAAAGCTGCGGAGACTGAGGGATTGAAGAAGGCGACGGCGGTTGGCATACAGTCTGGAGTGTTGTATTTTATTGCATATTCTGCCAATGGTCTGGCGTTCTGGCAGGGAAGCAGACGGATAGCCGAGTCCGTGAGTGATAATACTCACGGTGCCACGGTGGGTGCTACCTTTACAGTAATCTTCATTCTTGTTGAAGGTAGGATTGATCCCATCCTCCATAGCGAGCCAGTCTAACATGAATCCAGCCACCCTGCTCCTCAGTCAAGTCGCACCATTCCTGCACCTGTTCGTCGCGGCCGTCGCCTCCTTCCAGAAGTTGCGTGACGATATCGACCGCGAGCCGATGATTGACAGTACGAGCGATTCTGGCCTTCGCCTTACCCAGGCTGAGGGAGGTTTTGAATTTAAGGATGTTTCCTTCACGTATCCGTCGCGCCCCGAGATCACCGTTCTGGACAACATCAGTCTTAGCATTCCGGCCAACAAGCATACCGCTATTGTCGGTCTATCGGGCAGTGGCAAGTCGACCATTGCGGGCTTGGTGACAAGACTCTACGATCCCACGCAGGGCCAGATTCTTTTCGACGGCCACGACCTGCGTGATATCAACCCTCGTGACTTGAGAAGCTTTCTGAGCCTGGTTCAGCAGGAGCCCTCTCTACTTGACCGATCGCTTTTAGAGAACATTGCCCATGGGCTGATCAACTCCAGCAATCCGAGCCATGCACACCTGAAGACAACCCTGTTGAGTACTGACCTAGCCGACCTCGCCAGTGAAGTCAGGAATGGCAAGGACTTGACCGCTGCAGCAGAGGCGCGGGGTCCCAATGTCGTTGAAATCGTTGGTTTGGTGACAAACGCTGCCTCACTTGCGGATGCAGACGGCTTCATCAGTGCGCTACAACACGGATACGGAACAGTCGTGGGCTCCAGTGGACGGTTGATCAGTGGTGGCCAGAAACAGCGAGTTGCGCTTGCCAGGGCTCTCGTCAAGGATCCTGCAGTGCTCATACTCGATGAAGCTACGGCGTCTCTGGATTCACGCAGCGAACAGCGCATCCAGCGCGCAATCTCCAATATTGCCACCGACAGGACTATCATCACGATTGCCCATCGCTTATCCACAATCACCGGTGCGGACAATATTATCGTCATGCATAAGGGCCATATCGTGGAACAGGGCAATCATGCAACACTCATGGCCAACAATGGCACGTACGCGGAACTTGTCAAATTGCAGACTCTTGCTGGCAAGGATGAAACAGCAGTCAACATCGAGAGCATCAGCAAGTCAGACCAGGCATCTTCAAGTGAGGATGATATTGAGAAAAGCGCTCTTTTCCCCGGCGATTTTGGCGATGCTGAGAAAACTCCAGTCTCGACAACCGAAGCTCCTGTTGACTCCGAGGAAGCAGAAGAGCCTGAGACTCCTAAAAAGTCCCTCTGGGCGCTTGCCAAAGGCTACGCGCCAGCATTGCGACCTCACCTGCTGTTCATTTTTCTTGCGCTTCTTGGCTCGAGTGTCGTTGGCGGAGCCTTTTCTGGAGAGGCTGTGATCTTCGGAAACACCGTCGGCAGTCTAAATCCCTGCCACAGCGCAGATAGCATCCGGTCAAGAGGAAACTTCTTCGGACTGATGTTCTTCATCCTCGCTATTATTGAATTCTTCGCCAACGTGGTCAGTTGGTCTGGATTTGGCTGGGTCTCTGAGAAGATCGTCTACGCGGTGCGGGTTCTGTCGTTCAGGTCACTATTCGAGCAGGACCTGCAATGGCATCAATCCGAGGGCCGCACACCAGCTTTGCTTCTGTCCTATATTACCCGGGATGGCAATGCATTGGCTGGTTTGAGCGGTTCGGTCATTGGCACTTTGTTTTCGATCAGTGTCAACCTCATCGCGGCGATCATTCTGACTCACATCATCGCCTGGCGAATCGCATTAGTCTGCCTGGCGCTGGTACCGCTTCTGCTTGGAGCCGGGCTGATGGAGCTCCATGTGCTCGGGAAATTTGAGGAGCGGCACGAAAACGCATACACAAAGTCTGTCGATATCGGCGTGGAAGCCATCACATCCATCAAGACTATCGCATCCCTGGCTCTCGAAGAAGAGACTCTCCGGACCTATCGGCGATCGCTGAAGGGTCCCCGCAAAGAGACATTCAAGGTCACCGTGCACGCAAGCCTGTGGCAGGCAATGACCTACTTCCTCGGCAACCTGGTAAACGCGCTGGCATACTGGTGGGGTGCCAAGCAGATCATCGCAGGCAACTACACCCAGACCCAGTTCCTGATCGTGGTCTTCTCTCTGCTCGTCAGTGCTCTGCTCTGGAGTCAAATGTTTGCTCTCGCGCCGGAGCTCTCCAGTGCCCGCGCCGCAATGGCCCGGATTCTAAGTCTCATCGAGATCGGCTCGGACAAGATGCAAGGACACGTGCGCAGCCCTACCGCGAATGTTTCGGACGACCCCGAGGCAATGGCCGAGGCAAAGCCCATTATATCAAACAACCAAGCCTCAAGCGTACAGCTCCGCGATGTGCACTTTGCCTATCCCGCCCGACCAGACATCAAAGTACTCAACGGCCTGAGCATCGATATCCGGCCAAGCCAGTTCTGCGCGCTAGTGGGACCCAGCGGCGCAGGCAAATCAACCATCATCTCCCTCGTAGAACGGTTCTACACCCCCGAGTCCGGCGCGATCGTCGTCGACGGCGTGGACATCACCAAACACCGCGACGTCTCCTTCCGCGACACGATAGCGCTAGTCCCCAGGAAAGCGTCCTCTTCGAAGGCAGCATCGCGTTCAACATCGGCCTTGGAGCACGACCAGACCACCAGGCAACAATGGACGAAATCGTCGAGGCGTGCAAGCTCGCCAACATCCACGAGGTGATTCAGGGCTTGCCGGACGGGTACCAGACACTATGCGGGCCGAACGGGAGCCAGTTCTCCGGGGGCCAGAAACAGAGGCTGTCGATTGCCAGGGCGCTGGTTCGGAAACCGAAGCTGTTGATTCTGGATGAGTCGACGAGTGCGTTGGATGCGGAGTCCGAGAAGCTGCTGCAGGATGGGCTGGAGAAGGCTGCGAAGGGGATCACGGTCATTGCGATTGCGCATCGGTTGCATACGATCCGCAAGGCGGATGTGATTTTCTTGATAGAAGGGGGAAAATGTGTGGATCGGGGACGCATGAGGAATTGCTGCAGAGGTCGGAGAGTTATAGGGCGAATGTTATGCATCAGACTGTGGCATAGTATTTATATATATATTTAATCCTTACATTTCATAGACAATGATTCATCTAAATATACCATCGTTTGGTTATCGGTTACAATAGTAAATCGGAAATAAACACAGATATATATTTTTGAGTCTATCAAACTAAACCATCTATCACCACATCATCATCACTGTATACCAAACAACATCCTATCAAGCAACACCTTCTCCCTCATACCAGCCAACTCCTCAACCGCAGCAACCAGCTCCCCAAAAGCTCATCCACAAACACCACGTCCCTCTCACTCCCAACCACACCAACATGTATCTCTCCCCCCTTCACAAACGAAACAGCCTTGATCGGATACGCCGCATCCCCATGCGGATTCGCAATATCAACCCGACAAGAACCCCCGCCAAACGGCATCCTCTCAAAATCCTCCCAGTCCTGATGATGCACAATCGAGTCAAAACCTTTCCCGTGAGCTATATCCCACCTTGCCAGCTTAGCAATCTTCTCGAAGCCGAGGAAGTCGTGCGCTGCTGACTCGGCAGTCTGCGTCTGGACGAAACGGAGGAGGTCGCTTGGGGTCCAGCCAGGCTGGAAGGGGACCCGGATGGGGGTGAGCTGGTAGCAGGGGCCCACGATGTTCTCGGCGTGGGAAATGTCGAAGGCGCGGCCGGAGGTGACGCTGCCGAAGGTGACGTCTGGTGTTTGGAGGCGACGAGCGAGGAGCAGGGCCCACGCTGCGGTGAGGAGGTTTGCGGTGGTGATTTCCTGCAGGGGAAGGATGTTGGCCGGGCGGGTGTGGAAGATTGCTTTGTCGGTTGGATGGGAGGAGGATCCGTCGAGGATCGAGAGGGAGGAGTTGGAGAGGAGGTTGTGCCAGTAGGTAGTTGCTTTGTTTTGGATGGGCTCTTCGCTGATCTGGGCCATGTATGCCGAGAACGGAGAGAAAGTGGCGAGCTGGGTGCCGGTGTACAGGGAGTCTAGGTCTTGGAGTAGTCTGGGCAGGGAGACGCCGTCGTATTGGGCGTGGGATAGGCCGATGATGAGGCAGGCTTGACCGTTACCTTCAACGTGGAAGAGTCGGAGGAATGGAGATCCTAGCTGGAAGTTGGATTCGATGTCCTCCCTGCAGAGATCGATGACGTATTGATCGAGGTCCTTGTCAGTCTTGTGCGTGCGCATGGGAATGTCCAGCTCCTTGAGGACGACCTGCAAGTAGCAGGATTCATGTGCGATGAAGACGGTACGGAGAATCTCGTGGGTCTTAACCAGGTCGCCGCACGCACGGAACAGCTGCTCGCTGTGAATGCTACCGTCAAAGTACAGCATCGTATACTGGATAGACGTCCTCGGTGGCTGAATGGTTGCGCTGATATCCAGAGCCTGGGAGTCGGTCACTGGCAGCACATCTTGGATGGGCCAGCTTGGGTCCCCGAGCTGTGGTCGGACAGTGTCGGTTAGGAACTGCTGAACGTCCGGGAGACGGAGCGTCGAAAACGGCTGATATGAGTTGACCTTCTGTAGTGAGCGTTCATCCACCTTCAACACTCTGGCCGCGTCGCCGAGACGCATGTGCCGGAAGATATCAGCCACGGACAAACTGTGGCCTTGCGCGCGGAGACTCGACACGAGCTTCATTGCAAGAACGGAATCCCCGCCGAGCCGGAAGAAATTGTCATCTACGTCGATCTGCTCTGGGCTGACGCGAAGGACCTTAGCCCATGCAGACCGCAGAATGCTTTCTGAAGCTGACAGATGGCTTTGGATTGTAGCCTTGGTCCAGGCGTTTCTCAATCCATCACGAAGCTGGTTGAGGGTTTGTGGAGTAACCTGAGAGGCGATCTGATTGAGCAAACTGTGGTCGATATGGCTCATCGTAGTGGGCAGTTTGTCTACCACGATGTAAGCGGATGGAGCCATATACGACGGAAGCGAGTCTCGCATGTATTTATCGAGCTTCTTCAACGCCACAGCAAGACTGCCGGGGATCATCGCGCAAATTGTGGTCTGGAAGGCTTGACCTGGCGAGTCGCACACTATCTCGCGCTTCTCCGACAGGAGCTCAATACAGGCTTCTTCCGCAGCCTGTTGCTCAATGAACATGACCAGCTCCTGGTCGGATGAGGACCGCGCTACAGCAGCAGCGGCAAGGGTTGTCGGCGGAAGATGTTCTGCGAGGTGCCTTTCAATCTCTGTGATATCCACTGCATGCCCTTGAACAGCAACAACGTTCTCCTTCCGACCAACAAACACTAAACTGCCGTCTTCTCGTAATTGAACCATGTCGCCGGTTGCTTGCACTCTGCCAGTTCGGCCAGCACAGGTAGAACTTCCGGCCACAAGCCAGGCGGGCGAATCAACCGTGTCATCGGAAAGAAAGGCTCCTTCAAGCCAAAGCTCACCGACACACCCGATGGGCGAGAGGAGGGACGGGTTTCGCGGGTTGCAAACCCAAGGAACAACTGCGGGAGGATAACTTGAGCCGGGCTTCACGCTTGTATCTGCACGCACCCTACTTGTTGCTTCATCCAAAGCCAAGGGTGGAATCTGATTCCATTGCCAGATCTGGTTCAACTCCGCCTCAGGGAGACAGGAGATCTCGTCGACCCTCCGAGAAAGATTTTTACTCAACTGTAAGCAAGCTGTTTCTAGCTGCCCAAGCATCCGTTTCATCTTCTTGATCTCAATCAAGTTGCTGTCAAAGCTTGCGCAAACCCGGAAGCCACCCTTGCGGATCCCGCAAGCTAGCATCAGCGGATACGGGTTGAAATGCAGAGCTTCAAGGACGACGTCTCCGCTCTGAACGCCGAGTTCGCTTCCGACGTACTCTGCTTCAGGCTGAATGACCAAACCCGTGCCAGTTTCGCACGCGTGTTGGGCATCTTGGCTGACCTTGCGGATGTTTTGCATGCCCATATGCTGGAACGCGGTGCGGGCCAAGACACTCTGCTGCACGGCTTGGAGGTAGGATTCTACGGTGCTGCCCCGGTGAACGCGCACACGGATGGGGACCGTTGCAATTAATGGCCCAACGATCCTTTCGACTCCAGGTATTGGGATGTCGCGGCCTGTAAGGGTCTCGCCGAAGACTATATCGTCGCTTCCGGTGTATTGGGACGCGACGAGCGCCCAGGCGCCGCGAATCAATGTCGCCATGGTAACTGGTGATCCGGAACTGGTATCAAGGGAAACTTGATGCTCGACTAGGGCGTCCGGGGTAGGCATAAAGTCTCTGGAGGGTAGACGCGGGAATTGAGGACCGACAGCACCTTTCAGCTCCCGCCGCCAGAATTCCTGCACTGCGGCGTCATCCGAGTCAAGCACGTATTTGACAAAGTCTCTCATCTGCATCTTTACCTCGACTGGCTGCCCTTGCAGGGCGTCACTGACTTGCTTGAGGATGATCGGCTCGGACCACCCGTCGTAAAGGACGTGGTGAATAGTCCAAACCATGTATCGCTTGCCGTTGGTTGAGTCTTCGATGATAGCGTAACGAGCCAGACTCTCTCCGAGATTCATCTTTTCGGTTCGGTCGTTCTCTAGGTATTCTGCTAGACTTGAGGCTTGCGTCCAGGAGACGTTTTCCTTGAGTACAACCTGCTGAAGACCAGGCTCCTGCAACTGGGCCACTCGTGTCCGTAGAATGGGGAGTGCTGCGACCGCCTCCTGCCATGCCTTCCGCCAGACGTCAAGGTCGATATGTGGCGGGATACACAAAATTCTCTGCGCCACGTAGGGCTTGACTGATTTAAGCGAGAAAGTGAACAGAGACTCCTGTGTGGGCGTACAGGGGTAGATGTCCTCGATATCTGCCGGGCTAACTCCGCAAGCCCCTGCTGCTTCTACGCAGACGCTGTTGACATCTGACGTGATCATTGAGAATGCGGGGATTTCCGCTTGCACGTCGACGTCGCAAATGCGAACAACGCTGGCCATGGCTGACAGGGTAGGATTGCTAAACATGTTGGTGACACTGAGGTCGAGACCCTGGGACCGACATACAGAGACCAGTTTCATGGCTGTGAGTGAGTCTCCACCCAGAGCGAAGAAGTTGTCTTGGAGACGGATAGAGTCAGCTTGGAGTTTCAACGTCTGGCTCCATGCCTGTCGCAAGCGATGCTCCAGTTCACTCAGCTCCCGGGTCGTGGTGTTTGTCCCTCCGTGGTCCAGCTGGCGCAGGTCGACGGCTGCACCGAACTGCCTCAGTCTCTTGCGGTCTGTTTTGCCCGAGATCAACGTAGGAATATGGTTGACTGGGATATACGCAGTTGGCACCATGTATCGGGGCAAAACCTTCGCCAGTTCCGTATCGGCTTCTGACAACACCCTTTGCAGCTCCTCAGGAAGCTCTGCCGCCTCGAGTTCAGTATGGTCATGCCCCTTTGTCGTCTGTGCTGCAACAAATGCCACCAGCATAGGTTGTCTCCCAGACGCTGGGGGTACAATCACCTCCGCGATGACGGTCGTCTCCGAAGGCAGTCTAGCTCTCAATTGGCTCTCGATCTCTCCGAGCTCAACTCGCTGTCCTCGCAATTTGACTTGGGTATCTTTCCGCCCCACAAAGACAATACAACCCGACCCGTCCGGATCATATCGACCCAGGTCACCGGTCTTGTACAAACGGCCCCGACGACCGGGGTAGCCGTTGTGACCCGCAATCAACCACGACGGGCTTTCAATAAACGCTGCGGCGGTTTTCTCCGGGTCATTCAGGTAGCCCTGTCCTACTATGGGACCTTCGACCAGCAGCTCTCCCACCGCGCCCACAGGCACAAGAGATTCATGGTCATTAGGGTCGACTATCCAGATGGCCGCCCCATTACCGGGGCCAATGGAGATATAGTCTCTCCCGGTTGCCGCGCTGCGGTTCACTGTACACCCGATCGTGCATTCGCAGGGACCATAGCCAATAATAATCCTGGTGTCCTGACCCCAGAGATTGACATCTCTCGCTGAGACGGCCTCTCCTCCGAGGCCAAGACCACTGAGCGAGGATATCACATCCGCGTCTAGGATTCGGGCCACCGAGGGCGTCAGGCCCGCGTAGTTCACCTTCATCCGCCTGATCACGCCGTTGATATCGTTGAGGCGGTCTTCGTCGGATGGAATGCAAAGACAGCCACCGTTGCCCAGGGTCAGAAGCATACTGTCGATGCTGACGTCGAAGGCGTAGGAGGCAAAGTCGAGAACACGAGAATCCTCCGTGTACCCGACAGCCTTGGCTCGGGGAATGGCACTGCTTGTGTAGGTTTCGTGAGATATCTTGACTCCTTTCGGAGTACCTGTGCTGCCGGATGTAAAGATGATGTACATCAGGGCGGACGAGGGAACCGTTGGTAGGCGTATGACTTTCTGTTCGGCGGAGAGACAGCTGAATGTGTTTTCCTCCACGACGAGCACTTTCGCTTCTGGTATGATCTGAGTGGCCAGGTCGTGCTGGCCCCGAGAAGAGACCATCATCTTCGCGCCGACCTGTTGGGCCATGTTCTGCAGACGTGCAAGGGCAGGGTTGGGTCCATTAGTACAAACGTCGCACCTGCTTTCATTACTGCCAATACTGCGACGACGGTCCATCTGGATTTCTCAAAGCAGACCGGTAGGACATCATGCAGCTCGACTCCCATATCCTTCAGCGAGCGCGCAATAAATGTAGAATACTGATCAATCTGGCTGTATGTCAGGCTGCCGTCCCATGATGCGATTGCTTCTTTATCAGGGAACTTCTGAGCCTGTTCGGATATCATCTCGTGCATGCAAAAATTGTACGTGGCTGGCAGGTCGTGATTCCAGCGCCATATCTCGTCGAGGTCGTACGTAGTCGGTCGAACGCAGTCTTGGATAGACGCATCGGGGTTGGAGATGCACAGTCTGACCGTGTCGGCGAGAGTCCTGACGTATCGCGTCACTGTAAATGGCAACACATTCTCGGAGTGCCATGTCGGACGAATCTGTAGCAACCCATTCTCGAAAGAGACTTCTAGGTGAAGTAGCCCCTTTGTTGACCGAGTCAGCTAAGCTACTGGTATTCAACATCCATGCATCACTCACTTCATCTTTTGCTTCGTCTGACGTCTGGGAAAGAGAGCTAGTGCTCAGAAGCAGAGATGCTGGTGTCCAGTGGCTCGATGCATCTGTGGCAATATGCCGAGCGACAGCTGCCGCGGTTTCCTTGACACTAGTTTGTAACCCCGCCACTACTTCATTCATAGCCAGAGATCTAGGTACCGGCTCCTCTTCCGGATACTTATATGCCCATTCGTATCCAATCCGGCCGCCTTCTCGCGTCCGCAGCAGCACAATGAGCCACGACAACAGCACAACTTCATCTGTCATGCCCGTGGAGCCCAGGGCCTCGTTGGATGAAAGGTCCGCGACCTCAAATGACTCGACGCCGTTGCCATTCAACCGGGCTGCCGTTAAGTCATATGACTGATTGCACCGGTATTTCTGATTGTGAATGTCATCGTGCTGTATCAAACCCATTGTCCAGGTGTTCTAGTCTTCGATCCTGGATTGTTATCTTCCTGGGAACGGGAGATGTTCGCGATGGATGACTAAAATGATTTGACATGCGTTATATATGCAGAGCCCAGGCTATTGGATTATTCCACCGATGAACGGCCGGAGACTCTGTGTAAAGCAGTCTACAAACCTACCGAGTTCGCCGTGGCCGCGACCCGATGGGATACCCACGTTCTTTTCTATGGAGGGGAAACGAGCATGTATCCCATTGTGCAAACAAGTGGACTGGACCCATATAAACCAGGTAGTATCATCCTAGTCCACCGAGTACAGAAATACAACCCAGCCTACGGTTTGGGTTTTTTTCTTGGCCAATGGAGTTGAGTATTCGGCCTGGGCATCATACTGGCCTTGCAAGACGGATGGGTAAATGTTATCTGATCGCACTAAATCATTCTCAACCGTCTAATAGCCATTTTGAAGAAGCCTGGCTTGCGCAATACTTTTGTTGTCCGAACGGTGCCTGTTGGTATTACGGGTAGAGTGGGTCAGTATCTTACTGTATTACTAAATCCATAATACACGTCACGTATGCTATTACACTCCCGTACGTAACGAGGTACTGATACATCCAGTACGCTCTATTCATGATCGATATTCCCTACTCGAGCTACCTTTGATACAGATGGGCGGTATACAATGGCGCATTTAGCTGTATTTCTGCATCCTGGCAAAATTTATGACAACCTGTCAGCCGTTTTCATAACTTAGACTGCCTCCACCGTGGCTTTCGCTTCTCCACAAATGCTCGTACTCCCTCGTGGAAATTCTCGCCTTCCATGAGCTTTGCGTACCACCGGTCAACCAGCGCACTGCTAGCCTCTTCCACACTGGCCATTTCCCACCCGTAATGCAGCCCCTCCATCGTAACACGCACACTGTCCGGACTATTCCTAGAGATGGCGGTTGCAATCTCCACCGCCGTCGCTAATAGCCGGCCATGCTCCACCACGCGATTCACCAGCCCCCAACGCTCAAGCTGGGACGCAGAAAAGCTCAACCCACTCAAGGCGATCTCGGCCGCTTGTTGTTTCCCCAACACGCGGACCAGCCGAGGTAGCGAGCCTGCGACGGCGGCGATTCCTCGTTGCACTTCGGGGAGACCAAATGTGGCGCTTTCGCTGGCGACGACGATGTCGCAGTTGACTACCATCTCGAATCCGCCTCCCAGACAGTATCCGTTGACGGCGGCGATGATTGGTTTGCAGCCTCGTCGTCGAGGGAGACCGGCTAATCCGGGGGCTGTCATTTCGTTGGTGATACCGCGCGCGTTGAGGTCGTTCCATTCTAAGTGATTGTATGTGAGTTGATTTCATTCGAATAAAGATGAGAAGAGTGTACCCTTGAGGTCAGCGCCCGCAGAAAAAGATTCGCCCGTGCCGGTAATAATGGCCACATGTAGAGCAGGCTGTGTGTCGAACCATGTCCATAGTCGTTGTATCTCGGCGCTCGTCGCGAGGGATATGCAATTTCGTTTCTCTGGGCGGTTGAGTGTGAGGAGGAGAATGTGAGGTGTTGGAAACGAGACGAGGCATCCTTGTACTGTTGGGTGTGCTTCTATTGACATTGCTGAGGTCTGTAGGATCCGAGATCTTAGCAGCGTAAGTATACAGTGTGAGACCGGATTTATGGCAAATTAAGCACTCCGTTAACGATTCTCAATGAGGAATAGTGTTCTTATACTCTTGACCATAGGGATCAAGTAATTTAAGTCATAGTTGGGGCTAAATTTATAGGATCATGCCGGATGGTCGGTATCGTCTAGACTGCTGTCTCCACTCTCTACCGCGGCATCTGAATATTCCTCGGTCATGTCCTTACCTATATGTATTTGTCCTACCTCTTTGCTGCTTGGAGAATAATTATCTTACTCTCACAGACTCATTCCGCGATGACGACGCAAAGCAGCATCGGGGTTCCTCAGATCAGTATGACCACTGCCGAACCGACCCCGGCCAACAAGCGGACATATCCCTGGGTCAAACTTCCTCATCCATATCTCACCAGCTATGCGATCCATATTGTCTCTGAATCAATGCCTCGGGTGCTTCAACTGCGATTACATGACGATAAGGCCGGACAGCCGCTCCCAGAGCCTCTGCACTCGGACTCCTTGACGTACACAGACATTGCCTTTGAGGAAACCGCACAGGAGATTCCAGAAAACGACAATAGCCCATGGGCGCGCAGTCGCAGAGCTCCCGGAACCTCCTTCCACTGGACTGGCCAGGAGCCACCAACCCTGGGACAGATCTGGAATGTCATCCACGCCCTCTTCCTGACATATCCCCAACACGAGATCGTCCGCTTGGATCTCGATGGGTCTGGCAAGGATATTATCCGCGAGGAATGCCTGCGGACTGGGCTGGTCGTTCCCTTCCCTTCTCCTCGAGTCCCCTTCGGCACCGAGAACAAGCCCTCCGAAACCGACACGCTCATCCTCCTCCGCTCCGCATTCTGGCAAGGAGCCGGCTCACCAGTTGGACCACGTCCAATCTGGGCCGTCGACGACGGGACTCACGGCCTGCTTCGACGATCAGGAAGCTCCTATCCCCCTCTCGCGCAAAACTACGAGTTCTCCATGAAATTCCCAAGCGAGAGAATCTACGCACGACATCCCATCCGCCCTCAGAAACCTACCCCAGGCTCACTAGTCTACAGCCGCTACATTCCGCACCTGGACCAGCATTTCTCCCTCATGGTGGTAGACTGGCAAAACGAAGAGCATCTGCATCGCTTCCACAAATGGCAGAACGACCCGCGCGTCGCCAAGGGGTGGAATGAGACTGGCGACCTCGAGCACCACCGCAAGTATCTGCGCCAGCTCCACGAAGACAAACACGTCCTGTGTCTATTCGGACGATTCGACGAGCTTCCATTCTCCTATTTCGAAGTATATTGGGCCAAGGAGGACCACTACGGAGCACACTACGACGCCGGCGACTATGATCGCGGCCGGCATTCGCTCGTCGGCGAGTCCAGCGTCCGCGGCGCGTACAGAGTCAACGCGTGGTGGTCGAGCGTGATCCACTATATTTTCCTGGATGAGCCGCGGACGATGTGTGTTGTTGGGGAACCCAAGGCAACGAATACCACTGTCCTGTCGTATGAGAACGCGCATGGCCTGACGGTCCAGAAATACGTGGATCTGGGCCATAAGCGATCGGTCCATGTGTATTGCAGCCGGGAGAAATGGTTTCAGCTGTGTCCACTTTTCTGGGATGGGAGGGAAAGACCGCTGGAGAATTCGGATCGGATGGCGTGGGATGCGAAGCTGTAATTGCTAGGCTTAATTTAATTTCTTTCAATGTAAAACGAGATAAGTGTATCCCGAGGAAGGTACTTCAGTGTAGGAACTAGAGTGTGATAAGACTCAAACACCACCAATGACTCGTCCAGGCTCATGTGGAACTTGTAATAATCTAGACCATATTATCAATCTAATCAGATGTTTAGTCGAGTCCACAGCCATTCCTGTGGAGCATCGTCTTATGACTGTCATCCCTGCCTGCTAACCGAGCTCGCCCGATCTGATTCGGTCTCGGACCAAGTCTCTCTGTGTAGCAAGGATCAACCGTCCTGGTCACTTCCAAGAGAAATTTGTTCGCACCTTTCCATCTTTCTAGCAGAATCCTCGCTAAGTTGGGCATTTTTAGGCGAACCACTGGTTTCCCCCACACAGTGAGGCTTTCCATGACACATAGATTAGCGTTTTCATATAGCATACGGAGTAGTATTGTGGGAAGAGTATAGGCACATTCCCTGGTTCAGTCATAGTGCAAAGTTATCTGATCCGAAGCCAGTGGGCCATACACCGGAATTGCCCGATTGAGATACACTCCAAAAAATAGCACACATTATACTGTTTTTTCCTACTGGTAGCCTGGTAGGGCCAGGCCTCCTTGGTGGATACGTAGAGTAGTCCATAGAGGGATCCGATAAGACCTGGCGTATAATGACCAGTCTCATTACGGTATGGTAAATTACCGGTAAGCTTACAGGACAATACCGTGTACTTAAACGTCCAGGAGTGAGATACAGAGATACTCGTCTATTGAACCAGCTTAAGTCACAAGCCTAGGCCAAGGTTAAGAAGCTCACGACTGTGCATGTACCTGGGCTTTTCGCTGTTCTTGGCCTATAATGATGGAATCGATCATTTCTACAGCACCTACCTCGCGTCGAAGACCTATAGTCACTTCATGAAACCATGATCCCTGACTCTGTCTTTCCTCTGTAGAACCACTCGTAAACAATTCGATAGGCCACTGCCTCTCATCTCGACAAAGCAATGTCCCTCGAATGGAGTGAGGACTGACAAATTTTCGGTGTGCGAAACTGGTCTTTTACTTAGTCTAACCCAAATCAGGGCTTGTAGCCGAGTAACATCTAATCAGATCCGCTTAGTCTTGTGACAAGAAATCTAATCAGATCTAGTCTTTCTGGCTTCCGTTACAGTAACTAGCGAGCCTGGAGTACGTAAGAACTTCCTAGCTAACTCCACTCAGTTCTCTTGTATATCCGACGTATGGGGTATTAGACTAGTGTATCTAACACCATGTATCAGTATGAGTATGGAAGGTTCCACTGTGTATTGTATGTTAGATTGATAACAGGCGCTTCAGCTCAGTTAGGTCCACCGCCACGAGACTGCAACCGAGATGAGACACTGAGACAAATGGGGACCCGCAGTGCCGATCTCGGACATTTATCAGATTGGACGAGGGGTATTGCAGCAATGCATTGCTGGATACACTTTTTACTGTTCCCTGCAGGCTTTCTTCGCAATCCCAGCTTCAATCACAACCAGAACGCCAATTGCGGCTCAATACTTATCCAAAATGTACTCAAAATTCTGGCCCAAGGGCGGTCTGCCAGGAATCCTACACCACTACGTACGTTCCCCTTCCTCACACAGAACAGCAGCCGGGCTAACAGGGCAGCAATCCAGACAGAAACCCTCGTCACATTCGAATACACCACAACCACCACCCGCAAACCACACAGTCTCCTCTTCGTCGGCGGGCTCGGCGATGGCCTAGCAACAACGTCCTACATGGCCGATCTGGCCCACGCCCTCCAGCCAACGGAATGGTCCCTCTTCACCCTAACCCTTACCTCCTCCTACCAATCCTGGGGACTGGGACACCTTGACCGAGACACCAACGAGATCGCACAGTGCCTGAACTACATCAAGGAGTACAAAACAGACAAATACGGCGGCAGCGCCAGCGGTGGGAAGATCGTCCTCATGGGCCATTCAACAGGCAGCCAGTGCGTGCTGCACTACCTCTCCCGTCCGAATCCGCACACAGTCATTCCCGCCTTCGACCCCTCCCTCGAGCATATCGAGCGAATGCCGCTCGACGGGGCGATTATGCAGGCGCCTGTGTCTGACCGGGAAGCGATCCAGTGGGTTCTTGCCGAGGGGCTGGGCGATAGGACGCCGGCGGAGATCCGGCCTGTGTTTGAGAAGTTAAGTGAGATGGCGAGGGAGGCTGCTCGCGACGCGGAGGCTGGCACTGATGTTCTACTGCCGTTGGCGATGACTTCGCTGGTGTATCCGGCTCACACGCCGCTGAGTGCGCGGCGGTTCCTGAGTCTGACGAGTCCTGAGAGTCCAGAGTCGCCGAGTGAGGATGATCTGTTCAGTTCAGATCTGACCGATGAGCAGTTGGGGAAGACTTTCGGGATGATTAAGGAGCAGGGGCTGCTGAGAGGGAAACTGATGGTGTTGTTTTCTGGGGCGGACCAGTCGGTTCCTGTCTGGGTTGACAAGGAGGGGTTACTGTCTAGATGGAGAAAGGCCACGGATCATAATGGGGAAGCTGAGATATGGGACGAAAACAGTGGTATAATACCTAATGCTTCTCATGCGTTGAGTAATGATGATCAGGCTGAGCCTCGGACGTTTCTGGTTGATAAGGTACTGGGATATCTTTCGGCGTTAGTGAGGGCTTAGCGATGAACCTCGGAATATGTAGAATAAGCAAAAAATACAACTCATTCAAAACATCCAAAATGCAAGTTGCAAAGATCGAGACCATGCTTTGGCATTTTCTGAATGGGACATGAATTTGGGAATGATATCTTCAGCTCAATCCAGATGTACCCCGACTTCAGTAACACCAGATGAACAAAATAGAAGTCAGCAGAAGGTTTACAGCGGCAACTTTAGACTGCCGACCTAATAACTCGAGCAGGACTTCCCACAGCGATACTGTACGGCGGGATATCTCTCTTGACCACCGAGCCAGCACCGATAGAGCACCCTGATCCGATAGTCACCCCAGCCAAAATAGTCACATTCGCTCCAATCCAGCAATCATCACCGATAATGACTTCCCTTGTAAATTCCATTCCTCGATGTTTACGACGCGCTTCAATCTTGGTCTCATGCTCTCCAGTGATGATGTTTACATTCGGGCCAATCTCCACGTTGTTTCCAACGGTGACCAGTCCGCAGTCCAGGACGGTCAAACTGTTCTATCAGCCTCATCCGGTATCATTTGATAGGAACTGGCTCACTTGAAATTTGCATAAAAGCCATCTCCAACACTGATGTTACAGCCATAGTCCACAAAGAGAGGAGGCTCGATATAGATCCCCCTTCCTGCGCGGCCAAACAAATTTCTTAATGTCGCCTCCCTTTGCGCAACGGTCTCAGAGAACGGCACATCGGATCGAGGAGGAGCATTGAACTCGGACATTAGGAAGCGCGCTTTGGTGCGGCCCTCTATGAGCTCTGATGCGAGGGGACTATATCTGTACAGCGGTTTAGCAGTGGTTCGGTGTTCTAAGTGTGCACTTACAGTATCCCCGATATCATCTTCTCATACTCCTCGCCCCAGCAGACACCTTGTAGGCTTTTGGCCTTTTCGATGATCTGATTGTCTTTTTCTGTTTTGGGGATCATTGTGATTGTGGATGGGGTTCTGATTCGGGGTACGAGCAATGTCGGTTTGCGCTGGATTGTCGACATTTATATACCAATGTCGTCGTCATTGTTTTGTATAGATCGATATAAACTTGTCTGGTGACCACTTCTCATCTGTGCTGTACTCGTTCGTCGGGATTAGACTACAGCGAGAAGTAGGATACATGCACCAATTAGGACCCCTTCCGGTGGGTGCTCGAATACGAACACATGAAGCTATGCTTTCATAGCTGGGAAGTCGGCCCTAAGTTCCGGAGAACACAGACCAGAGGTAGATATATCGTAGAGCATCTTTGCTGCAGCGTGACGATAACATCCACCAGTAATGGAACGAAGGTATTGATGCAGAGAAGTATGTTGAAGCCGAAGTTTACCCGCTGAGCAAGACATATAATCATAAGACCAATTGAACGTGGCATGTGAGCAGCGCAGTGAGTCAAACAAACCCAATAAAAACATGAGAGACAACATATCTATGATGAAATACGAGGATCAGAACAAACATTACATATTTGTTGAATCAACGGAGTGGTAGGTGTCGATGGTTGCCAGGCGTGAAGAGGGAATCCCGAATGATATTTCTTAGTACGTAGAGTTCTTCATGTATTTAGATTATGAAATTTTGCAACAACAAATCCTCGATGGTCTAACGGTCATGATTTCCGCTTGTCACTCAATAGAGAACGAGCGCGGGAGACCAGGGTTCGACTCCCTGTCGGGGAGATTTCTTTTTCCTTTTCAATTTTGTCAACCCCTTTGTTCTTCATCTGCCTCCACATCCATAATCACCTAAATTTTCACCCTTACTTTCTGTTATTTTCACTCCACTTAAAGGTTAATTTTAATTTTTTTTTTTCCTTTTGGCACTTGCCGCACATCAGAGCAGCAGCAAACCGAACTTGCTGGCAAACAAGATACCGCATCACAATATTTTATATTCTTCGATGTGTCCTCTCAACAGGTCCCTGAGCTCCACTCCGAGCCTGAGGCTGAATCTTGACCTAAAATTAGAGGATCCCAATTTCGGAAGGGACCCAAAGTGGATTAGAGTCGGAGATGCCGGGCCCGAATTGCCGATGGTCCCTGAATCATGCTGCATCCCTCCATGGGATTTCAGAATTCAGATAAGAGTCCTGTGACGGAAGGTGCTATTTGAGCCATGATTGACGATGCCAAACGAATAGTTCATTTTGAAGACTGTCCCGCAGCTCATAATTGGGTCAAATGCATGATCTATTTCGTAGTTTCAGCGTCTTTCTCTAGTCAGTCATCGCTTAGTCTAAGCTCATGTGGCCTAAACTCAGTTTACATAGGCCCAAGTCTAGACCCTGAGAAGCCATATAATATTGCCAGTCATTCCCATCTCCTGTCAACACCACCTCAACTTTCACTTCAGAGGCCACTACTGTCCTTTCAATAATTCAGTCATTCCTTTAAATAGTCACTCGTTAACGTACTACTACTCCTCATCTATCTCCAGTCGACTGCTAACCCCTCCGGCAAAATGAAATACCTCCCACTCCTTCTGGCAACAACCCTCGCCTCCACCGCCTACGCCCGCACCGACCTGGAGGGCTGCATCTCCTCCAAAACCCACAACCAATGGAACGAAGCCAGCATGATCTGGTACGTTCCCGGCACAGGCGAAATTTGCGACATCCCCGACTGCGGCGGCGGTCGTGCCCCGCCCAAGCATGATAATCCCGCTTGTCCGGGGCTGTATACCGGTACCGCGACCTACGAGCCGAGCTATCTCCCCGGGTATGGGCCTGGCGCCGCTGCATCGACGAAGACACTGGCTGCGACGGCGAGTGCGTCGACTACGGCGGATGCAATGACTACAAAGTCGGCCGAGGCGAGTAGTCTGGCGATTACCGCTGCGCCGAGTATGACTGCCAGCGCTACGGCGACGATGAAGACGAGTGTTAAGGCGGGAGACTCGTCCAGTGTGGCTTCGACGACGACGACCAGTTCTGCTGGGGCCACTGGGACAGGGAACGGTGCGGGGATACTCGAGTTTAATGTGGTTGGGGCTGTGGCTGCTGCTGCTCTGGCTGTCGCGGCTTTGTAGTTAATATGGTTGAGGATTAAGGGATGTATAAGTCTTTGGATACTCAGGACGCACATTAATAATGTCTATTTCCAAGTGCTTGGATGGATCGTAACTGCTTCGTCGCGGTGGATGGTTCGGACGAGGCTGCGTATCTGATGGGCTCAGAGTCAACCTGCCTTAACTATCCAGACGTGGAGGAGCGGGAGTCCGAATATAACCTGAACTTGATCAGCGAGTAGAAACCCTTCTTGCAAAGGCAGCACACAATTGCTGATGAAACCTGGTAAAGAGCGTGGTGTTGATCCTAGCAAGCGATGGATATTTTTGATAGCTGCGCCTCTAACCCAGCCACTCCATCGACAACTCGCTCTCACTGGTTGCGTCAATGAAGACAACGGTACGAAATCAAATCAGGGTAAGGTACTTTGTATCAATCAAAACAAATCCATTAACTTTTATCTATGTACAATCATTTAGACCAATCAAGAACGAAACGATCCCAGAACATCACCCACAGACGCCTCAGCGTTCTCCATCACCTTCGCCAACAACTTCTCAACCACCTGTGTCTCCTCCTGTACTTGTTCCTTCTCATAAATACGTTTGTCAAAGGCAAACTTGAGCTTATACTCATTCACATCCGCTGTCTTGACAACCTCAAATACTACCGCATATGGCTGCGGCATTGTCACCTGGGACTTGGCCATCACAATCCACTTCTGGTACTGCTTCGCTGCCGCGGGGGCCGGTTCAAACGGCTGGAAGAGGAAGAGGGTCTTGTTCGAGAATCCCTCACGCGTCGTTTCACAGGCTTCATGGATCTCGTCCAGACCGACAGTACTGTTCTCGGTGTACTGCCAGAATTCATCCTGGGTCTGACGGAGGAATTCCGACACCGGCATTGACGGATCGACTTTCGACCGCATAGGAAGGAAGTTTGCACAGGTGCCGTTGATTGTCTGTGGGTCAGGCAGATCAATGTTGCGACCTGTGTAGAGGTAGTCGAAGGCCACGTCGCGCTGGTTGCTGCGCAGCGCCAGCCAGAGCTGGAAGATGGACTGGAAGATGATAGAGACAGTGGCACCAGTGGACTTAGCGAATGCGTCAAACTCTAGGTTGATGGTGTGTACATGCACGGAGTTGATGCGTGGCTCGGTGGCATTGCCGCTGGGGAATTCGAAGGCAATAGGGCGCTTCTCAGATTGCTTCCAGAACGACAGGGTGCGGGACTTGTCCATCTGCCAGATGTGGAATGCAAAGTCTTTGAACGGGGTGAAGCGTTCCACAGGAACATTGTCTTGGTAGGCCTCGAAGTGTTCGCCAAAGATACGGAGAAGCGTTCCGTCGTACAGGCCATGGTCGAGCTTGGTGACAATTTCGGTCTCGCCCGTCGACAAACGGAGAATGGCGTAGCGAATGAAGGGCTTGCCAAACACGAAACGGTGCTCGTCAAGAGACTTGATAATTTGTTGTCTCTGCTCATCGCTGACATCTCCATAGATTTCGACCACGGGCGTGGCATCGCGGAGGACAACACCATACCACTTTCCATGACAGCGAGTAAAGGTCGTGCGTAGAATCTCGTTGGTCGTTGTCAGCTGTCGAACCAGGTCAATCCATTGTCTCGGTTCAAAGTCATTGCCGACCTTCCGGACTGTCATCAGACTCCACAAGGCTTCGGGATGAGCACCCTGGGTCAGGAACTCGGCCTGTCCTGGCGGGCAAGGATAGATGCTCTCATACTCACTCGCGTGCAGACCAGCAGCAGAGATAGCAGCATCAAGCTCCGAGGGAGGAGTGAAGGTCTTCTGTTGAATATGTTGTGCGTCGTCCGACTCGCCCTTCAGCTGGTCGGCCATTGCCCCAAGACCAGTGTATTTGAGCACGTCTCGCACAGAGATTTTGAGTTGCTTGCGTCTGAGCCAGCTGACGAGATTGATGGCGGCAATGGAATCGCCGCCGAAGCTGAGGAAGTCGGCTTCCAGACCAAATTCATCGTGGGCAAGCTGCAGGGTTTCGATCCATCCTTGCTGCAGCACCTTTTGTGTCTCAGACACCAGAGGGACAACGGCACCCTTTGACTGCGCAGCGCCGACCTTGTCAAACGAGAACTTCGTTAGTTCGCCCTGACTCAGCGACTGCACCATCGCCTTGAGCTGCTTGCGGTTGGCCTTGCCGGAGGGAAGCCTTGGGAGCGACGATAGAGGGACAATTGCCTTCGGAATCATGTATGGAGTAAGGCCAGTGAGCTTGGCTCGGACACGCTGAACGTTCTCAGCAAAGCCTTCCAGTGGAAGAATCTCGCCCGGTTTCTCAGAAGCAGCGCCATCGAAAACGGTGACCGCAACAAGATGGGCAGTGCTGTTCTGCTTCCAGACGGTCAGCACGCAGTCCTTGACCTCACCGGTCCGCAGGAAGGCCTGTTCTATCTCTCCCAATTCGATACGATGGCCGTTGATCTTGACCTGGTCATCTTTGCGACCCAAACACTCAATGTCTCCATTGGGAAGATAACGGGCCAAGTCACCGCTACGGTATAGGCGTTGGCCATTGAGTACTTCACTCTCAATAAAAGCGGCACTGGTGATATCAGGCTTCTTGAAATACCCTTGGGCAAGCTGTGGCCCAAAGAAGCACAGCTCTCCCACTGCACCGTAAGGGACTGGACGGACTCCATCTGCTTCGAGGACGATGGCACCCACAGACGCGAGGGGCGTGCCAATATTACCTCCAATCGTGTCACCATCGACATCTTTCATCGTCACCAGTACGGAAGCCTCGGTAGGTCCGTAGCCATTGCGAAGAGTCACACGCGAGGCCCATGTTGTCACCACGTCACGGGTCAGCTGTTCACCGCCGACAGTCATCGATTTCAGGTTGGGGACATCCTTGGGATTCAGCAGTCGAGCCACAGTTGGAGTGAGGAAAACATGGTTGACGTTCATCTCGTTGATAACCTCAGCCAGGTTGTTCAACAGGCGCTCCGAGGGTGCAATGCACAGAGTGCCGCCGCTGTGCAGTGCTACAAAGAAGTCGTACAGCGAGACGTCAAAGACATAGTTGGAGAACTGCAGCATCCTCGACTCCTGGCCCTGGCGATGCTCAAACTGGATGATCGATTGCATGGCAGCTGCACAAGCACCATGTGTCACCATGACACCCTTTGGAAGACCAGTACTTCCTGAGGTGTAGAGAAGATAGGCGAGGGCGTCCGGAGATACAGTAACCTGCTGAGGCTCTGTGCCATACGTGGAAAAGTCGGCCTGATCCAGTAGGATGCTAGGGATATCACTTTCCGAGGCAAAGTAAGATTCATGTTCCTTCTCCGTGAGGACGAACTTGGCGCTGACGTCGCGAGCGATGTAAGCGTTTCTTTCCAAGGGATTCTCAGGGCTCAGAGGCACATAAGCAGCGCCGAGCTTGAACAAGGCGAGAATGGCCTTGATCATCAACGGAGACTTTTCTAGGAGTAGAGGGACGATGTCACCCGGCACTACACCACGCTCGCACAGATAGTGTGCCATGCGGTTCGCCTCGGTATCCAACTCAGCGTATGTAAGGAACTGCTCGTTCTGGTAGTTGATGGCCATCCGCTCGGGGTATGTGCGAACCGTGGCTTCGAATTGGCCATGCAACGTGCGAGTGGCATCCGGCAAGTTCTTGTGTGGCTGAAGCATGAACTGCAGCTCCGTCCCGCTTACCAGGTTCGTGGCCTTGACTGTCTGTCGAGGATTGGATGTAATGAGATTCAGTGCCATGCAGAACTGATCGAGAATAAATTCCAAACGATGCTCTTCCATTGGCGATGTGAGCGTGACGTCGATACCTGTAGCGCCGTCCTCAACGTTCAGTGTTGTGTACTCGGTTCTCCATACTGGCCGCCGACCGTAGAGCTGGAACACCTCCTTGGAAATATCATCGTTGGCCTTCTCGCTGACCAGAATATTGACCATGGTGTCAAAGAGAGTAGTGCCCTGGCGCTCAGCAGCGGCCAGCGCATTCCGCACTCCGACCTGGGAGTGCTTGATGACCTTCCAGAGACTTGTGTTGACTGAGTGCACCAGCTGCTGAAGCGTCTGCTCCGGATCAATTGCGACGGCATAAGGAACGACAGCCAGTGTGGGTCCGTTCATTGCCTCAATACCTGGAACAGGCAGCTCGCGACCGGAAACAGCCGTTGCCATTGTGACAGACTTTGAGGCGATGTGGGAGGAAAGGACGAGAGCCCAGGCCGCATGGATAATGGCACCCAGAGGAGCACGCAAAGCCGATGATGCGGCCTTGACCTGCTGGCTGACAGTGCGCCTGGCAGTGGATGTCTTCGTCACAGGAGCGTAATTGAGCACTGTTGGAACAGCCTCACCGAGATGTTCTCTCCAGAAGTCCTGGGATGTCTTTGTGTCTCTTGTGTGCAGAAGGCCCACGAACGACTTCCACTCGGGGCGCTTCTCAGGCCGGCGGCCGTAGTACACACGAGCGACGTCGTCGAAAAGGAATCTGTGAGACCAGAAGTCGAAGAGTGCATGATGAACCGAGACCACGAGAATGCTTCTGTCCAGGGCGGCGACCCGCATGAATGGCTCGCCTAGTGTGACACCTTTGTTCTTGTCCTGTTCGAGGTATTCGGGCAGACTCATGGAAGCTTCCGACCAAGGTAGGCTGAAGTCATTGCGGACAACCTGAAGGAAGCCCTTGGCCGCGGTGACGAAGGTGGATTTGAGGAGTTCGGTGCGCCAGAAGACGACTTGGAATGCCAGCTGCAACCGTACAAGGTCGAGATGGCGAACGTCAAAAACGCGTTGGTACAGGTAGTCCTGGCTACCTTGCAGCGTGCTGGCCAGGATGCCTTCTTGCAGTGCGGTGACAGGATAAGCGTCGACAACACGGCGGTCGGCAAGGAAGTCCGCCTTGAGCGCTGGATCAGAGATGTAGTCGAATGGCGCGGCAGGCTCATTGCTAACGTGAGTTGGACTCGAGTCCAGTTGGACGGTATCCGCAATTTCCTCGATCGTCTGCGC